TGAGTTACGCTCACACAAGATTACATCGGTTGAGCTACATCGAGCGTACTCTATGTCCAGAGTGATGTAATCTCTCTTTGACCGCAGCTCAGTCAAATCAGCTCGGATCAACCTACTTTAATCATGGAAATGAATGTCTGGAGTAGGGGCATTGTTCCCATGCAGTGGATCTCGGAGCAATGATGATTGGATAAAAGTGGCCGTTAGCTAGCAATACATGCCTGTTCCTAGATGATCCATAAAGTAATTATACATTGACCCTTTCATTCATGCAAACGTAGCTGTGTTACACAACACGACCCTCTGCATCTTTTGCTCTGTCAGGGTCTAGCTACTTTACATTAAACAAAGACCACTCTTCATATAGCATCATGCTTACAAACATAAAGGTGCCTGTATCCCCAAACTTTACAATGAAACGTGTGGTTTTTATTAGAGCAATGGGCTCGGCTTGGCCAACAGCACCTTGTGTGAAAGTTTCACGTTCAATGTCGCAACTAGCCCAAAAAATATTTTTTTGGTCGTCGTCGAAAGAGGTTGAGCCCCGGATCCAGTTTGGCTGGTAGCGACATTGCGAAATCTGGGATTGCCCACGATGAACTTCATACTTTGACACAAGATTCCTTTGACCCCGACGAGCACGTTGATCTATTCAAGAGCCCACGTTTGATTGTAAAGTTTGGAGATACAGGCGTCTTTATGTTTGTAAGCGTGATGCTATATGAAGAGTGGTCTTTGTTTAATGTAAAGTATGACTATAATAGAGCAAACGATGCAGAGGGCGTGTTTGTGTAACTTGAGTCATTCAGCACAGGCGATGCATGATTCTTGTACACTATTTAGGAATCGTTCACAATGCCAGCTAATATCCTTAGTCCTCCCATTCTCCATTGTTGTCGAATCCAATGCATACGAACGATTGTCCTGCTCCAGCCTAGCATGCGCATCATTCAACTTTGTTGATCCGATGAGATTTGACCGAAAAACGCTCAAACACAGAAACATCATCCAATATCAGAAGAATCAAAGTGGTAAGTTATTTGTAAACCTGCCGGCTAATAGCCCATTCCTCCCATTCATCTTTGTTGCCCAAACCAATACATACGATCGATTGCCCTGCTTCAGCCCATCATCTCCATCATTAAACTTTCTTGATCCGAGAGGATTTGGTTGAGTTACGCTCAAACACAAAACGTCATCCAATTTCACAATAATCATTTGGCAAAGTTATTTGTAAACTGCCACTTGATAGCCCATTCCTCCCATTCTCCATTGTTTCCCAATCCAATGCACGTGAACGATTGTCCTGCTCCAGCCCATCATCTCCATCATTCAACTTTCTTGATCCAATAGGATTTGATTGAACAACGCTCAAACAAAGAGGTATCATTCAACATCAACTCAACCTTTTTTGATTTCCACTTCTTCCACTTCTTCCACTCCCCATTCTCAACTCTTGCCCCATTCAAGTATACAACTACCACCTACGAACTGCTTCACCCCATCATGTCGGTCCTACAACTCTCTTGATCCGATTGCCTTTGACTGAATGGCAAGTCCATGGCGTGCACACCCCACTACAACACCCGCGTTTCTTGACACTCACGTTCTCTTGTACAATCTTCGACCACAATCAAACGCAACAGCAATTCATTCCTACAGCTGCCATTAGCGAGATCTTCACTCCATTGTATCAAACAGCGTTCACAGCCTTATCACGCTACTACAACACACGTCCTTGCTCACTTCTCTGCCGCGATCAAACGTAGCAGCTGTTGCCATTAGCAAGGGCTTTACTCCAATGTCTCTAGCAGCGTTCTTTGCTTGCAGCATCCTGCCTTACAGCCTTTTTACGTGAACAGCAGATAATCGTCATATAGAAGCAGCTTTATCTACAGGTAGCAACTTGTTTTCAATACACGAATTCCTCTGGATATGAATATGGACATGGGCTTGGTATGTGGGATGGAAGGGATTGGATACATACAACGTGAGGAAAAAGATCCTTTGTTTATATGCATTCATTGTCAACTTGACCTTGATACTATCATCATGAACGATTGGAGCATCCGTCATCGTACTTTTCACCCTATTCCATGGAAATTATTATCATCATCCCCTGCGTAGCCCACCAACCATATACAACGATCATCATCCAACTACATATAGATCAGCCCATGCATCAAGTGCCATCTCACATCCACCCTCCTCACCATTCACGCATTTGTTGCTAGAAGATAGAGTTGAACAATAACTAGAGATATAAATCCACGCTTGCATAATCATGATCCTCATTCATCCATCATCTACGTGTGAAAAGGATTATTGACTACATACATACATACATACATACATACATCTACCGATACTACATAGTCGAGGGTTCTATACCTTACCACCAGCACAAATAGCTTCCTTGACTAGCATTCATGAAAGACGTTTTGTATCATCATCTCATCTTCGATCAATTAATAAAGCGGTAGCATTAGTAATTGGAAGAAATAGTGCTTCAAAACGTTTGCTCAACATCATATTTACTTTGAGTCTCCTAGCTCCAGGTACTGTACACATACGTAGAATACGTAGAGAAATGATGATCCCTGTAGCTGCACACGCCTGCCTCCTGATAATTCGGTAATTAGCAAAATAACAAACCGCGTGTATCTGTAAAAACTTGACTACAAAATGCAGGTCCCTGGCAAAGGGGTGTGCCCAAGAGAGAGGGAGAGAGTAAGAGAAGGGCATGCAAAAGGGCATGCATCAACTAAAACGACGACCACAACATGCAAAACTATATAAAGATGCTGAATTTCATAGCAACTGGAACATTATTCCGCTTTTATTTTATTGAAAAAGTACAAGCTAGTCAAGATGCGTTTCTTTATCCCTACTCTCGCTGCTGCAATTGCTGTTCTCTCTGTGGTGTCGGCTCGAGGTCATTCAAATACACATCATATAGGTGCAGGCGCTTCTGAGGCTGGTGGACTGAAGGCCATAAAGGACCCTGTGAAAGGAGCTGTATCAACAGTTGAGCAAGTTGCTAACTTGGGATAAGGACCAGAAGGTGAAGGAGCTACACAAGGTGGTGGCGCTAAAGCTGGTGGTGCCACTGCTGCCAAGGGCGGTTTCAGTACTGGTCCTTCAGGAAGTGGTAGCGATTATTCATAGCTAACTATCCCATCAAACCTTTTGATCAATCGTATTAAAGTCCTTAATTCTCACACACGCTGAGTACGTACATACATATGCCAAATATCCATCATAAGCCCAAATCGTTCGTGCCAATTCTTACCATCCAAGAAGGGCATTGCATTGTAAAATAAGTCTTCTTACCGGTGATTTCACTTGATCACATGATATATTTTATGATTGATAGCATATGATGGTTGTTTCATAGTGTGTCCAAAGTGAAGAGATTTCTGGAGATCAAACTTTTCCTTCAGGTTCTTTGTAGGGTTCAACAACAATTTTCTGGAGATAGGGTATGAAGATGTGTAAGAGAGTGATGTATAGCAGCTGCCAATGTTTTATTCGTATGAACGCTTGCTCCTAACTAAAGACAGGCTCTCACACGATACAATGGGGAAAAAAGTACGTTATTTTTGATACCACTCCAGAGGGTTAATAGCATCATCTAAATAAAAGTGGACCCAATTGCTCGCTTCGCTCGTTGATGATGAATGGCTTATCATCACACTTTTGGGATAATGTTGAGTGAGACCCACCTGGTGTAATAAACGCAATACGCAGTATCCGTCTTTACAATCTTTGGTATTCACGTTCATAATAAGAAACTAATGTTCATCCCGCACTACAACCTTTTTCTCTCCTACATTGCACCCACCCATTCTCAACTGTTGCCCCATCCAAACTACTTTATGTGAACGATTGTCCTGCTTCAACCCATCATGTCAATCCTACAGGTGTCTTGATCCGATTGTCTCTGACTGAATGGCAAGTCCATGGCGTGTGCATCCCACTACAACACACGAGTCTCTTGACACAACACACGCTCTTGCACACTCCTCTACCACGACCAAACGCAACAGCATTCATTTGCAGCAGCTACCATTAGCAAGGGGTTTACTGCATTGTCTCAAACAGCGTTCTCTACTTGCAGCAACTTGTATTACAGCCGTCGTTACGTGGACAGCAGACAGCAGATAGCCATTGTATAGAAGCAGCTTTATTTACGTGTAGCAACTTGCTTCAATACACATGACTTCTTATGGATATGGATATGGATATGGATATATACATCGCGTGGAAACAGGGCCTTTGTTCTTGTGTATTCATTGTCAACTTTAACCTTGATGCTATCATCTTGAGTGATTGTTACATCAAATTCTCTTGCTTTACACGCAGCTACAATCTTCATCCTTTGTGTGATCTGTCAACCATCATCATCCTACTGCACATTTTGACACCTCATAACTATGCATCAAATGCTATCTCACATCCATCCTCCTGCACCCATTCGCTTCTTTATTGATAGAGTTGAACAATAACCAGAGAAATAAATTCACGTTTGCATTATCATGGTCATCATTCATCCATCAGCTACGCGTGAAAAAGATTACTGACACTGCTACGTACATCCACCGATACCACATACAGTAGTCAAGGATTCAACACCTTACTTGAATCGATCACCACCAGCACAAATAGCTTCCTTGATTAGCATTCATGAAAGACTTTTTGTATCATTACCTCATCTACAATCAAGCAATAAAGCTGTAGCATTAGTGGGTGCTTGCTCATCATCATATTATTTGGTTTTCTCTTGAGTCTCCTTGCTCAATGTGCTATACACATACATAAAAAAGTAGACAAATGATGACCTTTGTAGCTGCATGCCCCTGCTTCCTGATCAAAACAGTGCATCTCTGAAAAAAGGGGTAGTAAATGCAGGTCCCTGGCAACGGGATACATCCTTATCTCAGAGAGAGAGAGAGAGAGAGAGAGAGGGAGTAAAAGAAGGACATGCAAAAGGCATGCTTTAACTAAAACGACGATCAAAACTTGCAAAAGCTATATAAAGATGCTGAATTTCACAGTAGAGGCAACATTATTCCACTTTTACCTAATTGAAAAAGTACAAGCTAGTCAAGATGCGCTTCTTTATCCCTACCCTCGCTGCTGCAATTGCTATTTTCTCTGTGGTGTCGGCTCAACCTGCTCCAGAAGGTGGCGCTGATGCTGAAGCCGTCGGTGCTAAGGGTGGTTCAGGACTAGGATCCAAAGCAGACACCGCTATTACCAGTACTGGTGAAGACTTGGTGGCGGGAGTTACCCCTGAAGAAATGGCACAAGTACGAGCGTTTCTGCGAGGTGATACTGTTGGTTCTTAAAGGAGTGGCAGCGACTCATAGAAGTAACCCACTCTATTCCTCCATCAAACTTTTGATTGATCGTATTAAAGCCTTTTAATTCTCACACCCACTGACTATGGGCATATAATATGTGCATGTCACATAAAGCCCAACTTGTTTGTATTAATCCTTACCATTCAAGAAGAGCATTGCACTGTAGTATAAGACTTCTAATCTTATGACATTGTACTTGGTCATATGATGGATTTAACGAGTGATAGCACACAACGGCTATTGCATAGGAAGAGAAAGGGGTTGGTTGATTCATTGTGTCTTGAACAAAGACTGCATTCGATAATACTATAGGTCACCACATCTTTTTTTTTTTGGGGGGATATCTTTTAAGATAGATATTTTATTATTATGAATACCCGGTGGGAGCGATAGACTATGTACAATGTATTAAGGCTGATAAATGAAACGCTTGTTTTCTACGTCTGTTTTATCTTCAATCACAACATCCTCTTTTGTTGTATCCTTGTCATCGTTTGCTGGTGATTCGTTAAAGTGTACATAGCGTCTCCTATTATCGCGATTGAGACTCCATCCATAATAAACAAAAAGTAAGGCTGATATTCCTGTGGCTGTGAGAAAGCCTGCCATTGCACGTGTATATCGAGGTGGATCTCTCATCATGATGGGTCCAAGATAATTTCCAACTGTGATGGCTGCCACATGCGTCATCATGTAAAAGTTCATTTTGGTGGTTCCTGACACGTTGGTGGAGATCAAGGTCTGCAAACCGGATAGTGCAAATATGGTTGGCGCAATGCATACACCAAAGAGGCGTGCAGCAGGTGGTATAGGTGGCACAACAAGGAGAAGCAAGCCGACAAAAGGGACCAGCATAAAGAATGCAATCGTGAAAGCCACCTGGTGTTTACATCGTGTGTGTCGAATGATGTAAGCCAAGCTGATGTAAGCGATCATTTCATAGACGCTGCGTGGTATGTTGAGTAGGACCGAATTTAAGCTCTATACATTGTGATGGCGTCATTAGTATGTTCCTGACTCGATCCATGCATATAACCAACGTACCGAAAATCCCATTTCATGAATAATTTGAGAGCTGAAGTTACCAATACTTCCATTGGGCATGCTGATGAGAATAGAAATAACCACTTGGCAATAGAATCTTGATTCACACAAGGATTCACGGATATGATGCCATTGGATCGGTTGTGTCGTAGGTCGTCGTGCATCTTCAAGCACTTGCTGGGCTCTTTCCTTCTCCACCTTACTCAATGACAAGTACCGGGAATCAAGCGTATCCGGGAGAACAAAGAAAACAATCACACCACCGATGACTGAAAGAAGACCCCAAATAATGAAGCACCTAAATAAAGTGATTAGAAAGCTATGTATCATATGGAGCAACAATAGCCTTTACCATTTCCAAGGACTGAGACCTCCACCAGTGATGTGAGCCATAGCATAAGTAAATAAACTTCCTATTCCAATAGCCAATGCAATGGATGCATAAAGTAGACCAATATAGAAGGCTTGATGTGACCGAGGAAGAAATCGTTTGATGATCATGACAGTGGCAGGGAGAATGCTTGCATCAAATACACCAAGTAGTATACGACATGCAGCCAGCCTAGGAAACGAATCGCCAAGTGCCATCAACGTTTGCGTGGCTCCCCAAAGAAAAGTCGTTATACCAAGGAACTTGGACATCGGCACTCGTTGCATGATATAAGCCGAGGGAAGCTGCATTGTATAACACATATTAGCTTTATGGATATTCTGCTTGGATATTGATTGACTTACTTGAGATACTATTTGACCAATGTATAGCATAGATCCAAGCAAGCCAAACTGATCATGGCTGATGCCTGTATCACGGTATATTCCAAGTACACCAGCATAGTTGAGAGTCATCTTGTCAATTTGCTAGTTTCCACATTAGGATCATAACCATATTATTGAGCCACATAACGACATACACTTAGACACGTAATGACGAGCACTAATGGCAAGATCTTGAAAGCAATTTTGCGAACGAGTTGTTGGTCGTGGCGATTGCCAATGTCGCTCATGGGGTTGGCGTGTTTGAAATCAGAGTCTGCCATGGCTGCATATGGGAACCACCTTTGGTGAAAGATGCGGCGATAACGGCAAGTGATGCTGCAGGGATGTACATGATGATGGTGAAGATGATGATGTTGATGAGGATGAAAGAAAAGTGATTGGGTATCCCACACGTCGTACCGACCATGCATGAAATTCCTCCTACTCCTTATCCCCTATCTCCGCTTGTACCCCCTCGCTTCGCTCATATCCCATCTATAGCACTCTGCATGATATTTATTGTTGATTGTCTAGTTCCTTGCATACTTGAAGACCAGCATCAGCCAAATGCTCAAAGTCAGCAAGTTCATTGTACACTTGCGCACTTAGACGCAGGTACCAGTGACCATTGTGCTTGAAAGGTTGTCCGGTAGTGTGATGATCAAAAATAAGCTTGTGAAAGAATGATCGAGTAATGATTGCATCCGATAATCCAGCCTTGTTTTCAAAGGGTAGCTGCACATTGGCCATCGCCACTGTAAGCGTTTCCTCCTCATTCTCAATCATGTGCGTGCCCCATTTCTTGGCTACAAGTTCTCCTCCTTGACGTGCCAATTTGTTGCAGTATGCATGAATCGCTTCTTCGCCACCCAAAGATTCACGAAAATCAAGGGCTATAGCATACATAGTTTAGTCACCGCTATTGTACGTATCTAGGATACCACTTCCTCATCCATACCTGCATTGACACAAACAAAGTTGGTGAAATCAATTGTACCTGGCCATGCAAACTCGTCGCAAAATGTGCTGGAGCTTTGATCCACAGAATGATCTTGATACGATACATTGATCACGCTAGGATGCACAAGAGCTTGGTTGCGTTTGGGTACATACAAAATGGCAGCACCACGGGGAGCAAAAAGCCATTTGTGGCAATTACCAATAAAGAAATCTGGATCCGCTTGATGAAGATCTAAGGGAATTTGACCTATAGCAAAGGAAAAAAAAAAGTAGGTGAGTATGATTGGATCAACCATCTTCACACAACAACACCCAGCACACAAGGTGTAATGGATGGTGAATGTGTGCGAGATATACCAAGGGCATGGGCACCATCCACCACCGACAAGATGTTGTGTTCTCGACATAGTTGGATGACACGCTCAAAAGGAAATCGCACTGCAGGGACGGAGCTGACAGCATCAAACATAGCCATACGAATAGGCACATCAGGATCCTTGGCATGTTCACGATCAATGGTGCTCTTGACCGTATCATAGACTTGCTGATCGGTCATTGGATAAGCCAACTCGATCATCACCAGCTGGACGTTGCGTGTGTCCTTCAAGTATGCCATGGTGCGATCCACTGCATTGTATAGCGTATTGAACTAGTAGGTGTCTCGTGTCATTCATTCATGCATTGCCCATTTCAGGTTTAATCACACTCACTTACCACAAGCACTTTTTCAGCTTGCTTCAGGCTCAAACTGCGTACGACTGAATTGATGCCAAAGGATGCGTTGACAACAAATACCAACTCATCACGATCACAGTGAACGAGACGACTCAGGCGTTCACGTATCTTATCAAGTTCGGGCCAAAGGGTGAATTTGAGGAACCGGTCGGGATTTTGTTCAGCTTTAAGTTGCCATTCATGGCGCACCGCTTGAACGCTCCTTGGGCAAACACCGTAGCTGCCGTGGTTCATGGGCACGTAGCCATCTTCAAGAAGGAATTCATGTCTCAAAGCATGTCCGAATTTACGCTTGGTCAATGTCATTTTGTTGTGATACTATAAAAGGGGGATAACGGAGATAGAGAGAAAGAAAGAGAGCAAGCAGAGAATAAATAGATAAGGTGCGCGTTTAATTACGTATGCGAGAGAGCATTACGTTTGTTGTCGTTGCACAATGTGTTTGTGTAACCACCCAACAGGCCATTTGCTTTGCCCCTCTCTTTATTATGCATCCCATGCATGAATCTTACAATGACGACGGGAATCGTTGATTCAACAACCAATTTAATAAGTATATTCTTTGACAATGTACACGCTTGCCAACCATGCACCCTTTATCACAAAAGGTCTGCTCATCCTGCTTTGATCACCCAAAATAGCTGCTGACGGAGTTCCCACGGCAATGACCCTGTCATGATGATGATGATGCGTGACAAGTGGTGCCGATCATGATATCCCCCGTGGTATGGCGTGGAGTCATACCTTTGATAATACGTCAATAGGCCAGGTCATTTAGCACTATAAAGGAAATAAAACCAGATTAATAGTAGATGCCAAGTGCCATTCTTACGTATGTTCCGACAAATCTATGTATGCTTGTTTGCTATTTCGCATAACCTTAAAACAAATCGATTGGATGTGTAATCATCAACCCGTGATAATGAAATCATGCCGTAACAGTGAAAAGCAGCAGGTGGTATCAAGGTGATTATCCTATGATGGCTTGCAATGCATGCGTCAAGTTCAGCTGTGATCATCATTCTAAGCCTTGGCAAGCTACATGTATCTCAATTTGGAACCATGTTTATTGGCGCGCATCAATGGTAGTCGTTTTATAGGGTGGGCATCATTGTTAATGAAAGTGCTTCATTGTCCTGATGTCGCTCAATAGCTCATACTTTAAAGTCACGTGGCGCGGCGTTGCTATACAATGAATCGTTGCTATAGCGCGTTTCCATGACAACCACCATCCCCAAACCATGACACTTTTTTTCCAATCCAACATCATCAGGATGACAACAAAGAATAATCAGGATGCTATATGTTCCGATTTATTGGAGGAACGCAAAAAGCAAGTGTTGCTTAGTAGAAGAAACCAAGGATCTTGCCACCAGCGTGCTTGCGACGAGCTTCCTCGTGATCCATGATACCGGCAGAGGTGGTCAAAACAAGGTAACCGAATTGACGGGAGGGAAGCAAGTTGGAGGTCCACTTCTCAAGATCCTGGAGCTTGATGTTGAAGCGGGGGGAGATGACACCGCACTTGTTCAAACGGCCGTTGAGTTGGATAACGATCTTGCCAGAACGGTGGTCGTCGATTTCCTCAAACTCACCAATGTAGCCTATATCGATATATCGTTAGTCGGTCTGCCATTATCCTCATTTACGAAATTGGACGTACCGTGCTTCTGCATGACCGAAAGGAACTTGACAATGACCTTGGAGGAAGGGCGGATCATGACCTGGCGCTTACCACGGCGCTCGGCGTTGTTGATGGCGTTCAAGCAGTCGTTCAAAACAGAGACACGGACCATGTTATATAAAAAACAAGCTGTAAAGACGACGTGTATTGTATTAATAAAAGGTTCAAGGAGAATGGCATCTTCATCCCATGATGATGCATCCAATCAATCTCGCTTCAATACGTAAAATGTCGATAATATCATGATGCAGTCGATGGATCGATGAATGGATAGACGGATGGATGCATCATGTAAAAGGATGGATGCATGGATGAATCATTGATACATTACCTGATGGGTCAGCACGAAGAGGAGGAATCAACGGCTTGCCAGTACCCCTTGGAGAGATCAAGCGCACGCATAAGCCACACTGGATGGCAAAACTGTTTCACCGACACCATCTTCATGTCGCACACACACATACTTGAAAGGAACATGCAGAATAGAGTTGCGATTCTTTTCTCTCTCTCTTTTTATTATCAGCATGGTGAATACAATCTATTTAAAATGGTGGGGAAGGGAGGTTGAGGGGGATGTGAGATGATCTTGATCCATAATGAGCATTTTACCTGGAAACGGTAAATGTCGGGATGATCAATTCATGCAGCAAGGATGTATTCCAATAATGAGATAAAAGAGATAAAGTATAAGGAAGAAAGCAGGATATAGAGTGATAAGCAGGAACCTGTCATTGCACATGATTTAACATGACAACAAGGCGTGTGAGCCTAAAAGTAGTATTCGGAGAAGAAAGATAGAATCAATCAATCTGTTTGACACCTCTTCCACACTCACACACTCTCACACACTCACACACTCACTCACGCAATCGACGACTCATCCAACGCATGCGTAACCAGCACCATAAGTGGGCATTGGGTAAGACCAACTACTCTGTGTTATACTATGCACAACATGACTGATGGCAACCGAGCTTGATTAGGGCGTGAGTTTGACGACAATGCTCCAATGGCCATGGGGCCCAACGAGGTACCCGCCGAATGCGACCCACGTTGTATCCTGGTTTCCAAGTTGCACCGACAGACCATTGCCCATACCCTTCACGATTACTTTACGAGATTCGGTCAAGTCGAGCGAGTGGAGATAGAGCTTGACGAGGATCGTCGTTCAAAAGGTCGTGCTATTGTTCTCTTCGAGTAAGTTGAAAGGGTATCCTATCATATAGCATCAAGTAAAGCTCACGTATCTATGTACTTGTTTAGTCAACCACCCTCTGATTGCAGCTTTGTATTTTCAAAAGCAAGGATTGATGGTGTACCTGTTGCTATGAAGTTTGCACCAAAGGGATTTTCGAATGCACATCCATGGCGAGAGGCACCCAAGGAGCCGAATACTGCACGAATACCCGCAAAGCAATTATCGATGGGAGTGATGGTGGCTACCAAGGCCTTTGCAGAGATGTGGTCAGCAGCAATGAATGTGGAATTGATCATTGATTACGACGTGCGTACTTGCATTATTCTCTTTTCATACTTGGGCGAACGATATCGAATGCGATTTGACTTTGGCGACATTGATGGAATGATGCGACTCGAACGTGATGGATCAGCTATTTATCTTACGATTTCATTACAATATCCTCCCCACGTCAAGAGACAAAAGATGATGAAGGTGCCTGGTACAAGCGATCATTTGCACACACAGCGCAATTCGACAGCGAGAGCATGGGAACGTGTTGTGGATATTCCAGTTGACATGAATGCAAAGAGACGCTTGGAAGCTGAAATTGCCAACAATACCAAAGCCAAACGTAGTCCAGTACCACCTATACCACCGGCTCATCGTATTGATTTGGGTGGATGGTTGACATTGCGTATCAAGCTTGATCCTCCTGAATACATGCAGCCTGCATTACAAGACATGTTAGCCCAGGGAGCTCTATTCAACCTTATACCACGCGATTATCAAAAGGAACGACGACTCTTTTTACGTGTTATTCCCGGCTCAACATTGAATATCAAGGATCACATCTATCGAGCCACCAAAATCAAGGATTTCGATGTATTATACGCTCTTGAATCAGCTGTATCACGGCATCAAGTCGAATCAGCAAACATGGATGACAACTTTTACGACATGATGAATCAGCTCGAACCATGGATCGCTGTTAGTCTATTGACGTTATTGATGGAGCATGGTGCATTGGTACGCAATCCAGCCGAGTTTTGTCACAACATTTACAAGCAAAAACGTGGCAAGATCAATCATCGGCAACATATTCCTCAGCATTGCATGGCGACTCGAAAGGTCTTTGTCACGCCAACGACCATGTACCTTCAACCACCCGTTGTTGAAGTCACCAATCGTGTTGTTCGTCACTTTGAGCAATACGCTGATCGCTTTCTTCGGGTACAATTTGTTGACGATGGAATGAGACGCATGCCAGCATCCTTTGGTATCGACCACAATGAAGCTTTATATGATCGAGTATACAAGGTCTTGCGAGATGGCATCCAAATTGGCACACGGCGCTATGAATTCCTGGCATTTTCAAGTTCACAGCTTCGAGGCCATGGTTGTTGGTTCTTCGCCCCCACGCATGAATTAACTCCAAAGATGATCCGTTCGTGGATGGGATCATTTGATCATGTAAAAATCATTGCCAAGAATGCCGTGAGAATGGGACAAGTAAGTAAGATAAACAAACAAGGTGATTATATATGATTTGACTGACAACATCCATCCGTATCCTAGTGCTTTTCATCGACTACCCCGACAAAGGATTTGGATATCAGTCAAGTGGAGATCATTGATGACATTGAAGCCAACGGCTATTGTTTCTCGGATGGCATTGGAAAGATATCACCTGCATTGGCTCGAGAAGTGGCAAGCTTACTAAAGCTGGATCATCCGCCAAGTTGTTTTCAATTTCGGTTGAGTGGTGCCAAAGGTGTGCTCGTCGTCTCCAATTATTTGAGTGGCAAGAGGCTTCAATTACGACCAAGCCAAATCAAGTTTGAAGCCAATTATACCATGTTTGAAGTGATCCGTGTATCGCGTTTCCTACCAGCATACCTCAATCGACAAGCTATCATTCTATTATCAGCATTGGGTGTCAAGGATAATGTGTTCATGACTATGACAAAGAACGCAATGGATGCAATGGATCTCATGCTCAAGAACCCGTCCACGTCTACACGCCTCTTGACTCAGAATTTGGATGAATTTGGTACAGCACGTGCAATGATGGCCATCATCAACTCTGGTTTTCTCGAACGCCAGGATCCCTATATCACCAACCTGCTCAAACTCTTTCGTGCATCACGAATGAAGGATCTAAAGGAGAAGGCAAAGATTCAAGTGCCAAAGGGTGCATTTCTCCTTGGTGTCCTTGATGAGACCGATTCATTGGAGCCAAACGAGGTGTTTTGTCAAATCTCAGAGAGTACCCTTGGATCAAGTCAGCCCATACGACGTGTCATTGCGGGTGATTGTATTATTTTCCGCAACCCATGTTTCCATCCTGGCGATATTCGTGTGGTTACAGCTGTCGATTGTCCAAAGTTACGCCATTTATGTGATGTGATTGTATTCCCTGCAAAAGGTTATCGAGACCTTCCTAGTATGCTTTCGGGAGGCGATTTGGATGGTGATGATTATACGTAAGTGATATGGATCATCTCAATTTGACATGATCTAATTCGTTTGTTCTATATAGGCTTATTTGGGATCCATCGTTAATTCCACCCAACCGGAACTTTGAACCACTTGATTATACACCAGAGGAGCCCATGGAGGTGGATCGCGTCAAGATTTCACATATCCAAAAGTTCTTTGTCAATTACATGAACAATGATAGCCTGGGTCAGATCGCACATGCACACTTGGCAACAGCCGATATGTCACCCATGGGTGCTCAGGATGGCCGATGTATTCGTTTGGCACAGCTACATTCACGTGCAGTTGGTAAGTTTATTGAGATGGCAAGAAAGGAAAAGGAGACTAACATCTATCTATCTATTAGATTTCCCAAAGACAGGCAAACCTGCCATTCTTGAAGAAGATCTACGTGTGCGCGTATTCCCTGATTTCATGCAAAAGAAGGACAAGGAAAGCTACAAGTCCGAAAAGGTGTTGGGACGTATTTACCGATCAATCAATCAAGAGGATTATGAGCATTATCGTGAAAAGCTTGTACACTTGGAGGGAACGACATACGATGTACGATTGTGGACAGACAATATGGAGCCATACATTCTTCAAGCACGTGAAATCAAAGCCGAGTATGACCGAGACATTCAATCACTCATGAATCAATATGGCGTGTATACCGAAAGCGAGTTGATTTCAGGATTTGTAATGGAATGGGGCCAAATACCAGATACAAGGAGCAACACATTTGAGCTATGCAAGCGGATGATGCGAGCGGTGACATCGTTGCGTGAAAAGTACCGCCGAGAGCACTTCATCAAGGATCTCATTGGCGACCGACCTCTATACCAAGCCAGTGATGAAGATCGTATGCATTTGGAGACGAAGGCTGCCGCTTGGTACTATGTCACTTACCATCCTGAAGAGCGACGACGTGCACACTCTGGAAGTGATTTTATCAGCTTCCCATGGATACACTTTGACTTGCTTTGTGAAATGGCACGTCGCAATACCCATCGTGAGGTTCTTCCTCGCATGTACCAAGCGCTTGATGAAAAGACCATTCAGAGCTATCGACAAGGCGATTTGCAATGGGTTGAGGATATTCAAATTAAAGAAGAGGACGAAGAAGATGAGCAAGAAGAGGATGAGAGTGACGAAGAGGACGAAGAAGAGGATGAGAGTGATGATGATAGCAACCATCAAGGCAACGATTCTGGTACCGAGGAAGCGGAGCATCCAGTGTTCGAGATCAAGATTGCAGATTTGAAAAAGTTTATTTCACAAAGAACAAGCAGCAACGTAGCAAAGTCAATATCCTCATCCAACATTTTACCGTCACCAAGCAGCTCAAAGTCTCATACCATTGAACGAAAGGCTGACAGCATTCAGCAACCACACAAACCCGATTATGTACATCTGAAAAGCGACCACACCGATGAAGAGATGGCCAAAGTTCTCTTTAGTTAATTCACACATCCGCCACCATTTACATCCAATACAACATTGTATCATTGAATTTGCATCTTTATTCCAAATGGGTGCTTTTTGCGTCAAAACCACATCCCCACAACTTTATCTAGTATCACAACAATCTCATATCATGCATTAAAAACTTTTATAACGTTTCCACCTCTCTCTCAATTTTAGTAAATGATAAATAGTTGCACAATGGAAAGCAATTACATTAGCGTATTACTATGTATCTTCTAAGCCATACACTCCAAAATCCAGCACTTCAAACGACGTGACATCATCCCTAAAGCGATATCTATCAGTCTCAGAAACACTTTAGAAACAAAAGAGCAATGTTTACCTATGAACGGTGGCGACGCAACGTCGTTGATCAAAAGCGACACGCCAAACACCCGATACGTTTGTAATAAGATCACAGACATGTTTGCCGGTATTGATATCCCACATTTTGAGACCGCCTTCGGATCCTGAGATGACCATTTCGTCATTGTGTTGGAAGCAAGTGATGGCGCTGATATGACCTGTGAGGACGTGTTGACATACACCTGTTTCTGGAGACCATACACGAAGCGATGCGTCTGCTGCAGCTGATACCAAGTACTTTGATGTTAAACCCAACAAGCCAACGAGGATGGCATGACCATCGAGCACCTTGAGACAATGACCATTTTCCATATCCCAAATGCGTACTGTGCTGTCCATGCTTCCACTCATGCAATGTTGACGTTCTGCATCGATGACGACTGAATACACTTTTTGCACATGGCCTTCCATACGATGCAGCATTCGACCTTCTTCCACATTCCACACGCATACTGTGCAATCGTAACTTCCACTCACTAAACGATTACCATGGGCTGCGAGCGCACGCACCGAATGTTCATGGCCTGTAAGTGAATGCATGAACCAACGAGGACCCCCTTCACCATGATAGGTCTCATTGTTGTTCATTTGTTCATCATCCAAATCGGGTAATCGCCAAACACGCAGCGTTGCATCACGCGAACCAGTGACAATGAGAGGCACACTAGGCTCAAGACGTCCATTGACCATGGTAGGTTGCACGATTTGAAGACAGCGTACGGTGGATGTGTGACCAATAAAGACATGTGTGCAAAGACCTTTGGCGATATCCCAAACACGTACTGTACGATCGGTGGATCCACTGACGAGGGTGTTTCCAACATATTGTAATGCCCACACACCACCTTCATGTCCTGTTAATGCATGTCGTAGCTGGCCCGTGCGAGTGTCGTACACATGAATATGGTGGTCGTCGGCACCAGAAATGATCTTGTCATCATCAAATTGTAAGCACGTGACTACCGTTCTCGGTGGATGGCCTTGGAAACGAATACGGCGTGCTCGTCCTCGTCGCCAATTTTGTCGTAATGTGTATTGTCGACGATAGATTTCCTTGTATCGATTGATGCCACCACCACCACCACTACCATCATCCACGTCCATGGGATCTTCATTGCCATCATCATTGTTATCCATCATATGAGAAGGCAAAAGTCGATCACGCTGCAAGAGCCGTTTCCATGTGGCTGGATGTGAATCCACTACCGAACGCCATTTGCGACTGACACAGGCTGCTCGACAAAGCGTAAGGGCATCAAGATAGCTAATGACATTCAATGCTAATTCCAGGGGTAACGAGGCAAGAAAATCCCTTTTGAGAACAGGGGTCACCATGGCATTGACAAATTGCAACGTATCGGTAGGGGAGCGTTTCAACAATTGGAATAGAATGTAACTCTGCAAACTAGGTGCAAGGGAATCATAAGCATGGACCATATCTGGAAGCTGTCGTAAGGCATCACTAGTGACCATGGGTAGTAATCCATCTTCTTCATCATCCAAGTAAGGGGATGGCATGTTGTTGGCGGTGGTGGTTGTTGTTGTAATGGTTGTTGTTGTTGTTTCCAATTTCACTCGTTTCTTGCTATTGCTTTGATGGTGGTGGTGGTAGTATCCATTGCCATTGGTGGTAGTGGCATCATCATCTTCATCTTCCATGGGTGTGGTTACAAATGTTGACATGGAACCACGGCGTTTGCTTGTATGATCCTGTATACGGCGGCGGCGGCCAGCAGCAGCAGCAGCAGCAGCAGCAGAAATTTGATCAACATCCATTGACATAGTACTCCTTATCCAGTCTAATCTCTGATGTCTTACCTTGTATCCTTCATGAGATGGCTGTTGATAGATGCTCATCGATCTAAAAGACAAAAGACTCGGAGGGGTGGTTGCTCGGGCCAAAGGGTATCGCATGGTGGGATAAAAAGAAGACGAGGACGAGGACGGCGACTCGGTCTGTGAGATGTTGGAATGAGCTGGAGTCGATGGCAAAATAGCAGTTGCTGGTGGTGGTGGTGGTAATGACGGTGGTTGAAGGGTTGTGCTTGAGGATGTGGTATGCATGGTAGATGGATGAGATGTGGGGGTATTTGAATGTGTCATGCGTGGAGTAGGTGGAAGCATTTACGGGGGACAATGTCAAATGGGGGGAATTATATACAAGTGAGAGAGAGAGAGAGAGAGAGAGAGAATAAGTGCTGCTCTGCAAGAAAACAAAGAGAACTTGGCAAGATAGATTGATAGTGTTATGAGGAGGACTGATGAATCAGACTAAAGCATCCAATCCGTTGAGTGAGTAAAAAAGAGAGAGAAAGAGAGAGAGAGAGAGAACAAAAAAAGGTGAGAGGGGATGGTATTATAAAAAGAAAGAAAAGGAAATACAGGAGAAGTGTGCTGTGTGGGTGTGTAAAGCGGGATAACCAAGTTGTGTGTGTGTGTGTGTGTGTGTGTGTTTTTGATGGAGGAAAAAGAATGCACAACCCTCTTTTGTTGCTGACTCGCCCGACAACGGATGATGATAATGACCCCCTTTCTCCCACACCACAAGTCATCAGTATAGCTATCCCTTGTCTGCAAAGAATGATATGCGCCTGTTGCGAGGGAAATCCAAATAGGTAATAGATGATCCTTTTTTCCACTTTCCCTCTCTCTCTCACTCTCTTTCTCAACAACAACAACAACGTGCCACTCACATTATGCATATGCATCCATCCCACACATTTCTCTTTCTCCCTTTTCTCATCCGACTCCCATAATTCTTCAATTGTATCTCGATTTCCATCTCCCTTTTGATAATTAAAAGCAGCGCTGTATGTGAATTGCAGATGGAGACGGAGCCTGTATCCTTGCATTGGTTACCCATCGCACGAATTTATTGGCCCTGGTGATTTACCAGAGAGCACCACACACCCATCACACCACTTTTCCAAGGGCGTGCGTGTTTATGTATAAACCAAGACACCCTTTTTACCCATTCACATCAAAACGTATAGAACTATGCAGAAGCATTTCATCTATTACTTTCAAAGCGCGACCCATACTTGCGAATGACCGACGTCAACATGTAACAATAATGCGTGTGTATTACATCAAAGTGCATTGGTGTATTCGCAATGGGTGCTGTTAGGTGGATAATCGAATGCCACCCTTCATCCGGTTTGTCATACAAAAGAAGCGTCCCCTTGTTTTACCGGCATTTGATGTATGATGGCTGCAACAACAATCGACCACTCACAGCTGAGTCGGTTCCTTTTTTGCGCTTTGCAACAAGCACATCCATTGGTCTGGTGCTGACAAAGGAAGCAGCTATTGAGAGTTGTGGCTGAACCCAATATGTGTTGCATTGAATTACAGAGAAAAGGGTGACACATGCTCTATTGTTTTCGGTATCCTTCTCGTTGGCCAAGTGACACCTTTTTTGGATGTTGGGTGTCGGCTTTAGGTGGCGATCAGCCAATCTATCCTTGTGCGGGGAATTGGCATCAGTAAGCAAGTGTAGCACAGGTTCATCATCATCATCATCAAACCTAAGCACAACATCATTGGAATGCATTATCAAGAGACAAGGCAAGGAGTCATAGCAGTAGTAAAAAGAACGATGCATGAATAAAGTTAATTTTAAATCCATAGTGCTTTCACACACCCACATCCACCATCTGCACATGAGACATAAAAGCACCATAAGCAGCATTGGTGTATCACTCAAGTGGTTGAGTTGCTTTGTCATCCAGCCAAGGGACATTTGATTGGCCTCCACAAGCCAGCTTCCCCAGCAAATTCACGTAAATGATTGGGGGGTCTCATGCATTGCGTGTGATATTTCAACAGAAAAATATAGCCCTCTTGTCCCCCACCCCGCAACCTATAAAAGACGTTGACTTTTCAGATCTTGCTGCTGTTTCCTTGTCTCTCTTTTCCACTCTTCATTTGAAAAGACAACCCCCTCACTCTTTATCATCATGTCCAAGAACGTTTTGACCACCTCTAACGGCAACCCTGTCGAGAACAACCAAACCTCCCAAACCGCTGGTCCCTGGGGTCCTGTGTAAGTCATCCTCTTTTTACTATAATTGTTCATATCCATATAACTCAACTTTTTCTTATACACATACAGCCTTATTCAAGACTTCCACTTGATTGACAAGCTTGGTATGATCACTTTTATTCCCACTTGAATCACATGCTGACATAATTTTTTATATAGCTCACTTTGACAGAGAGCGTATTCCTGAGCGTGTTGTCCACGCCAAGGGTGCTGGCGCCCACGGTGTCTTTGGTAGGTTTCACCCCCCGCTCTTTTCAACCATTGCGACGATTTTGGACTGCATGCTTACAATGAGACACAATAGAGGTCACCCATGACATTAGCCATCTTACCAAGGCCAAGTTCTTGAGCCACATTGGCAAGAAGACTCCCGTCTTCCTTCGTTTCTCGACCGTTGGTGGTGAGAAGGGTAGCGCTGATACTGCTCGTGACCCCCGTGGTTTCGCCGTCAAGTTCTACACTGAGGAGGGTACGTATGATTGAGCCGTGTGTGTGTGTGTGTGTAATGTAGTTGATTCATTGGATTCTCACGCGATGCATTGTATCTAGGCAACTGGGATATGGTTGGCAACAACACTCCCGTTTTCTTTATCCGTGATCCTTCAAAGTTCCCTGGTATGTTGAATTTGATTCAGTGTGTCAAATCTTTTGTATCGCCGAAATGCTCATCAACGATCGGGTATTTCCGTTTACAACAATTATAGACTTCATCCACACCCAAAAGAGAAATCCTCAGACCAACACCCCCGATCCTGGTAAGTTATACTAAAAAATCATCTTGTGTGGGAAAAAGTTTTTACTCATACCATCGTCCTTGTCAATGCAGACATGTTCTGGGATTTCCTCTCCTTGGTCCCTGAGTCCATCCACCAAGTCTCCATCCTCTTCTCCAACCGTGGTACTCCCGATGGTTACCGCCACTTGAACGGTTACTCCTCCCACACCCTCAAGCTTGTTGATGCCAACGGCAACTTCAAGTATGTCAAGTGGCACTTCAAGACCGATCAAGGTATCAAGAACTTGAAGGCTTCCGAAGCTCAACGTCTTGCTGGTGAAAACCCTGATTACGCTACCGCTGATCTCTTCAACGCCATTGAGCGTGGTGAATATCCTTCCTGGTCCGTCTATGTCCAAATCATGGAGCCTGAGGATGCCAAGAAGTACCGCTTCAACCCCTTCGATGTCACCAAGATTTGGTCTCATAAGGTAAATTATCGCGAGCCATGTGCTGTTGGGAAAAAAAAAGAGAGGCAACGAGAGAGATGTGTGTGTACAACGTATGTATCTCACACATATACGATGATGATGGTAATAGGATTATCCCTTGCACCCTGTTGGCAAGATGACTCTTAACCGCAACCCTGAGAACTACTTTGCTGAGGTTGAGCAAGCTGCTTTCTCCCCTGCTCACATTGTTCCTGGTATCGATATCTCTCCTGATCGTATGCTTCAAGGTCGTCTTTTCTCGTACCCCGATACCCACCGCCATCGCTTGGGTGCCAACTACACTCAAATCCCCATCAACCAACCCAAGTCGGTTGTTGCTAACCACCAACGTGATGGTTTCATGGCTGGTAAGTGTGTGTGAAAAAGTTGTTGTTGTGACATGTGAGAAACTCACTCTTCATCTTTTTTAGTCAACGGCAATGGTGGTGCTGCTCCTAACTATGAGCCCAACTCTTTCGGTGGTCCTTACCAAACCAATGTTGCCGCTACCACTTTCTCTGCTGAGGAAGTCTCTGGCTTGACTGGTCGCTTCACCTATGAGCTTACCGATGATGACTTTGTCCAAGCTGGTGATCTCTACCGCTTGATGCCTGCTGAGGAGAAGACCGACCTTGTTGAGAACATTGCTGGTCACCTCAAGAACGCCAAGAAGCACATCCGTGAGCGTCAAATTGCCCACTTCAAGCGTGCTGATCCTGAATACGGTCAACGCATTGAAGAGCTTATTGCTGCTGCCCTCTCCAAGGCTTAAGCATCTTTTCACAACCCACTCACAAATATCATCTCCCTTTTTTTACTCTCTCACAACAACCACCACATAACTGTAAAATTGTTTCGCTTTATCTCTCCCTCTACCTCTGTACCTAGTGGACACACAAAATAAATGCATACCGAGTATCGGATGCTTTTGTACAACATGATTGAATATACAAGTCGCGGCTTTATTCGGGTGATTGTTTTCGTTTCTCCACCCAGGGTATATGCATAAGCGGTGTGATACCCTCCTTCGTACTATCATGCAAACCCAAGTACATCCATCACCTTCCTTATGGTTAGCATCAGCCTACTATACATAGAATGCGTGGAAAGGATATATAATTCTTCACATTACCCATCACCATTAGCTTCCATGTCGCCATTTTGCTTGTTATTGTGTCACCGCATAGCAACTCACACGTACAAATAAACAAGGGTGGTCCAATACGAAGTGTATTTTCGTGATCAACGACTTCATGATACAACGTGGGTAAACAAGCTGCGGCTTGCAATCGGGCAATTCATAATAGGAGGGACGCACGTTGTTGTCATGGCAACCGAGCGTTGATTTTTGGAGGATTCCATAATCTTAATTACCCTGATTACTCCAAGCATGATCCCTTTTGTCGATCTTCTTTTTCGATATTGTATTCGGGTATCATTAACAACATCATTAAGACGCGATACATCATTCAACATAAAGTCAGCATGCTTGTATGGGCAAATGTGATCATTTGATATCATAAATCTAGAACCTGGTGCATGGTGGGGTGAGAGGAATAGTAAGAGATGATATCTTCATGGCCGTTTAAAGATGATAACATCCCAGGCCATATCGCAAGCAATATTTTCATGCCTTAAAGTGTGAGTCTATCACCTTAAGGGATGATTTGAGATGACCCCACCACATCCTCTTGATTGAGCCAATCATCATACTTGTACGTATCCAATTATCCAACGCCTTTATTTATGCAAATGTCATCCATTCAAAACATTCTTTGATGCTGATTTCTACTCGCTGGAGGTTTCAGAAGGAGGGATGAGGACTGTTCGATAACGTGGCAGATTCTTGTGCAGCCTGTGGAACGCTTCAGTGATTCCATCCTCGGTCTAATAAGTTCCCCAATCCATCGTGTCAGCAGTGTTCTTATCATATGATTGGTGGTTGTACATGTATTCTACTTACCATGGGAAGCTCTTCAATTTGAGGTCGGATGTTATGCCGAGCAGCAAATTCAAGCATAAGGGTATTGATCTTGCGACCTCCTAGGATAGCACCTGTGAAGTTCTTTTGATCCAACAAAAAGGGAAGGATCTTGCCGAACTTGATCTCGTTGGGCGGGATGCCCACAAGTCTAAAGTTACCATTCCTTTTTTGGTCATGTGCACGGTTAGTACTACTTTTTGTCTGTGCACACACACTCAAAATCCTCCATTGACAACTTACGGCTTGAGAAGATCCAAGTACATGTCATAATCCAAATCACCACTGACAGTGCTGAGAATCATATCAAATTTTTCAGCCTTTTCAATAAAATCGGGAGTAAAGTCTTTTGAACACCAATACTCATGCGCACCAAATTTACGTGCCTCTGCTTCCTTGTCCTAAAAATGCACAACATTGGTCATTACTATATCCAAGCCAAAGGGTCCTATCATCATGATCACTACTTACTCTACCACTTGAGATGGCTACGACATGGCATCCCCATGCACGTGCAAATTGAAGTCCTAGGTGGCCTAGCCCTATAATTTCATCAGGTTCAGATCATGTTTAGGCCGATCGAATGATATCACAGACCTCCAATGCCGACAATGCCGATACGTGCTGTTGGAGAAAGGTTTGCACCATACATGGCAGAAAACACTGTTGAACCAGCACACATGAGAGGACCAGCGTATTTGGGTTCAATGGATTTAGGGATCTTGTATACGAATCTAGAATGGAACAACGAGATCAGCCATCTATGGTTGTATACTACACGTTGCCATGGCAACATCTTCTTACCTTCCATCGCATACAGCAGCATAGGCGTAACCATTGTTGGTGCCTTCAGGGAACATTTTACGTTTACGGCACATGATATCATCACCCGAATGACAGAGCAAGCAGCTTTGACAGGATGACTTCATGTAGGCAAACCTATTGAAAGAATCATGAGCCGTCATAATCATCATGATGATGCTGTGTAGACTTACCCAACCACATCTCCAGGAACGAGATGATCAACTTTGGGACCCACTTCTACGATTTCACCAACCGCTTCGTGGCCAAGGATTGTACCTGGTGTAGAGGAAAACAAGACATCGGTATGGCAAACGCCACATGCTTTGATCTTGATGTACACTTGATTCTCGTCTAGAGGATCCGCATGGTATTGGATCTTTTCAAAGACATCAGGCTTGTCGCTAGAAAGGATGAATACCATAAGTATGCATATATGTATAGGTGTTGACATGGAAAAAGTTGTATCTTACGTGGTGGCAAAGGCATCAATCAGGTATCCAGTGGCGACCATGTTTTAATTTTGATTGCTTGTTGACTGTATTGGATCGATAGACATGAGGTTGTGGGGGAGGGTTTATATATCCAATGGACCAAAATCAGATTGGCATTTTTCTGGATGGATAACGCGCACATAAGGTACCGCATGTGTCGTGTACAAAAACCGGCCTGATGGTGACACCACACCATACACCCCCACATACAAAGCATCCAATAATGGGGGAAGCCAAAAAGAGAATGACATGACAGGTTAATTGTGCAACACAACACACACAGCCTCCAAGCCTTACCCCCAACCTTACAAGATGATCTCGATATGCTTTGACACTCGACTCCCAAAGACGCACAGATGCGGCAAGTCAACAAATAAGAAACGTTCCCAGTAAAGTGGATTAAGATTAGGGAGTGACATTGCTGTGCGCCACAAATGTGATCACGGATCGACATTATCCATCTTCGAGCTAAGCATCAACATCATTCATATGCATAATCCAACAACGCATCTCGTAGCAATATGATCTCAATACCATCTATGAAGTTTAATGACATTGATAGCTGAACAGGATGATTGCATATGAATTCGCTTTTACTTGATGATGGTGATGGTGTGTGAGGCATCATGATGAATGGTGGGTGGGAATGCAAGATAGGTTATTGTAAGCCTCAGCCCACTCTAATGGACGCCCCTAGTTGCCGGACCCAATACCCCCAGAGTTTCTTTGTTTGATCATGTGTGCTACTACTTTGCTTGCATAAAAGTAAATGCCCACGTAACTAAGGTTTCCTACTCGGGTTTATTATAAGGCTTCTACAACTTCTTTGCTAGTGTAAATGTAACTAAGGAATCGTAACTCTGGTTTCTTGTAACTGCTTGCATAAAAGTAAATGTCCACGTAACTAAATTTCCGCCTTGGGCTTCTTACAATACCATTACTGCTTCGCTTGCCTAAAGTAAATGTCTACGTAACTAAGTTTCCAACTCTAGTTTATAATACCACTTCTACTTTGCTTGCCTAAAGTAAATGTCCACGTAACTAAGTTTCCGCCTTGGGTTTCTTATGATACTACGTACAAGGAGAGATGCACGTGTTGGTGCAGTATTGATCGAGGGTATGTAATTGAACATGGTGTGTACTACGGCGATAGCGCCCCATTACTTTAATTGCATGTGCGTTGTGACCACCTATCAGCAACGTGAAACGACTACAGCAACAACATACATTGCTATTGAAAACGTGAATGGGTCAAAAGTCGATTATAGAACGCAAGTCAATGTGACACTACTGCTGTACCAGCACATGAAGCATGAAAAAAGCACGTAACACGTTACACTAACGATCGAGAGACAATGCAGATAATGAACACCTTTCACACCTTAAATCACTTAGTAACGAGCAGACACTAAAAAAAGAAGAGAGCAATATCGTTCCTGCTATTTTATTCCATATGATAATCGTATCCAATGAAAAGAGGCAAGGAATGGCTATTATGGACAAACAAGAGCAAGGGATTGCATTAAGAAGACTGTTGCTGCTGTGCTGACTGTAAAAGAGCAATCAGAGGATGGGTACCATTGGATCCATTTTCAGTTGAATTCGATGCAACAGGTTGCTGTGGTGGAGGTGGAGGGGGTGCAGCAGCCGAAGACGATGAAGCATTGTTGTTGGGATTTGCCTTTTGAAGCATGGCTAACAAAGGAGGCGTTGTCGGTGCATTGGTAGTTGACGAAGTATCATTGTAACGAGAATCGGCTTGTCTAAGCAATGCAAGCAATGGATGTGATTCTGGAGCAGGTGGAGGGGCCTGTTGTTGTTGTTGTTGTTGTTGTTGTTCAATGACATGATGTGTACCGTTTTCGGTGGTGGATTCAGATGCATTTGCTTGCTGAGGAGAAATACCAAGAAGTGATTTGAGAGCTGAAGATGGTTCAGGGGTTTCATTGGGTGGCGTGGTTGCTGCAGTGGTTGGAGTTGCTGGTGATGTAGTTGATGCAGAGATACCAAGCAAGGATTTGAGAGCAGCGGATGGTTCGGCAGCACTGTTATTGTCGTTGGGAGGTGATGGTGGAGAAGACGACGACTTGTCGGATTGTGTCACGTTGTTGTTCTTGTTCTTCTTACGATGACCATTAGCCTTATTCTTGGTTGGCTTGCCGCCGCCGCCTTTGGCTTTTTGTTGCTCTTTACGCAAAATGGGAAGGGCGAGCTTAAGTTTGCTATACATCACAATATCAGCCATAACGGATAGATAACCACCCATTCATTATCCTTATCCTTATCCTTATCCTTACCTTACAAATGGGACGACCATATAAAATCTACCACGTGATCCAGGTTTCAATCCAGGCAAATCATCCAACTTGAACCATTCCACTTGCTACATGCGTGTATAAAAGATATAAGCGTGTGATAATGGACATGACCTTATTCCCAATACACATACACTAATTTCCTTTCTCGTCTGTGGCATAAACTTGGTATCTTCTGGCACACCACAAACAATATACAATCGGATGGACTGCTCACGAATCGTGCATTGGAGATACGTATCCCGAATCAAAGGTGAAATATCATAGCCTGTTTCTTCCATCACCTACCAAGACACAATGAATGAGTCATATCCTTTGAACCCAATCCAATGATAAAGAAAAGTACCTCTCGAATAGCACAATGATCATATTCTTCATCTTGATTGATCTTTCCTCGAGGAAAACTCCATCCTGACTTGGAACTCCATCCCTTGACGAGTACACACTTGTCCAGATTCTCATTCAATAAAATGGCACCACACACCGGTATCCGAAACCTATACTGCATGAAATCCGCATATGCTCGTTCATGTTGATGCGCCCATTGCTTGAGAAGAGGGCAATGCTTGAAAAGTAAAAAGAAAACAGGGTTAAGGATTGTATCATCATCATCCATCAGCACACAATGAAAACGGTATAAAGGATATTTTTCTCTGAAAAAGTCTTGAGTTGAAACGATTGCAAGTTGGGTTGCAAGAGACGAACAAAGTCTTCATAAAACCAGTGTGCTTGCTCGACTTGGAAACAAATACGATGTGGCGACTTCAACTCTGCTTCTGGTACGTTGATGATGAAACGTCTGTGAAGGGGAGGGGGAGAACAAGGGTCGATGGAGGTCAACATTAGTTGCTTCCCTTTTGGTCGTACACCCCACACAACCACCCGACAAGCTGCCAATCGTTACGTTGATAGATCATCTAGGATTTCTTCAAAAGATGCCGTTGCCAGTGCGTTGGTCTGCATGAGCATGGTAATGGGTTGTGTGTGTGTGTGTTGGTGGTATATATAGATAGGTGTAAAGAAAGACAAGTGAGCGGATAAGCGAGTGGGTGAGTGGGTGGGTGAATGAATGAATGTGTGTGTGTGTGTGCCTGCCAAAGTGACTGCAACCCTCTCCCTCTTTTTCTTTTTCCTTTGTACTTTTACTCTTTATGCTCTTGGTCACTTTGCGTTGTATCGCTCGTCAGTCAACACGATATTACTCTTCAACGGCACGAGGTAATTCATGGCCGTATTGCATGCATGTGTATGTTCGTAGTGCTCATGGAAACGACATTGTCAGCTGCTGTCTTACCGTCGTCAAGGATCACCGAGCCGTTGGAAAAGCGCCTGACACACCTTGTTCAACGTCATGATATCCTCCTATCAAAGTTAAACAGCAGCACACTCGAGTCCAAAGAACTTGTCCAAGTATCCAAGGAGTTGGCAGGTCTATCCAATGTCAAGACACTCTATGGCGACTGGGAGAAAAGTACCAATGATCTTGTACAACTTCATGACATGCTATCTTCTTCCGAGAGTCAAGACGAGGAAATGGTTGAAATGGCCAAGGAAGAGTATACCGATATTATGGGTCGTATTGGTGAAATTGAACGTGATCTAGTGAGCGAGTTGGTGCCAAAGGATGCTGCAGACGAGGCAAGTGCCATCCTCGAAATTCGTGCAGGTGCTGGCGGTGATGAAGCGGCTCTCTTCTCAGCAGATATGGCTCGCATGTATGAAAGGTTTGCTCAACTACAGCGATGGAAATGGGAAATCTTGTCAAAATCAGAAGATGCAGGATTCAAAGGACTCAAGGTATATAGGTGCAGTGATGGGTTCTTGAGATATTACAATGCTCATGTTCATTTGTTGTGAATAGGATATTACAGTCAACATTGCTGGTCAAAATGTGTTTGGATTGATGAAATATGAATCTGGTGTCCATCGGTAAATATTCTTCATATGTGTATGCGTGTGTGGAAGAAGGAAAGAGGAAGAAAAATAACTGCGTTTGATATATATATAGGGTACAACGTGTTCCTGCAACTGAATCACAAGGTCGCATACATACATCAACAGTGACGGTTGCTATTCTGCCACAGCCCACCGAGGTATGTGTGTGTCTCTTTTTTTCTCCTTTGATTTCCCAAGCTTAATACTTTATATATAGGTGGATATCCAAATCAAAGACTCGGATCTTCGAGTAGACGTTTATCGTGCATCAGGTGCTGGTGGTCAACACGTCAACACAACCGATAGTGCCGTTCGTATCACCCATATCCCTACTGGTATTGTTGTTGCTATGCAGGATGAACGATCACAACACAAGGTAATATCCAAAATGGGTGATGAGGATGATGGATGGTAATATTAACTATTTATGGTAGAACAAAGCTAAGGCACTCAAAGTGCTTCGAGCCAAGATTTATGACATTGAGCGAGAAAAGACTGACAAGGCACGACGTGATTCAAGAAACAAACAAATCGGCAGTGGTGACCGGTCGGAAAAGATCCGCACGTACAATTTTCCTCAGGTGAGAGAGAAAGGGAATGAAGGCACAAGGGTGTATATAAATGAGACTGATACAAATGACGGCGTTACATAGAATCGAGTAACCGATCATCGCATTAATTTGACATTGTATGAATTGGAACCTGTGATGATGGGAGAGGGATTGATGCGGGTCATTGAACCTCTACGTGAGCACCATTTACAAGAAAGTTTATTAGAAGAAGATCAATAAAGAGATACTTTTAGAAGAATATCCTGTGTAACCTAAACGAATGCTTGATCAAAATCACATGGCAGCATCATCCACACACCCAGCCCGCATATTGATTGATTGCTTCCCATTCTTTGTGGTGGTGTGTTCTTTTGTGCAAACCTTCCACAGGCTTCTTCTTCTTCTGCTCTTGTCACTTACTTTTACCTCAACCCCCTCCGTTCTCTTGAGCATTACGTTACCACCCACTTTTCCACGATTACGAAAAAAGACTGCAACCACAAATTGGACGATTGGGTCGAGGACGAGGGATTTGCTTCATCGTCATCGATAGAGGAAGGAGAATCCACAGCAGAAATCGTTAGACGTAAACGAGCACAACGTCAATCGAAACGAGCTGGCATTACCACGACGAGCACGACCACTACTACAACAACAACGACTATCGAGTCTACCATGACAGCAACTATGGTATCAGAGACATGGGAGACGTGGGTCACAGCAGCACCATTGGAGCGTATATTATGGATCGTATCATTTGCTTGGACCATTTATCATGTCGATCATCTCATGTTTTCTTCCGAGGCATTAACAAGTATGATTCGAGTGGGGGCATTTGGATACATTCTAGGGGTTAACATGAATGTATATGTATATATAGCATGGATGGGACTCCTTGCGCTGGGATTGACAGCATCTCATTTGGCTGTACGTGTAGCCAATGCACGCAACAAAGCCGATGCCACCAAGACCTATATTGATCGTGCCTATTCGACTACATCCTCCGAGGATCATCTTCCCGAAACGGAGACACCTACCACCAATTCACCCATGTACAAAAGGAAGCCAAAGACAAAGCCATTCCCAATAGGGCAAAAGACATTTGGTATTTATGGTGCAAGCAGGAATTCTTTCAGGTAAGAAGGAAAGGACATTAGAGAGTGGCACCTTTGTAATTGTGTACAAACCTTAGAGCCGATGCAGATGATGGTATTCTTTGTGGCACTTTGTTGTTACCCATGGTTGCTATGGCAAAGGTGGATGATGTGGTCAAGTCCGAGATGGATCCGATACGTCTAGGTAAGTAAGAGAATAAGGAGGTGGGGGAGGGTGGGGGAGGAATGGGAATCTCATCATCTCACACAAGATGGATATCATTAGCCCAAGTTCATTCAGCATTGGAATTGACATTGGTGATGGGTTTATTATTCTTATTGCTTGTATTTGCCAACACCTTGCTACAACCAATGCGTCGCAGCTTGCGCAAACGTGGATTCTTTGTTCTCAGCTTGGCCGTTTCTACCGTTTTTACTTACACCGTCACGCGTCTTTTTCCATTGACACCATGCTTACGTCAAGTACCTAATGCAATCAATACCGTGGTGGTGATGGCTTTCTTGTGGGCGTTGTACATTTGTACAGTGGCACTGAAACGATGTTTTACCTTGGGAGAAATGTGCGTCTTGTCACAAGCAACGGCTGTACTTGTATTCAACTCCTTGTGTATGGTACGTGTGTGATGTGTACATGTAAAGGATGAAATAGGGTACTTATGATCATGTTGGCAGATGATGTCCGAAGGTGTACCAAGTTTCCTTAAAATGGATAATCACGTGGAACCTGTCACAGTATTGCTCCATGCAGTTACCTTGGGTATGATGCTCATTGGCATGGCTGCCTATCCTCTCTTATGGCGATCAAGACATCTTGCCCAGAAACCTTATTGGCGCTCCAATCCATCTGCACAAGCCCTTTCCAGCATCCATCGCAAGCGTATCATCATCTCCTTTGCTGTCTATGTTTTGACAGTGGCATTTGTTACCTTGGTCATCGCACCTGTATGCAAATCAATCATGGATGAAGATCCTTTCACGTGGTAAGTAGTATTCAGGCAACGAGTAAAAGTATATGGGATTCTCATTTCTTTGAAAGGACCTTGTCGTTTGTATTCCTGTCTCCTCAACGGTTGCTGCTATGCGTGTATTGGGCATTGGCCATCTCCGCTACGGTCATTGTTTGGGTATTGGTACTGGATTTCTCATCACCGGATACGACACAACAACCATCACCACCCTCCATATTCAATGGCGTTCAGGGCAAGACATTGACAAGCTCACTCAACAAGAAACGCAAATTGTTTCATGCATTGGCTGTGATCATGTTTGTACCAGGTGTATTGATGGAACCGGCATTCTTGCAATTGGCCTTTGGCGTAGCTCTTTCAGCCTTCCTGTATCTCGAATACCTACGTTATTTCGCAATTTGGCCCTATGGAAAGAGCATCCATTTATTTTTGGCCGAGTTTATCGACAGCCGTGATCTTGGCCCTGTTATTCTCAGTCACATTTACTTGTTGCTTGGATGTGCTGCACCAGTGTGGTTGAATAGGTAACATACAAAAGGGGGGGAGAGGAAAGGTGGGAAGGAATACATGGCTTACGCTATTGTAGCTCGAATCTGTTGGCTTCCGTTTCAGGTATTCTCGCTCTTGGATTCGGTGACACTGCAGCATCCATAGTCGGCAAACGATACGGTCGATGGCATTGGCCTGGATCAAAAAAGACGATCGAAGGAACCATGGCTTTTGTGGTTACCATGTATGCAAGTGCAGTGTTTATCATGTATGGATCAGCCTTTCTTGGTATCAGCAGTGCCACCCATTTCATCGTCTCCATGACATCTGCAGATTGGGCTGCATTCTTAATTACTGCTTCATTGACAGGTAACACATTCCCCCACCCACATTGGCTATTTCTATGCATGGCTAATCATGGAATGATAGGTTTGCTTGAGGCACTGTCATCCCAAAACGATAATATCATTATACCTCTGTACATATTCGCTTTAATTTTGCTTACAAAGTAGTCATCAATTGTCCTTATCTTCTGCAATTACATCGTCTTTTCTATTTATATGCATGTTTGGAAATCTCACGCCGTTACTTTATAATAAAAACAGCATCTTGTATAAAGAAGGGGATATGTGCTACATACGAGATGTTTATGGACAAGATCGAATCATAAAGAAAAGAAAGGTGACATACTAGTGAACGTGTGTACACCCTTTGTTCAAGACACAATGAATCAATCAGACCCTTCCTCTTCTTCCTTTCTTCTCCTTTATCAGCGCATCATCAAATGGATATAACCTGGCCATAACTCTTTCTATAATACAATGCATCAAGTTGCTACGACGTCCGACTCAGGTGTTATAGAACTTAGTATTCGCTAATATCCTTTAACTCAACATCATTCACAACGGATAGATTGAGAGGTATAACGAGTTGCTTCATTGGGGGAAGTAAACATCTATTTGGGAAGCTTCTATCCTTTGGGCGTATGTGCATTGTTCAAGGGTGAATGAATGGATGTGAGATGATGTATCATATGCATGATGGCATGTCAAACAAGGAGATGATGGTGTATACATATGCACAAAGGATGATGATAGTAGCTGTCATGGAATAACGCGTAAAGTAGGATGATTGAATGCACCAATCGTTCAGGATGATAGCATCAAGCATGATCGACATTAAGAACAACGCTCTTGTTCGACGTGTTGTATATATACCATTCCTCCCCATCCCATGTACCAAACCAATATCCATATCCATCCAGATTCATATCCACAAGAAGTTGTATGTATTGAAGCAAGTTGCTATGCGTAAATAAAGCTGCTTCTATATGACGACTATCTGCTGTTCACGTGCAAAGGCTGTAAGGCAAGTTACTGCAAGTAAATCGAGACAATGAAGGAGAGGCTTTGCTGAAACCAACTGCTGGAATGAACGCTCTTACGATTGGCCGTGGCAGAGAAGCGTGGAAGAGAAAGTGCAGTGTCAAGAAACGAGGGTGTTGTAGTGGGGTGCACACGCCATTGACATTCAGTCATAGGCATTCGGATCAAGGCAGTTGTAGGATTGACATGATGAGTTGAAACAGGATAATCGTTCGCAGGTGGTAGTGGTAATTGTACTTGAATGCACCAACAGTTGAGAATGGGAGGAAGAGGCAAGAAGTTGGGAGTGGAAGAACCGGAAATAAAAAGGTTGAGCTGATGATGAATGAATACTTCTTTGTTTGAGCGTTGTTCAGTCAAATCCTATTGGATCAAGAAAGTTGAAGGACGAGAATGATGCGCTGGAGCAGGACAATGGGTTCGTATGCATTGTATTGGGCAACAAAGGTGAATGGGAGGAATGGGCTATTAGCTGGCAGTTTACAAATAACTTTGCAAAATGATTTTTGTGAAATTGGATGATGTTTTGTGTTTGAGCGTAACTCAACCAAATCCTCTCGGATCAAGAAAGTAGAAGGTTGGGCATGCTGGGCTGAGCAGGACAATCGTTCGTATGAATTGGATTGGACAACAAAGGTGAGTGGGAGGAATGGGCTATCAAGTGGCAGTTTACAAATAACTTACCAATTTGATTCTTCTGATATTGGATGATGTTTCTGTGTTTGAGCATTTTTCAGTCAAATTTCATCGGATCAAGAAAGTTGAATGATGGGCATGCTGGGCTGAGGCAGGACAATCGTTCGTATGCATTGGATCGGGTAACAAAGGTGAATGGGAGGACTAAGGTTATTAGCTGGCATTTTGAACTATTCCTAAATAGTGTACAAGAATCATGCATCGCCTGTGCTGAATGACTCAAGTTACACAAACACGCCCTCTGCATCTTTTGCTCTATTATAGTCATACTACTTTACATTAAACAAAGACCACTCTTCATATAGCATCACGCTTACAAACATAAAGGTGCCTGTATCTCCAAACTTTACAATCAGACGTGGGCTCTTTAATAGATCAACGTGCTTGTCGGGTCAAAGGAATCTTGTGTCAAAGTATGAAGTTCATCGTGGGCGATCCCAGATTTCGCAATGTCGCCACCAGCCAAAGTGGATCCAGGGGTCGACCTCTTCGACGACGACGACCAAAAAATATTTTTTGGGCTAGTTGCGACATTGAACGCGAAACTTTCACACAAGGTGCTGTTGGCCAAGCCGAGCCCATTGCTCTATTCAAAACCCCACGTTTCATTGTAAAGTTTGGAGATACAGGCACCTTTATGTTTGTAAGCGTGATGCTATATGAAGAGTGGCCTTTGTTCATTGTCAAGTAGGTGGACCCTGGCAGAGCAAAAGATGCAGAGGGTCGTGTTGTGTAACACAGCTACGTTTGCATGAATGAAAGGGTCAATGTATAATTACTTTATGGATCATCTAGGAACAGGCATGTATTGCTAGCTAACGGCCACTTTTATCCAATCATCATTGTTGCGAGATCCACTGCATGGGAACGATGCCCATGCTCTAGACATTCGTTTCCATGATTAAAGTAGGTTGATCCAAGCTGATTTGACTGAGCTGCGGTCAAAGAGAGATGACATCACTCTGGACATCAAGCACGCTCGATGTAGCTCAACCGATGTAAACTTGTGTGAGCGTAACTCAACCAAATCAGCTCGGATCAACCTACTTTAATCATGGAAATGAATGTCTAGAGCAGGAGCATCGTCCACCTACAATAGAATGCACAAAAGTTGGGAATGCACAATAGTGGCTATTAGCTGCCAATGTATGACATAAAAGTGAGGGTTGCGTACCTTTCATGCATTGTCCCTGAAGTCCTGACTTTTTAGCTGAGTTACCCAAAGAGGTCCTTCTGCATCTTTGGCTCTGCCAGGGTCCAGCTATTTGACAATGAACAAAGACCATTTCTCATATAGCATCACGCTTACAAACATAAAGGTGCCTGTATCTCCGAACTTTACAATCAAACGTGGGGTTTTTATTAGAGCAATGTGCTCGGCTTGGTCAACAGCACCTTGGGTGCAAGTTTCAAGTTCGTCGTAGCTAATCCCAGATTTCGCAATGTCGCCACCAGCCAAACTGGATCCAGGGGTCGACCTCTTCGACGACGACGACCAAAAAATATTTTTTGGACTGTTTGCGACATTGAACGTAAAACTTTCACACAAGGTGCTGTTGGCCAAGCCGAGCACATTGCTCCAATAAAACCCCCACGTTTCATTGTAAAGTTTGGAGATACAGGCGTCTTTATGTTTGTAAGCGTGATGCGATATGTAGAGTGGTCATCGTTCAATGTCAAGTCGCTGGACCCTGGCAGAGCAAAAGACGCAGAGGGACCTCTTTGTGTAACTCAGCTACTTTGCATGACTGGAAGGATGGAAGGATGATACTGTATACTGTTGACAAAAGCCCGTACATTGCGAGCTAACAGCCATTTCCTCACAATCGGCAATGTTGCCCATTCTATGACAGTGGAACGATGCTCCTGCTTCAGACATTCATTTCCATGATTGGATTATGTTGATCCGAGTTGATTTGACCGAGATACAGCCAAAGAGGGTTTACATCAATCCACACATCTAACCATGCTCTATGTTGCTCAACTGAAGTAACCTTGTATGAGCGTAACTCAGCCAAATCAACTCGGATCAACATAATCCAATCATGGCAATGAATGTCTGAAGCAGGAGCATCGTTCCACTGTCATAGAATGGGCAACATTGCCGATTGTGAGGAAATGGCTGTTAGCTCGCAATGTATGGGATATTGTCAATAGTATACAGTATCATTCTTCCATCCTTCTAGTCATGCAAAGTAGCTGAGTTACCCAAAGAGGTCCCTCTGCGTCTTTTGCTCTGCCAGGGTCCAGCGACTTGACATTGAACGATGACCACTCTACATATCGCATCACGCTTACAAACATAAAGACGCCTGTATCTCCAAACTTTACAATCAAACGTGGGGTTTTTATTAGAGCAACCTGTTCGTCGGGGTCAAAGGAATCTTGTGTGCCAGTTTCACCTTCATCGTGGCCAATCCCAGATTTCGCAATGTCGCCACCAGCCAAAGTGGATCCAGGGGTCGACCTCTTCGACGACGATGACCAAAAAATATTTTTTGGGCTGTTTGCGACATTGAACGTGAAACTTTCACACAAGGTGCTGTTGGCCAAGCCGAGCCCATTGCTCTATTCAAAACCCCACGTTTCATTGTAAAGTTTGGAGATACAGGCATGTTTATGTTTTACCTATGCTGTAAGCGTGATGGAGTTGCTTTTTCCTAGTGGATGGTGTCGGCTGCATTAACGGAAAGATGAAGAGCTGAGTGAAACGGCACGTGGTGGTTACACAAACGCGTCCTTGACAGGTTGCTACACAAATGGATGATGATGATTGCCTTTTGTGAAGGTACGTAAGTAAACAGCATCCAATAATGAAGGCGTGTGAAGGTATGCATCACATTTGCATGTAGAAGAAAGTCGAGCTGCATAAACCAATTTGTATATGTAAAAACATACATATACATATTGAATGAGTCACTCATCCTGAAACTCAATGGAGGGATCTCTTCACATTTTCTCTTCTCAAGCTCATCCCACTTCCCACTCCTTCTTATTGTATCACAAAAGCCATGTACATCTTAACCGGACCACCTTTATTATTCCATCTTCGAAGCAATAGTACTGTATGTAATCCACAAGCTAGCAACCTCCAACAAGCGTGTAATAAATAAACAATGCTTTATTTCATCTAGCTATCTTGCTATGTACTGTACATTGCCACCACCATCCTCGTAGTCGTCCTCCGTCATCATTCCTACTCGTACTCGTCACCAGTCGCCAATCTCATCCGTCACACCAACATCCAAAAATACACAAGTTGAAGAGAACGGGATCTTGCAGACTTCCTTTTGAATCTCGTTGTCTCATCATTGTCACTGTTGTAGATGGGGTGATCATCGTAATCGTCATTGTTGTGAATGTGGTAATCATCGTAATCGTCGTCTCTACAAATAAGAAAGCAGGCAAGTTAGACCGTCTGGTACCGGGAATGATGACGATTTGGTATACCGTTAGGCGATCCTCTCCAAGGAAGAAAGCAAATCAGAAGGAATTCACAAACCAAATCACCACCATACGAGCAACGTCGGGCGATCCCTTGTTCTTGAGAAAGCACTGCACGAATCACGCAAGGCCAGTTCGATCCATGGCAAGGAAAGACATCACTTACGTAGAGTCCAGGCTCATAGTTGTTCTCATTCATCCTCTCCAAAGAAAGAATGATCCCCAATCCTTCCAATCATTTCCCACCTCATGAAAAGAAATCCTCAAGGGAAAGAACGAGCCTATCACGAGAAGAGCGTGTTGGTTAAACACATTCACAAGCTGTTGCAAATCCCCTTTTACCTCAACACGGTGATCATGTTCTTCCAAAAATCCATCGTCGTCGACCCATCAACTCAACGCAGGCCTGTAGAGCCCTGGACGCGTTCCAAGAAGCTTTTCCAGAACACTTGGCTAGTGCAGAGCGACGCAGCGGCCACTTGATACAGGCTGGGACTTGAACCCAAAGAGATGATGATGATGATGATGCCCCCAAGTTGCATTGCCTGACCAAAGAAATCTATTTAGTTCATTATTAGCACTCACTACAATAAAACGCCTCTTTTCATTGTTTGTTTCATTGTACTTGCCTTTTCCATATACACAAAGACCCGTTGTTGTTGGTTACTGGAAACCGAAAACCATGGTGTAGTATAGTTGAGCCGAAACAAAACGCCAAACCAGCCAACGTCTTGAAACCAAACTTGCCCTCTATACAAGCTGACGCGTCAATGGAACCAATTCGGCTGCAACATTGGACTCTGAACGTACCTGTTGACACCAAGCGTAGAGCGGGAATAGCAACGAGCAAAAGGAAGCAACAATATCGCCATGGCAACCACCAACCACCCACCACGCTCATTCTTCAGCTAACACCCTGACAATGCATGTTCAGAACTACATTAATACCTCACAGCCAACAAGAGCATTCCTTTATAGTACATTACCTTGATCGCAATGCCGTGAATGGAATAAGGAAAGGTGGGAGAAAAAGAAGAGAAGCGTTGTCTCAAGTCGTGGAGCTACCGACCCCCAAGTTTAAATCCCCTACTGCTATTACACTGAGGCCACTCATCAATTACCCTATACACACCATCCACCCATCATGATCATCACCCTCACGATAGACAATAGGTATACGTAAATAAAAGAAATGATGATCCTCACATATAGCAAAGGGGTGTGTGCCATTTTACACTTTACATGATAATGATGATCCAACAACAGCCATTACCTTAGTACCAGGTTAGCTCGAATCATCAAAGTTAAATGATGGGAATGCTGGGCTGGAGCAGGGCAATCGTTCACATGCAGTGGAATGGGCAAAAAGTTTCAAATGAGAGAAGTGGCTATTAGCTGGCAATACGGTATACAGATGTTGAACGGATGAATCATTGCTCGAGGGCACCTTAATAAAGAGACAACCTGTTATTGTAAGTATGAAAGCCATTCAACGAGAAATCACGAACGAAGCGAGCAAACCAGGCCGCTAATCGCATAGTAGTTTAATAAGATTGTATTGTGTGATTGTATAAGAGAGTGTGAGTGAAATGAATGATGCAAGGTGGACAATTATTCTACAAATGATAATATACTACAAAGGTGGAGGAGGAGAAGAGAGAAAAAGAGAACATGTAAAAGGAGAGTATGTCTAAGAACAAGGAGTTGTGCTAGTGGGAGTGGATGCTGTGGAGGAGAGAGAAGGACAAAGTTGACGTAAAGTGACAGCGAGATCTTTGGGAATCAATGGCTTGGTGAGATAGCCATCCATACCAGCATTGACACACACATCACGTGCAGTGGTTTGTACATCAGCTGTAAGTGCAACAATAGGTAATCGCTGAGGTGTTGGTGGGCATGCTGTTGAGCTTGTGGAGGATAAGGATGATGAGCATGATGCCAAATCAGTGGTGGTCGTGGTTGTAGTACTGGTGCTGCTGCTGCTGCTGCTTTCAACGTTATTCGATGATTCGAGTTGACGGATTTTGCGTGTAGCTTCAACACCATCACATTTTGGCATATGATGATCAAAGAAACCAATCACGAAATGATCCTTGGGTCGTTGTTGCCAGAGCTGTACAGCCTCTTCACCATTGTTGGCACTTTCAACGACAAAGCCCATCTTTTCCAATTGTTTACGAAGGAGCTTTTGTGCCACCATGTTGTCTTCAGCAATCAATACAGGCTTGTCCTTGAACCATTCCAGCTCATGTGGATAGAAATGATCGGTCATTTTGGTACCACTGCCGCTGCTGTTGTTATTGCTAGTGCCACTACTTGTAGACGATGTTCTTGTAGGGCGTGGTACAGGTGCAGGTGCAGGTTCCTGTTGTTGTTGCTGTTGTGAAGACGGTGGTGAAGGAGGAGATTGTTGATTGTTTGGGGCGTTGCTGGTACTTGTAATAGCCGAAGGAGGTGAAGATATGGATGTTGATGGTTGTGGATTACTACTACTGCTGCTGCCTTGGAAAGAATTGGATGTTTGGATTGTAAGGCGTGGATGACTCAATACTTGTTCCAAAACACGCAAAAGCTTGAGACGTCTTGCAGGTTTAGCCATTTTCATAATACGACCACGTCGATCAGATGCAGAATTGGTCGCTTCAGCAGCCACTTTGTGTCCTTCAGTAGCAGGAGTATAGAGCAGGATGATGTGTAAATCGCACTCAGGATCATCGTCCACACTTTGCAATTGCTGAGCAATGTAGCTACTGGGCATAGGCGGGATATCCAATAGCAAAATATCATGTCGTTCTTGAAGTGCTTGTGCAATGGCATGTTGCATATCTGTAGTCGTGCGTTTCAATTGCAAATCACCAAGTAAGCGTCCCAACATGTTGGCCGTGGCGTCACGTGGTGTAGCAAGCAAGATGCTGCTTTCTCGTAATTGCATGCTGGGCGTTGGTCGTGTTTCTTCTTCGGCTACTCGTACACGCTGAACCACCACCGAGAACCAAAAGTTGGATCCTTTGTTGGGTTCGGAAATGACGCCTACTGTGCCCATCATCAATCGCACCAGCTGAAGACAAATCGATAAGCCTAAGCCGGTACCACCATACATGCGTGTCGTGCTTCCATCCACTTGTGAAAATGGCTCAAATAGGTTACGCTGCTGTTCAGGCTCGATACCAATACCAGTATCAATCACTTCAAACTTGAGCCTCACGTGATCATCTTCAAGCTCCTCGTCCAATCCACATTTAATCACGACACCGCCTTCATGCGTGAACTTGATAGCGTTGCCAAGGAGATTGGTAAGGATTTGTCGCAATCGTGAAGAGTCGCCCATAACAGTCTCAGGAACATCGGCTTCAACAATATAAGCAAGCTCCAAACCTTTGCGGGCTGCCAATGAACTGAGAATCTCAAACGTGTCGGCAATCACCTCTTCAACACTGAGTGGGCCAATATCAGGTACAACCTTGCCAGCTTCCAACTTTGAAAAGTTAAGGAGATCATCTATGTAAATTCACAGATGAGTAACATATCATGAATGGAATATAAATAAAAAAAAAACTTACTGATAATCTTCAAAAGCATCTCGCATGATTCTTTGGCGGTATGGACAATGTCGGCTTGTTCAGCATCCAGCGATGTTTCCAATAACAATGAGATCATGCCATAGAAACCAGAAAAGGGTGTACGCAATTCATGGGACATGTTGGCAAGAAAATCAGCCTTGAGCTTCATGGCACGTAAAGCAGCCTCTTTACTCTTGCGTGCTTCTTCCAAGGCGGCCTTTTGACTCTCAATCATCTTGACATTGGCATAGGTGACTTTTTGGATACTCTTGAAGAGCAATGCATTGGTGACGGAGATGCCAATTTGCTGTGATAGCAAGCGCAATACCACTTCATGTCGTGCAGTGAGTGAACCAATGGATCCTTCAATGTAAATGCATCCAACAATGGCTGATTTGTGAGTGATGGGTACACAAATAACGGACTTGTTGGCACCAGCAAAATCAGAGAACCGGGGATCTTGTTGAATATCAGGGATCAAGAGGGATTCTTGGGTGTGGATAGCATAGCGTGCCACACGGCTGACCATCGATGGTCCATCTTCTGACAACAATTTGGGTGACTTCAAAATCTCGCATCCATCGGATTGTGATCCACGTGCTACAATCAAAAAGGATGTGTTTTCCTTGATGATGATGACACCCGATTCGGCACCCGAGTTTTCAAGAATAATAGCCAGCATTTGCTCCATCAACAATTCAAAGTTCATCTCGCTTGAAATCACTTGAGAGCTCTTGAGAATGGATGCCAAGTCAACAACGTCCAATGTCAACAATGTTTCTTCTGGGGATGTTTGCCCTGAGGTTGACATGTCCACTGAATACGATTCGGAAAGGCTGATATCACCAAATGAATCACGTCGTGGGCTCACTACATGTGTGTCCGTTTGCACGCTCACATGATGACCAAATGCATCCTTGTCACGCTTCATGTTGTGGAGTTGTTCAAGTTGAGTAGCTTTGCCATAGCAGCCTTGATGTCGATATCCACTGATCGCCTTTTCAATCAAGAGTGCGCCCACGTGTCGAGCACCAATGCGAAGATAATATTCGCCTGCAAATTCATACATAACATTGGTCTCCAAACCCCAATCGCCGCTCTTGGCTTGATCAATGGCAAGGTCATACAATTGCTCCGTGCGCCTCATGTCGTTCTTGAATGATGCAAGCTCAGCATCAATCAGTGACACAAACATTTGCAAATTGACAGGTCTATTACAGAAAAATACATAAGTGACACCATCCATGATATACTTTTTCAATATACTTACGAGTGCCGTGCCCATTCTTGAAGCGTGTTACGGTGCTTTTCAATTTGCTCCATAAGCGTCGTCTTGTCGCCTTTGCCATTACGGATAAGTCTGACCATGGCCAAGCAATGGAAGAAAAGCATGAGATGCGTATGTCGATGGGATGGTTGCATATTGGCCAATTGAGCGTATTCTTGTCCAATCTTGAAAGCAGCCTCGTCATAGCCGTAAATGACCAATGCAATCAATTTGAGTGCAAAGTACCAAAACATGGGCAAACCGGAATCGGGATTCTGCTCATACATATCCGCCACGAAAATCTCGTCTTGAAAATCCTTGTCGTCAAAGATCCGGTCTTGAGTAAGGTACGTTTTGCCTTGTAATGCAAGCACCATACGCATGATAGCTGTCACAAGTATCGATGTGCCAATGGATTCGTTCCATCTAAGTAAACATCTCTTGTTAGACTCTGAGAGATCTATAGAGGATCCTTTTTGTATACATTACCTGATGACTTCTTCCAAACACAACTTGGCTTCGCGTAGGGTGTCCGACATGTGCTCACTACCACCCAGCAACATACCCATTACAATATGCAAGTGCGAGAACGTGGCATAGATTCGGTCACCACCAAGAAGACTTTGCTTGAGCGATATGCGGAACATGGGCAACGAATCCCGATAATGATATTTCCATGAACTCAAGAATGCGCCATAGAGGTACCTTGCACGCGCTGATTCAGAGTTGCCACCATACTTATCGCAAAGAGAAACACCCACAGCACCGATTTGCTGACCAAATTCATATGCCTTGTAAATCTGCATTGCTGCTATGCCAAAGAACACAAAGCCAACACCTGTTGTAGGGGATGCACCATGTTGTAGCGTCATGACCACCAATCGTGATCCAATGGAAAGAATGGCCTTGGTATCATTCATCCAATATGCCCATAAACAACTATAGACAGAGACAATTAGTATCATCATGATCAACCTATTATTCCTTAACAACACTTACACTTCTTCAAGAATGGATAATCGGGTACGGATAAGGCGACTGTCACATACAGGCAAATCTGACATCTTGTCCAAGCCAACACGTAGAACTTCGCTACGAGTATCTTCGTATAATGCAAGCAACTCTTTGTCCGTAAGATCAAGCACCACATTGTCGATACCAAGCTCTGCCAAGCAATTGAGCAAGATGGATGATTTCTTTTGGTGCTCCTTGCGTGAAAAGTAATAACGATGGAGTATGCGATAGGCTGCAGCACGATCAATGGCTGATTTGGCGTTTCTCAGGATGGAATGGATAAAATCGGGTGTTGCATCATATCCCATAAACCAGCTGATTTCAGCAAGGCGTGTATACAAGTGCAATGTTTGTTGATACTCGCTATCGTAGCCATCCGTCCATGGGTCTTGGCTCAACAATTCTTGGGCACTTGCATAGTACGAATAGGCGAGATTGTGTGCACCTGATCCATACGCCTTGTTACCGGCCTGGATAAGCAATCCACGATGATTGGCTTTTTTGTCGAGAGGCTTGATGAGGTGTAAAGCTGCTTTGACGTGATCGGCTACCCAAAACATGTCGACATTGGGTTGGTTCATGAAGTACGATGCGATCTTGAGATGGACTAGGTCACGCTTTTCAGGCTTGGCAAGCATCATGGCAGCTTGAGAATATCGATCATGGCTGAATCCAAATTCATCATGCGAAAACGGTTCAATAAAGCCTTGTTGTAATGCTGATTGCAAACCATTGACGGCATCATTCCTGCGAATCATGTCAAAGGCACCTTCCTTGCGTGGTGATGTTGATAAGGGTGAGAACTCCTCTTCTCCTTCATTGTCGCTATCGAATTCAGATGCTGAACTATCATTTTCACATTCCATCATCAAATGTCGCACCGTTTCAAATGAGAAATTGTTGCCAATGAAGGATGCCCATTTGAGAAACTTGCGTCCATCCGGTGGTAATTCTTTGAGTCGTCGCACCAAAAACTCAACATCGATATCAGCATTCTTTTCACCCATCTCATGCAAAAGAGCCTTTTCAATCTCTTGAAGATTGTATTCCCAACGACCTTGCTCCCACGTAAAATAGAGCAATCCTTTCTTTTCCAGCGTCGCAAGTAATTGTCGGGCGTAGAATGGATTGCCGCGTGTCTTTTTGTAAATGAAATCAACGAGTGGTGCCAGCAACACATGGTCGATCTCTGCATGACGGTGCATGGGCGTACGCACCAAATCCATCAATGCTTCCTCATCCAAATTCTCCAGCTTGACATAGGTCACAATGGAATTCTCATTCTCGAGTAGCTTGTGAATCTCATCGGATACTTCAGATCGTCGATACGTGAGAATGACAAGGAATTGAAGTCGTGCTGCAATCAATGAACCAAGCAATTCAAGTGAGGCTTCGTCTAAAAATAGGAATAAGGTTAGTGGGTCGAGCAAAAGTAACCCCTTGAAATATGTGTGTAACGTGACACCTTACCTGCTTGATGGAGATCTTCCAGAAACTGGGATTACAAATAAACAAAGAAAGATGGCTGTGAGTGAGTCTCGTGTCACTTTTCACGTGCTTTGCCAATCCCTTCACTTACCAGCGTCACAAATTTGAATCGCACCATCACTTGGAAGATTTCAATAAAAGCAGAATGAAACCGCATCTTGATCTCACTGCCACCAATATCACAATCTCGTGAAAGCTTGGTCGGTGTCACCTCGTGTAGAATGGTACGAATCTCAGGTACATTGTCAAGTAAAAGTGTTGGAAGTTGAGTCACGGCATGATCACCCAATTGCTCTCGAAGCATCCTCGAAAATCGCTCAATCTCGTATTGTGGTTCGGTCAAGATGTTCTTTAGGAAGATACTCAAGCACCGCAAAATACAGCCGTAGGGTGTTGGATTGCGTCGATCAAACTTGGCAATGGCAATGTAACCATATTCACGAGCCACCTGCTGGATATTACGTACAAGCGTCGATTTGCCTATTGACAACCACGAAGGGAAAAAAGAATGAGCCTTGTATGAAAAAGAGTGTGTGTATGCCCAATCACGATCACTTACCAACACCTGCTGCTCCATAGATGGCTACCATTTCAGTGGGTCGTTTGCCAATGGCACTGTTCAACTTTTGATTGCTGCTGACACGTTTGAATAAATGCAACTTGTTGTTCTTGTCGCGTTCATCGGTATTGAAAGGTGCCAGAAAAGAATCCATTGTGTTGCCATAGCGTGATCGTCGTGAAGTAGGATGGCCACACATGTATGCTGTTTTACGAATAATGCCGCTGATCTGCTCAATTTCCTTGGATCGACCAAAGCATGCGTTGGGTAGTGTGAATACGCTTGCAATATCACATCGTCCCAATGGAAATGCCGCAATGTCCTATATGATGTATGTGAGCACATACATCATCCCATCAAGATCCCACCCCTACTTACGCCTGTTTGCTGTAGCTGTTGTTGACACTCTTTAAGATCCTCACGTAAACCATGTGCGCTTGAATATCGTTCATCAGGAGACTACAATATCATACATCAGCATCTTTATCCATCACCCTTTAATCCCTGATGTTACCTTGCTTGTGAGTTTTTCAATAATGGATGAAACCACGGTAGGTACATCAGCTCGTACTTGAGTTAATGATGGTATTTTGCGGTTGAGGACGCTGTGAACGATTTCCATGGGGCTGTTGTGAGCAAACGGCATGGATTGGGTGAGCACGACAAAGAAGGTAATGCCGAGACTGTATAAATCGGTGCGATGATCAGGTTGAAAGGTGGTTCGACCCGTTTGCTCTGGTGACATGTAAATCAACATTTGCCAAAAGTTGTATGCACCGTTGCGATGAACCGTTTTACGCCATCCTTCCGAAGTAAGATTGACTTCCAAGCTGCGTGCACCTGATCCAAAGTTCCATATTTTGACGGTCTCTTTCTCGGGCCATAAGAATGCATTCAATTTGATTTCACCATGAACAACTAGAGATGATGATGTTAGTTTCAAGACACCTTTCCCTCCTCCCTCCATCAATCGATCGAAACTTACTTTGTTGCTTATGGATCAACTCTAAACAATTGCAACATTGGATGGCGAAATCGAGAAAGGAAGGGATATCAAATGCTGACTTGTTGTTGCCATTTTCATCATCTTGTGTCGTGGGTGTTGGCTGACATTTGTCCAACAAGTTGGTGCCTGAGAAAAAGAAAGAATGTCAACAAATGAAAGGTCGATCGATATCCAATTTAGGGCACGTTACCATAATCGGCAAAGATAAGTGCAATTAAGCCGTTGGGAAGCGAGATCTTTTCAAGTGGTTGGCATAGCAGCTGTTTGGCATCCGCATAACGGTAGAGTCGTTTAACGATATGGTATTCTCGCTCAAGTCGTAAGGTGTGATAAGAAAGCTTGGCGACAACAGGTAATCTATCCCTAGTTCTGCAATACAGAAATGTTATTAGACCCTGGAGAAGAAACCCTGATCTCACAATAGAGACATGCATCGTACCTTTGTCCATATGCAATGGCCACATTGTCCACGCCTTCTAAAAGCTTTGGCGATTCAAAGGTGTAGCCGGCGATCTTCGTAATCTCCAGATCGTAGTTGTAAAGAGACATGGCGACCATGGCCAATGGGAGTGTGTGTAGAATGCGGAATGTTATACAGTCGTCGTCGTAGTCGTTGTCGGAAAGAGAGTATCAGGAATAAAGACGAACGAGTGCAAGGTATATAAAATAGGCGCAGCGTTGATGTCCAGGAAGAAGGAAGAAGAGAGAGCGTGGTTAGAAAAAAAGAGAAAGGCGTGTGTGTGGATAGGTACAGAAAACAAGTTTGAGATATGGCGAGTGGTGTGTGTGTATGAGTGTGTGTGATGATACCCTTTCATTGCCGCGTGCTGCTCCGCTTCAAAACTGGGTATCAAGTCCAGGCTTTTTCAATTCTACTCAACTACTACTACTATTACTATAAGGAACATCAAGGAAGAAAATGATAGCAGGCTTGTTATTAATCAAGAAGTAGGATAATACCCACCCACCATCATGTCATTGTTTATGTTGATGTCATTGTTTCTTAATCACGCCACACATACAATGTCCACACATCGAACACAGACATATTGTATTTGTCTCATTTGTGATCTACGGCCCGCTTTTCCTCCGTCCAACCGGAAAGCTTTAGATAATACATTTTTGGATCTAAGTTTTTAGTCACAGTTCAGGGAACAAGTGCAACGTTGTTTTTATTTTCATTGTACCTTGCATTCATGCATGAATAACAGGCATTGGCATTACATCTTTGTTGTAGTAAAAAGTTGATCATGTATGCTTTTTAATTTATCAATCGAAATGAAGATATTAAATCTACGATCGGCCACACCGAGTATAATCCATGTTCCGGACATATCATCTTCCCATGTTAATTGTTTCATTTGTCCATATTCGGAATCGAACCGATCCATCATCCATCATTGCAGCATGTCACAATGGTTTCTCATCACTCACTCTACCTTAAATTACAACCACATGCACACACACGCATGATGATGCAAAGTTTATTGTCAATCATGCATCAAGTGAAAATGACCCTGCTGCTGAAACACTTGTTGTCATCCTAGGAAAAAAAGTTTGTGTAGCGCAAAGCGGTATATTGATGATTATTGCTTATAACATTGGCTGTGCTGTTAAATCCTGGTGATACACAAGCCGCCGTAGTACATACCCAAAACACCCATCTCAATCCCTATCCTCTTCTCTTCCTCTCCCACACATGCACACACCCAGCAGATCAAATCAATGAAAATGGTGGTGATCATGAGACAAATAGGTTCATTTCATAATAAATTGACGCCATTAGTCGATGCAGGTGTTGTGGCGGAATTGGTAGTTGTGTTGTTGTTAGTAGAGTTATCAATGGTAGTGGGAGTAGGGGTTGTTGTAGTTGCAATGTCAGTAGCGATGAATTCGGAAAGTGAAGGGGATGCGGGGGGAGGAGTTGGAACAGCTGCAATGGCTGGTGCTGTTGTGGTGGTTGTGGTTGTGGTAGTGGCTGTTGTTGTGGTTGGCGCATTAGCAGCAGGAGATGTTGTCAATGTAGGAGGAGGCCAAATTGCCGAGAAACGAAGATTAGTAAATGGAAGATCAAAAAAGTGTGCGACGACAGGCAAATTTGAAAGGGTATAGAGCCGAGTGGTAGATGCAGAAACGATACCCTTGACCTTGGCATAGGTGCGTAAATGATCGGCCACTTCAGCACGTCGAGCAACAATGTATTCAGTGACCTTGGGTCCGAGTGGGACAGAATATTCGAGACTCTCATGGATAGGTTGTAGCGCCTGACAAATCTCACTTGCATCGGGTCGATTTTCTGGATGTGGTTCAAGGCATGCCACATAGAGCTTTTCATACCACTCTGGAATTCCTGGTACCACCGTGATGCGATATACATTGTCTTCGCCATGATCTCCATCCAGTAATACATCGGGTGATGGGAATATCACTTTGCTCACCAATTGCCATATAATCACTCCCAAGCTGAAGATATCGGATTTCTCTGTATACGTTCCAGATCTTACTTCAGGCGCTATATACGGTAGTCTTCCATAAACTGCCTTGGTGTATGTTGTCACGGGTGTTGATTCTTTACTCGGTGTTGAAAATCGATAATCAAGTAAAAAGTAATCGCTGTCGGTGCATACAATGTTGCGTGGGTGGACGTTGCGATGACACATGCCAACCTTATGCAAATCAGCAAGATTGGCAGCAAGTCGTAGAATGGTGCCGGTGATCGTCTTTAGGTCCAAGTCTCCCAAAGGAAGCAATTTCATATGGTCCTCCAGATTACCATCATTGCTCAACTTCATCACCATCATCAAATCACCCGTGCTCTCACAAACAGTCAATCCTTGGAATAACAATGGTAGGAACGCCTTTGATTGAACAGCAATCTAATCCACGTAAAAATGGTCAATGATGCATGCCCTCCATATTTCCTATCATAATGGGATTTACCTCATTTAATACTTTATCATCCACAATCTTGAGAGCGATACGTGTAGGTTCCAAATCATAAGGTGGGCTGATCACGGATGCATACACGGCCGAGAAACCACCAGCACCAATGAATTGCATGCTCGAAAACCATGACCAAGGAAACCATTGCATGTATTGATCCAATCCATCCAAGTAGATTTGTGCCACAGCCTTGCGTGATCGAGGATGTGAAGTTGATACCACTCGTTCTCTTCCATATCGCTCTGCCAATGTTTTGTATGAGAGCTGTTGTCGCCATACCAACGCCCAATGCTATATAGGTTTCCATGGATACATATATTAACACGTGATTATGATGATGCCGATGCGAGAGATATAGGTATATTACTCACCCAAGCATGGTCAAAAGGAATACTGGCTTCAGTGCAATACTCGCATACTTCTTGGTATAATTGAGCCAGCCGTTCAGGGACCGTGGAACGAAAGCTTGCATCGCAAGGAATCAAGTTCTCGAGACCGAATTCATGAGGACATAGTTCAATGAGGTTGCTGACTGCCTCGCGAGTACGTCGAATGAGATCGTCTTGAATTTGTTCGTTATAGAGTTGTTGAATGTCGACCTCGTTCATGAATCAGGGAAGATAAACGAGCAATAAAGGGAATGTAATAATGATACAATAAGATAAAGAAGAATGCAAAAGGAAAAAAGCGAGTGTGAAGAGGGTAAAGAAGTGAGTGAGTGGGTGGGTTGTATGAATGGATTGAGTCAAGAAGCGATTCGAAAAACTCTATTAAAACAGCTCCGAATTGAGTTGTTGTGTATGGGGGAGTAGACACACACCAACCCGATGCTTCACCAATCATTCATCGCGCGGTTATCCTCACCGTTGTTCCCGATCATCCCCTTGTTAAGCGATTCTCACACACTCACGCTAGCTCTTATCCCACTCTCTCTCCCTCCCTTTCTTCTCGTCGTTTCCGGAGATGGTAGGATCTTGTACAATGCGAATGCCTATCTTAATCTTTTCAAAATCGATAAACATGTCATTATCCCCCACATTCAAGGTGGGGTAAAAGATATTTATATAACAAACACGCACATCTTCAATTTTAAAGTTCTCACGCCGCACATACTGCTGACACACACTCATCCACTCCACTCACGTATGTATATAAATGAGAGCTGATGTATCAAGGAACGGAGTAGATGTAACCTTTTTTTTCTTTTTGACCAATCCGCTCTTATGCAAATGAGACAATGTGAGAGCGAGTGTGAGTGTATGCGTGTGGATCATTTGATTCTTTCCGCTCGTTCGCTCTCGCTCTCTCTAAGCAAGCTGTCATCCATCTCCCACCTCGTGTGTCCCATTATTACATTTAACCCCCCATAAAACCCACGCAATAACCCCCCTGCCAAGGGGTACACAGCATGAATCCACGTTGAACCAAAAAAAAGATAAGCTCAAAACATAGTGAGTGTGTGTGTATGTATAATCAGGTCGTTGCCATGCGACCGCGGCAAGTTGCCCATGGATGGAAAACAAGGGAAAAAGCAGTATATGGGGGAGCAATGGCCAATTGGGACTTTTGGCGGATGTTAAGAGCAAAACTTCATTAGGTACGTGGTACAAACGACAAGGTTTGATATCCTTTATCAAGCTGGCATCAGTGATGGTGTGCGTGCGGTAGGAGTCAATACAAATCAAAAAGTTCTCTTTTGTCTCCTCTGCTGTTGTTGATTACATTGCATGTTGTATTGCTTTGAATACAAAGATTCATGTCTTAACCTTATATTTCATTGTGCTCACATCTGATAGAATCCATGGAACAACAGCTTGTGTAAACATGATTAATCCCAATATCTGGCTATTAGGCAAAGCCTTGATGCTGATCAGCAGCTTTCTTTCCACCCCACCCCCCAAATCCACCCCACACGCACAAACATAAAGACAACAACCCGACCCCGCCCGTCAGCGGGAAAACGACAATTACAGCTAGTATAATCCATCCACCTGCTGCACTTGCATCCAGATCAGTGTACATGGTTCTCTTTTTCTTCCACGCATGCATGCACTCTTACTGGAAGTGTCCATGTGATCACGCACATACATACAATGCTTCTGATTTCCCGCTCAAAAGAATACAAGCAACAACAACAACAGTGTAGGATGCGTGGTGGTGTCACACAACGATCAAGCTCCACCACCACCAGCCATATCAGTGTCACTTTTGAATACTTTTTTAATGGAACAACATGGGGATGATGCATAGGGTTAAGGCTATAGATGCTAAATGGTATATGATTTCAATGAATGAATAGCCAATGGTTATAGTAGATTATAGGTAATGGTTGATATAAGGATAATACTTGAAACAATGTCGTCGTCGCCGTTCCTGCTACCTGATTCCAAGAAGGGTAAAAAGGTAGATACACCAAACATTGACCAGAAGGAGAAAGTGTATAAGTAAACGAGACAAGGAGATGAATGCGTGTGCATGTGTGTCTGTGGGTGGATGGGTTGCTTGTGTGTGTGTGATTGCCTATACAAGCCATGATACAATTCAGTAAAAGGGAAGCTCCTTTGTTCCATGGTATCCCATGACAACCCCTTCTTACCTTTAGCATGGATAACACAACTCATCCACATTGTATCCCATTTCACAGGCTTGTTGCTTCATATAAAGGTACATCTTGTATTGCAATTCCAAGAGGGGTGAGTCCTTGACAATTCCAGCATTGGTGGCATCGGTGAGATATGACTGAACGCCTGCAATCAAACTGAGTAATGCTTCGTTGTTGTACGACGACTCCTCTTCACTCGCAATGCTTTGTCGATCATCCTCGTCCATCATGTCGTCGTCGCCATCATAGTAATAATAGTTGTTCTCTTCCTCTTGATATTCCATCATCATCGTATCATCATCATCGTTCTCATTGACTTGCTCCTTTTGTTGCCAGAGATAGTGTTGACTGTAACAGTAATCCTGAATGTCAGCTGATAAGCGAGCAGCTTCCATAGCCCGATCGTATTCGTCAAAGTAGCCATCTTGCTCCTCAATGAGACTTGGTTCATTCAATGAGACGTTGCTGAAGTCCATTTTGGAAGAGTCAATGACAAGCAATTAGAAGAAGAAAAAGAGAGAGAGAGGAGAAGAGGAAGAGGACGACAGGATATAAGAGAGAGAGCGAGAGATAAGACCACAAGCAATATATATAAGAGAACCAACAAGCAAGCAAGCAAACGAGGAGAAGAGGGGAGAGGGGAGAGAGAAAAAAGAGCAAGATGGGGGTGGAAAAAGAGATCTCCTTGCGTGCGTATATAAAAGTCTTATTGATTCACACACCCACAGAGGACATTGTTTTGGTTGTGCACATCCCAAAAAGCATCACTGTTTATAGAGGCTGATCCATTCTGTGCGTTAGTGAGTTCCCTCCCATTCATCAACAATGTTTGTTGACCTCAATGATATCGTCACCACATTATTCATGCTAAACGATAATACTTGTACTACTACTCCTCCTCTTTGAAGATGGCCCGTGGCAAATATCCCGCACTCTCTTAGCCCCTGCTTGTGGATCCACACATACACACACACACATGTTTCCACTTACTACTACTACTGCTGCTGCTGCTGATGTTGGCTTGCACTCTATCATCTCACTTTTACTGGAGACACATGTACCTTGCATCAAGAGACGGGGTGCACTTTACAGGGGCGCGCATCACCATCATATCCCAGGGCCAACTTTGAACAACTCTCTCTCAATTTCGTTGTTTAGAAACCTTTTGTGTCTAGTACTACTACTACTACACGTGGTTACCCGTGCACCTAACAAGACCCGCCCTTATTTTCTTCTCCTCGTTTGATCCATTCCATTGAGTAAATCATCTTCTTTTTGATGTGTGTGTAAAAACTAGTGTCAACGAACATGTCCCTGTCTGGGTGCATAGTAAATGCACCTTGCTCTTTGGGAGATACATTGCTTTGGGTTACGGCGCGGTGTGGTGGTGGTAATAATAAGGGAGCTCAAGGAGTAACGTATAGAGTAGTAGTAAACTATCTGGGATTGCTTTTGGGCGCATCACCCTTTCTATCGGAGCATTGCCAAGAAGCCATTGAGGACATTCGTTGTTGTTGTCGTCGTGGTGATATGCATACAACAACATCCATAATAAACCTGCATGGGATCTTCCAATGATGACCAGATCCAATAATTGCTAGTGCAGTTATCAATGACAATGAAAATGCTATAGTAGTGCATCCCTTCTTTCTTGTCAAAACTTGACGACCCTACTTTTTCATGTCGTTAGCCTTCTTGTGTGTTACTTATCCACCCACCATGATGATGATGATGCATGATTCCGAAATTCGGGTGCCCTCCCCGAGAGTACACATGGTGTAACACAGCACCGAAACCTTGTCATCATATGCCAAAGCAAATGTCCAAAACAAGCATTGCCTTTCAAAAAAAGAAAAAGAGGGAATGCGTTTATACACAATGAAGAAGGGAATACAGCAACAGGTATATCAAACAAAAAGAGGAGGAGGAGAAAATTGGGGAGCTACATACTAGTAAGGGATGTCCGTTTTGTAGGCTGCGACTTGTTCTAGATCACGCAGTGGGCGGTGCAAGCGACTACGCTTGAGCCTCATTGTGTAAGCGTTGATGATGCAGGCGAAATAGACCTTTGTTGTTTTTACATGCAACGTGTCAGTTTTGGTAAAATGTAAGCGTTGAAGAATGGCACTTACCGATATGGCATTTGCAACAACAACGGCAATCCCACCACCTACCAAGATGCCAAGCAACATTTTGCTGCATACATCTTCAGCTTCTTCGGATAAAATGCTCTCATCCACCATCGTCTCGGCATGATCGCTTTCATAATAAAACATGCAGCTATCTTGAAGCTCATTTCGCTTGACTAATACAAAGATCCATGTGGCCACTGAGACTGCCACTATCAGAATTGCCATCACCCAGTACACATATTTGAAGATCCGGATCAAGTTCCGTTTTTTCTACATCCATAGTGTTGGTAGGTTTCCTTTATCGGAAGCATCCATTCTTTTCCATTTACCATGATAGCGCCAACAATACCAAAAATCGATGCACAAATATTCAAGGCTGCAATGCCGACGCCTGTATACAATGCAGCTCCGAGATTCACTTGCGAGGAGTCATCATATAGTAAAAGATCTGCATGTGCGTTAGTAACTGCCACGTGAGCATGTCATGTATGCGAAAAGAAGCTTACTGTTTCGATCTGCAACGAGGTATGAAAGTACTGCCGCACTGCAAAGCTACTTGTGGAATGGTACAAAAATCAGTAAATGATCATCAGAGAGTGAATTTGAGTGTTCGTACTTACAGCAGACAAAATAGCAATGAGAAGAACAGCCATCCTAGATATATGTGTAAGACAACAAAGTGTATTGCCGATCTCTTTTTTACTTTACCGGAGGGGTATGCAGCAGCAACAGTTGTTGACCATGGTCGTTTATACTTTTCCAAAGTGCGTAGCTAAGCAAACAAGAAGCACAAAACAAGTGTTTTTTTGTTCTTGGGGTAACCACATCACCGGGCTTCTATTTAAACATTTTCCTTGTTGGCTGTCACCATCTCTGGTCCTTCCATGATGGTCGGGCTGATCCGTACATGGATATCTTTTTGCGCTGGCTGCTATTTTTAACCATGCAAGTAGGTTGTGTGTATGTGTGTGTATGCTGTGGCGATATAAAAAAGACATGAGCTGAGCCACAAGCACCCTTGTATGCACCGCAAGTACACCACGTTGCAGTCGATGTAGTGTTGCAGGTCATGCTTTGACAGCTAGAGCCTATGTAGTAGTCATGCCAAGCAACACGATATGCTAAGCTTGTCATTGACATATGCAGCCAAGGCGCTGACTTTCAACATAACAGGTTAAATTCAATCCTTGTGTGGCGTATACACTTCGTTTCGTGTTATCAATCTCCGTTGGCTTGGCTATTGTTATAGATCGAAACGAGTTTAAGAGACATGAGATAGCATGTGAGGCCCCCTTGTTGACTACGCATATCCATGTCTCAGTTTCCATCGTTTGTACAACAACAACGGCCATGGATCGGAGATGGTAACATGATGTGGATCGACGTCGTCGCTGATGACTATGCCGGGAGCGGTGTAGCACAGCCGTTGCTATGATGGATGTTTATAGGGCCAACGCTGGTAGCCATGGAGACCAAAAAGGTCGTTGGCCTGCTTCACAATGCTAATTGTTTTGGAACTACGTTGTGGATGATCCCTAGTACACATCCTGTCCGTCACCACCGCGAGCAAGCTACAGGATCAAGCATGTCACGTACTCCAATTTCAATGTCCCCTGGCAACCATGGGTCATTCATTCGACGACGAAAATCTATTCGCTTGCATGAATGTTGGGTGAATCACTCATACATAGAGCAGCGTATGTAAGGTGGGTCAATGCGAAGTTGATCTACAACCTAGGAGAAGAAAGCCGACACGTGGTTGCATATTTGGGTCTGATTTGATCGACAATGACAAGTAAAGTTTATGAATGCAGGTTGCCAGCACCCATTTTGGGATCGATCATTGGGCAGAGGAGGTGCTACTTTTGAGTCAATACAGCAACCCTTGTAGATTCACAGCTTCCATCATAGCGATAACAATGGATGCTATTAAGGCTTTTTTGCTGACAGCACTCCCTACAAGATAAAAGTTCCAAGTGCCATCATCATTATGGATACATTGCCCGAGCATGATTTATGAGAGCATTTTCGGTGACGTGATTCCTTTTTATGTCATTATTTGCGTACATACCCAACGGTGTAGGTGGATAATGATGCAGGTCTATGCACACGATAAACACCTCCATAGTCATTACGCGATAATCGCATTACTTGATAATCATGATGGGTTTATATGAGTATTTGCCCTATATTGTATGATTACGGATTTAAGAAAATGGATCTTCGACGACCAAGAAATACTACTACATTGCTCATCTCCTTTTGGAGGAGGTGCTCAACACGCGTTGCCATTCATGGAAAGAAGCGGTATTATCCATAAAAGCATGGTAGCAAAGTTACCATTCTTTAGGACCACATGGCGTGAGGCATATTGAAATGAGCATGGACGCATTACGCCGCTGCCTACTACAAGGAGAAAAGTCGTGAGAGACGATGGCATAGTAAGTGGATGGTATTATAAATACGTCTATGATCGTGCTTGTATGATCCAAATACGGCCATGCATCATCTTCGTAGTAAGGATTGTGGAGCAACAGCTTCAGTAGAATAGTAGAAAAGCCAACACAAAGCATTGAAAAAGCTATCATTTTTTAGCATCAGGCAATGAATTAGCCAGATGAAGCGGCTTCTTAATTTCAGTGTCACGCATGATGGTGTTGATCCTTTGTAGTCAGGGCGCTGCTACTCCTGCTGCGATGATTAAAGCAGCTAGTACCCGGATCTCATCCTCCTATTTTTAATGCTCGCCATTCTCCCCATAACCGTTTTATCCTTTCTTTTCTACTCTTTATTACAATTTAAAAGATAGATCCAGGGCGCAACATCAAAAATACATTGCTCAAAGACCCATATGACAGTTAACTTTGCAAACAGCGCACCAAGTAGTAGTAGACTCTTACTGCTATCGCTTGGTTTGTCATGGACCTTGGTTACAGCTCAAGGTAGTATATAGGCTCACCCTGCTTGCCAATGGAAGCACCATATCTTTAACCAATGACGTGTGTATTATAGAAAGTGGCGACCCAACTGGTGATGATTCTTCTGGTAGTGGTGATCCATCAGGCGATGACAGTGGCGGTAGTGGAGACCCAAGTGGTCAAGATACATCATCACAAGGATGTATGTAGCTAATCATCTTTAGCGTAAAACAAGAGGACATGCAAAATTAACGATGTACATACATGTTTTGTTTTAGCACCATCTTCATCAACAAACGAAGGTAGTAGCGGTAGCGGCACTAGTGATAGTGGCTCTTCAGGCAACGAAAGTACACCTGCTGCATCACCTTCTCAGTCGTCCGATGCAGGAGATACACCATCATCCAATCCTACATTATCGACTGAAGCCTCAAGCAACAACGACACTTCTTCATCCACTAACAACACTGGTGCCATTGCTGGTGGTGTCATTGGTGGATTGTTAGGTGCAGCAGCAGTGTTATTAGCTCTATTTTGGTTTTTAAAGAAACGTCGACAAGCAAGCAGCAAGGCTGCTGGAGGAGCCTTTGCTGATAAGACCATGATACCCGATGAGGATGTTGAGGAATTCACCCCACGAAATGACGAATACCCATATGGGATGCAACAATCATCGTCAACCAATGCAAACAGCAATGATGATATGATACACAACAATGCATCTTCATACACACCACCTCCTCCACCTCCTCATTCTGCCGTGTACAACCGATCCTAGTAGGACACCCGCATACATATCTTTATAATATACAATAGTCAACAGCTAATTACTTAAAACAAATACACCACACTATTATAGTTTGTGCACTAAGATGTTTTGTCGATCCAACGTTCTTGCTCAGAGTCTCCTTTTTTATTCTTTAAAAGATAACATCTTCATCCTTTTGGTCAATGAGATCGATTTGGCCAGTTTCATCAGCAGTACGGAAGATGGGAGCTTCGCCAAGTTGTTCTTTAGCCTTAACGCGTTCGGCTTCTTCGGCAGCTGCATGATCCTTCTTTTTGCCCTGCACCTTTTTCAGTCGGAAGAATTCTTCTCTGTCTTGTTCGTCAAGCTCAGAAATGATATACTTGATGGTATTCTCGTAGCGGGGAATGATGACATGCTCAATGGCATTCACACGGCGGTTGGTTGCCTTGATCACCTCATCCAAGATCACAAAGGCAGTCTATATCATTGATAATAGGCTATTAGTATTCAACGAGGGGATGATGATAAGAGAGGGGGGTGAAAGGGGGGAATGTTACCTGCAGACTAGCCAACTCGATCAGGGTCTCTACTGCTTTTCTGTAAACCTCTTTCGATCTTTGAACATGTTGACCACCTCGACCCAAGCCGGTGAATTCAAAAGCTACGATAATGATTGTAATCGTTAAAGGGCTTCGTTCCTATGGTATTCCAATCTTGGGATACTTACCATTGCCACCTTCGGTATACATGGCAAACGTGGGTAGCATGACACCGGATACGTTTTCTTGTTCAGCACGCACACGTAGTTGAGCAGACTTGGAAGCTTCTTGCACTTGATAACTGAAAATGACCCATAGCATGAGTCTACTATGATAATGACATCTCTTTTCTCTCTTCTCCTGGTACCTGATATCTCCTGCAGTATACTGAACTTCAGCTAACGAAAACGATGCGGCTTGCATGATTTGACCCATTTTGCGTTTGAGCTATAATAATACACGCGGTCCAATGGGTGAGCAGAGGATGATAAGGAAGGCCCAAGGAGTGTATCGTGTCATAATACATACTTCGTCAATACGATGAGTGATAGTACGGAAGCGTTTAGTAAGTGCTTCAGCTTTGCGTTTCAAGAGCGAATGACCCGTTTGAGCACCCTTGAGACGAGACTTCATGGTCGTCAACGCCCTATAATGACACACACACGAAGGTCATTTCGGCACGTCCTATGCAGGTCTCTTTTTGTCGATGGAGCTTACATGCGAGTTGGGAAGATGTTGATACGTTGATTGTTGCCTGACATTGTCGAAACAAGATGGCGAGTTTATGAGAGGGAGAGCGTGGTTGTGTGTCTGCGAAGAAAGGGAAACGAGCAAGCAGTAAAGTAGCCACGAACGCCCGCCGAGAGGGGTTGTTTCAACTTCAAATGCTGGACTCTAAAATGGTCAGCCGTGTGTGGCAATATGATGCATCACCCCCAAGTTGTCGCGTGTGGAAGATAACTCTCGTCAATCACACATTCGGATGATCATCTTCCACCTTTGTTTTGATGCTATTAACCCTCTGTAGTGGTATATAAAACAGCGTGGTTTTTTATCCCGTTGTGTCGTGTGGAAAGCTTGCCATGGAAACAATTGAGGAGAAAAGTCATACGCGAATAAACCTTTACATCACTCTCTTACACATTTTCATTCGCTTATCCCCATAAAGTTGTTGTTGTACCCCGCATGATGTATGAGCGTTTGATTGCCAGGATTTCCTTCACTTAACATAATGCAACGAATCATGATCTGCTATCAATTGTGTTAAAATCATGATGTGGTCAAGCGCAATGATCAGGTACTACAAGAAGACTTTCTACATTTGCAATTTGGATAGCGACGTACCCCTTTGTCAGGGACATGCATCTTCTAGCCCTTTCAGATACACTGTGTTATAGTTTATTTTGCCGATTACTGAATGACCAGGAGGTAGGCATATGCAATTACAAGGACCATCATTTTATACGCTTTGTTTGTATGTGTACATGGAGCAAAAAGACTCAAAGTAAATATGATGTTGAGCAAGCGTTTTAAGCACTATTGCTTCCCATTACTAATGCTACAGATTTATTGCTTGATCATAGATGAGATAATGATACAAAAAGTCTTCCATGAATGCTAATGAAGGAAGCTATTTGAGCTGGTGGTGATCGATTCAAGTACGGTGTAGAGTCCTCGACTATGTAGTATCAGTGGATGTATGGATGTAGTCAATGATCCTTTTCGCATGCAGTTGATGGATGAATGATGACCATGATGATGCAAACGGGAATTTATTTCTCTGGTTATTGTTCAACTCTATCGTCTATCAATAAAGAAGCGAATGGGTGCAGGTGGATGGATGTGCGATAACACTTGTTGATGCATGAGGTGCCCATAAATGTGCAGTGGATGATGATGGTTGTTGACAGGTCACACAAAGGATGGTGATTGTAGATGCGTGTAAAGAACCACCTTGACATGCGATACGCTCTTCTCTTTTCCACACATTGTATATACCCAAACCCTTCCATTCCATGTACCAATATCCATATCCATATGTCCACAAGAAGTTGTATGTATTGAAGCAAGTTGCTACACCTAAATAAAGGTGCTTCTATACGATGGCTATCTGCTGTCCACGTGGAAAAGGCTGCAAGGCATGTTGCTGCAAGTAACTTGAGACGTTGGAGTAGCAACTGCTGCTACGATTGGTTGTGGGCAGAGGAGTATGCAAGAGCGTGTGTTGTGGTCGAGTGACAAGATGTGAATGCCGTTAAAGACAATGGGGTAAAGGCCTCGCTAATGGCAACTTCTGGTACGATTGGTTGTGAACAGAGGAGCGTGCAAGAGCGTGTGTTGTGTCAAGAGACTCGTGTGTCGTAGAAGAGTGGCAAGAAGGCTGTGTACACGCCATGGACTTGCCATTCAGTCAAAGACAATCGGATCAAGGCAGCTGTAGGATTGGCATGATGCGTTGAAGCAGGACCATCACTCACTTGTGGTTGAGAGTGGGTGGGTGCAATGTAGGATACAGAGGGAAGAGAGAGAATGTGTGTGTGGATAAGGAAGCGGTGGATTTGAAGTTAACACCATTTTTATCGCTCTCATGAACATGGTTGCAGAGTAAACCAATGGCAGCTGCTATACATCACTCTCTTACACATCTTCATACCTTATCTCCACAAAATTGTTGTTGAACCCTACAAAGGAGCTGATGGAAGAGCTTGATCGCGAGGATTCTCTACACTTTGGACACCATTATGTGCTATCGATCGTTAAATCGGTCATGTGATCAAGTGGAATTATCTGGCAAGAAGACTTAATCTACAGTGCAATGCCCTTCTTGGATGGTAAGACTTTAGACAAAAGAGTTTGACTGATGATGGTTATTTGACATACGCACATATTATATGTTTGTGTCAGTGTATGTGAGAATTATAGACTTTAATACGATCGATCAAAAGGTCTGATGATGGAATAGTTTACTTCTATGAGTCGTTACCACTCCTTTAAGGACCAGCTTTAGCAGTATCGGCACCAGCAGCACCACCAGGGCCAGCTTTAGCAGTATCGGCGCCAGCAGCACCACCAGGGCCAGCTTTAGCAGCATCGGCACCAGCACCACCACCAGCACCACCAGGACCAGCTTTAGCAGCATCGGCACCAGCACCACCACCAGCACCACCAGGACCAGCTTTAGCAGCATCGGCACCAGCACCACCTTCCATCATTTTTTTTGCGGCATCAGGTCCAAAGATTTCCGCTATGGCCTTCATAGCTTCTTCTTGAGCAGCAGCATCAGCTCCAGAACCAGGACCACCAGGACCACCAGGACCACCAGGACCACCACCAGCGGCATCTGCTTTGGGTCCTTGACCAGGACCACCCTGAGCACCAACCGATTTAGGATCAGCGCCACCTTGTGCAGCAGGTTGAGCCGACACCACAGAGAGAATAGCAATTGCAGCAGCGAGAGTAGGGATGAAGAAACGCATCTTGACTAGCTTGTACTTTTTCAATAATGTAAAAGTTGGGATAATGCTACCTCCATCTTGAAATTCAACATCTTTATATAGCTTTTGCAAGTTTTGATCGTCGTCTTAGTTAAAGCACGCCTTTTTGCATGTTGTTCTCATACTCCCTCTCACTCTCTCTTGGATGAGGACGTATCCCTTTGCCAGGGACTTGCATTTTCTAGCTTCTTTTTTTTTACAGTGGTACACTGTAAGTGGATCTACACAGATGTATTTACATATTCTGTCGATAACGAAGCTAGCAGGAGGTAGGGGTATGCAACTAGAAGGATCATCATGTTTATACGTAGTATCCCATACCTTGTATGTGTACATGGATTAAGGAGACTCAACTCTGAGCTTTGTCAAATGTCTCTTTCAATCACCACCAGGTTTTGGGTGGTGATGTGCATGGCTTGATCTTTGCATTTTCCTTCATTGACCAGCGCGAGAAGTGAGATGCTATTGCTCATAATATCCACCGAACATGGTGGGCGCAACAACCCAAGAAATTTCCATTGGCATACATTGCATCTTCAAACTCTATCTTTCAATACACAGTAAAACGCCACCTTGAAAGGAGAAGACGCCATCTACGAAACTAGTCGCGTTTGCGAACAACGACATGCAGGACTCGTTAGGAGACAATGCATACTTCCCTATAACATTATGTATGTATCAGCAAAATACTTTCAAATTGCATTCGTTTCCACAATTATTACTTTCCAGACACATGGTTTTGGTGGTAGTTACTAACAATCAAGAAATGGGTTGACGTATTATTATAGGTGATGGGACTATGTCATTGAAGAAATTTGACAGCGGCGGAAAGTGACGGATCAACAACCCAATGACCCCTTCAGGGGGATGGATGTGCGTACGTACGGTATGTTTGTTGACTTTAGTTTTGGGTTTGGCAAATCATACGTAGAGATCAGCAACCAATGATGGGTATTCTCTCTTATGTTGAAGGATACAATAAACCTAAACTTCAAAATGCATTGACTCAAGCTAAACGCCATCTGCAAAAGGTAGGTTCTATGCAAGCCCTTTGTTTTGACCTTGAGTACCTGGACCTGTATGCTGTACATAACGCCATGCCAAGTTCTCTTCGCATTAGTGTTACAAACCAAAGAACGTATGTGGATTTGATATCCACAGGGTTATCCACCTTGAGCGATCGAACACAAAAGCTGGCACATAGGACAAAGCAATACGAGTTGATTGTTGTGGATAATAGTTTTCATAGTGCAATGGTATTTTCTATACTTTTCCAGCATCATTGCAGCACTGGGCGATCAACACAAAAGGAGTATCCCTATTAGGAGTAGGGTGCATGGCTGCCTCACTTGATCGATAAGCAAGGATGGTTTATACTTTGTCCAATGATTACATGTTGTGTAGAAGCCCAAGGTTTATGGACCTTGTATGTATACATATCCAATATCCCAACCGCACAGCATGAAATAGAACGGAAACATCCGCCATTGCTTTCTCTAATGACCCTCCAGACAAAATGTGCAGTTGTAGAACCCCCCTGAAGCTATTCCACATCGCTCCTTAATCCCATAACCATAAATGAAAACGTTAATCGTTGGTAGAATTGCGTGATGTCCAGTGTTCTGCTATGTCGCTAAGATTCACAGGTTGACAAAAAGGAAGCTCTGCCCAACTTTGGCGGGAACACGGTGATCTGTGTACAAGGTTACTGCTGATAGCTAACTCAAACTCGTCACATAGAAGGGTGTATTGTCGCTAGTAGGCATTTCACATTCGTTGAATACAACTGGAAATGGCGCTAAAGGAAGGCAAGTTGGTCTTAGTAACACTGTATGTGGTAGCTGTTACCAAGGCAACCCCATCTAAAACTCAACCCATTGAGAAACAGCCCAACAGAGCACATGTTTTGTATGCTGATACAACCATTTATAAGATTTGTGGCATTTTATTGACGTGTGCTGTACTATGAACATGGGGGGATAATTTCCAATGACGAGTGGTTGATAGAGAGTATGTGGATATAGGCATAGCATTGTCACGTGTTTCAAGGTACGCTGGATTGTGATTTGAACGAGCGCTCTAGTTGTATTTATGCATCATTTATTACTCCCCGAGAAAGAGAGGAAAGCTATGACGTGTGATTGCTGTCCAAGTCCAAAGAGCGAGGAGCGAGGGGAGAGAGAGAGAGATGTGCAAAAGAGGAAAGAAATGTGGCAGTGATGTGAGTGAGTGAGTGATTGTGTGTTGGAGTGGTGAATGGTGGTTGTTGTTGTGCGTATATCGTTGATTGGAGGAAGAAGAAAAAGGTGCGGTTTTTGATGGCGGCGGGTGGTATAATATAATTTAGGATATGACACCGTTGCGAATCATAATGTCCACAAGTTCTTGCAATGGCTGGATTTCCTTTTTGTCCAATAGACCAAACTCCCGGGCAAACGAGATGAAATGAGCAAATAGCGAATTGAAATGTGGTTCCTCGTTCAGCGATAGAATCTTGTCGTAGTGATGATGATAAATGTGTGCAAACAACCGAAACAATTGACCGAAAATACGCTTTACAATGGTAGGGAATTCGCGTGGAAACTCTCGTCCTGTATCATAGCAACCTATTAGAGATGGGATCCTCTCACAGATATACATGCATCCATCTTACCTCCTTTCGTGGGAAATATGGTTTCATCATTCAACATGTTTTCTATACTCGTCGCCATGTAATCGATGTATTGTGGTGCTGGTAACTTGATCTTTTTGGATTGAGCATCAGACCATGTGTATTCGACGCTATCAAGGGGGATGGATGTGATTAGCAAATGCAATCCCATCATCCCTTCTATCCATCCTATGTCAACTTACCCTGGACCTGCGGACATTGAAGGGCAGCTTTGTGCGTTGCAGAAATCAGTGATGGATGAATAGAACATGTTGATATAGTTGAAGAACTCGAAAGCTTATAGAGGCAATGTCGTCAATAAGCGAGAAAAGGACTTGGAGACTTGAAAAAGGCATCAACTTACTATTGAAAGCGAGCCACTCGTTGACGTCGACGTATTTTGGTAACTCTATAATCGTCTTGAAGTTGCCCTTGACCAGCATATGGGTTACATATGGATAACATAAGAACAATGGCTTGGATGGTAACGATGTGGTCGATTTTGTTTTGCTGGCTTGTTTTCGTTTGCTGCCGAGACTGGACATTGGAGAGGCTGTGATGAGTACAATGCGGGGTCATGCGGATGTGCTGAAGCGACGTACCCAAAGCTCAAGAAACTCATGATGCCTGATTCAGAAAGTAGATTCTAAATAGAGGTAGTAAAAAGAAAGAGGAAGAGAGATATAGGAGAGGAGAGATAAAAGAGGACCAAAGACCACACTGCAACAAAGGAAAAGGGGACCAAGAGAGTTGTTTGGCTGGCACACACTCACTCTGGAAATTCACTTGAATTCCCGACACATCGTCAAAGCACTTGTTGACATTGTTGCCTGTTGTTGGTGTCATTGTAGTTGAGAAACAAGCTTCATTATCATGCATGCGTGTATACAAGATGTTCTCATTGTCTCACTCTCTATGTATGTTGATTTGGAGATCCATTCCCTTTCGTTGTTGGCAAGATGCCTCTTCTTCTTTGCTATTGTTGATAAGAGCCATCAATGTGGAGGGATCAATCAATAAAGATTGCTTACTACCCATAAGTTGTCATTGAGACCAGAAATCATAAAGTGGCTAATGAAAGTGATAATGAATGATGAGGATGGGGTATCATTTCCCATTTTAATGATCAGAATGTGGGGTTTGATGGGGCTGGAAAGTGTGTGAGAGTGATGCTATTGATAAAATGATCGGTATTGTTGGGGGACGGAATACATGTTGTGGGGAAAAAGGGAATACAAAAGAAATGTCAAAGGTGCTAATATCTATGTTATTATTCGACATTGCCAGCGCGCGCAACACCATCGCTATACCAGACGACGACGCCGTTACGTAAATCTCGTCGCCAAATGACACCACGATATTGAAAGGTCCAAAAGCTCCAATAGCAGATCATGGATACACCAGCCATTGTGCTGACCAGCAGCAGCTTTGCAACGCTTGTGGGTTTGAGTAGATACAATAAGGCGAAACCATCCATACGAGCAAGAGCAATATACAACAAGCCCCATGCACTTCCAGCGCCCATGAGAGACCAGATCCGATATGCCAATAACTGGTAACCACCTTGTTCTTCCAAACGGCTTACGAATTCCCATAGTATGATTCCCCATGCATTGCGTCGTTCGAGCATCAAGAGCCAAAATAAGCTGATGGTCGGATCAAGTGTCAATCTCTCGCTGAAAACAAGTATGCCTAGCAACCATCCAGTCCAATACAATGATGTCCCATACACCACACATAATCGCTCCAGATCAGGTCGTTGCAACATATGAGCTGTCAAGTGCGTAACGTGGAAACTGAGATGGAACAGGACAAAAAAGGGTGGGAATGTGTGCGCCCATGCAAGTGTCGTTAAGCTGTAGAGCGATAAGATGATGATGGATGATGTCAATGCAAGCGTGATAGGTGTGTATGAGATGCGACTATTTACATACAACGAATGTTATGAGCACGTGTGTACTATATAAAAGAGAACAGGCCACCTACTTACATAATGTGAGTGTCGTGAACAATAGGGCATGGCTCGTCCTGATGCTCAGTTGAAGAGGAGAACGATGGCTTCTCATCGGAATGATAACCTTCGTCTGACATGGAGGTCGAGGTTGATCTGGATTCATACGTCGAAAAGGACATTGGCGTGTCTGCCATGCAAAGGCATTCGTAATAAATGGGAGAAAGAGAAAGAGAGAGAAAGAAGAGCGTCCGAGACAAAAGGAATTTTCGACAAGCACGTGAAGAGAAGATTCACATGAAAATGGAAAGGGGGGCGATGGAGATTACACACACACACACACACACAAAAGAGAGATCTGCTCTTTGACTGGCTAATGAAGTCGCATGTGCATGCATCTGTTCTCGTCATCATTCTCTATTGTCATATTCCTGGGGTAGGATTGGGCTTCCTTTTCAACATGTGCCACTGTCAAAAAAGTGGGTGGGGCTAAGATTAAAAGACCCGTGGGTGATTGTAGCATGAAATCATCATCTATGCCCATTTCAGATGGGTGTCACAGGAGTGCAACGCCTCTTTTTATGCTTATATGGATGCTCTTTATTCTTCCCGTAGTATATCGCTGACAACAAATGTATAAAGTGCTATGCCCAATCAATTGCCTTTTTCGTCCCTCGCCCGCATGCAATTCATTGTTGATGCCCGACATTGACTATAACATGCTAGAAAATGTTGTCAATAGCTTACTAGCACTATTATGCTTCTCCCCTCCTTCATAACACGTACTCAAAGGAAAGACTTGTCTTGCTAATAAACAGCAGGTATTGGATAGCGATGATGATGATCATCATGGTGGATCATTTTGTGACCTTGGAAACATGGCAACGAGCAACGACATTGCCAGGGCAATTAGTGGGCGGTCATTCTAAAATGATTATTCCACTAGCAAGAGGCAGCTACGACTAACCCAAATGCTCCAGACAGCAACATGGTCATTTGATGCTCATTAACGTATATAATATAGGGTTAAAGGTATCCTTGTAACTCCACCCTATGACGACGACGTCCATCGATTACATCATTTGCCATCTTCATCAACAACCCTTTGTCCTTGTTACCAGAAGCCTGGATCTCTTGTTGTTGGTCTTACAGCAACGTGGATTGTAGGATGATATCATGAATGCGAATCTTAAAGTTATTGGTAATGAAAAAGTAATGAGGGGAAATGGTGTGATAAACCAAGTCGTGTTGATCAATTGAGTATCCTGTTATAACAGCCATAAGAGCAAAATCAGGGAGGCAGGTGCTAATGATTGCAAATAACGAAGCTGTCGCTTGGCATTTTGCCTAAGGTGAACAATGGCCATTGTCTGGACTATTCCAATTGGCTGACCTTGTACTATTGTATCGTCAGCCATAATGAGTTTCCCAAAGAGGGGTGCTGCTCTTCATGCTGCATGCACGAATTTGACGTGAGCTTAGCAATGATGATGAATGGAAAGGGAAAATGGGCCTTTCTGATCTTCTTCAACATGGGTTTGTAATTTGACTTGTGCGAGTCTTTTCCTTTCAAGGTTAAAAAAACACAACCCATCCCGAACCGATATTCCCCACCCATATCCGGTTTGGCGTATAGGGCCTCATCATCAGCAAGAATACGTATGCCGACGTTGATGATGATTCATTCCGACAATTTTCTGAAACCGAGCCATTCAAAGAAGGGTATCATAGGATGGTCCTCCGCCAAAGAAGAGGTGCGTAATATGACACGCTTAAGAAAAAGAGAGAGTGTGTATCATAAATCAACCCCTGAAGGATGTGGGACTAAGGAATGCGCATCCCTGTCAATCTATAAAAGTTTAATAAAGCTAATGCACGGATGGCTTGTCGTTGCTATAATGCAAGCTGTATATTATTGCTATTGTGTCCTGCTGCTGTATTGGTACCCCTTCCATTACGCTCACATACGCTTGCACATAAACATGTGGTTTCTCCGCTCTATGGGCTGATAAGAGCAAAACCAAGAACAAGGAACAATAGGCACACACACACCGATGATCGGGGGTTGCGGAAGATGATGCCGATTGGCGTTATTTAATTACATGTGCTTTTTAACGCACACACACAGCGGCGCGATGATTTGTTTGTTGGGGCCCATTGTTGTTACACGTGGGCGGACTGGCCATATGTATGCCAAAAGTGATATGAGGAAGATCGCTTTGAAGGAGAGCGAAAAAAAAGGCGATCAACTAACAGTGTTGGGCACCCGTGCCCGATCCACATTGTTTGATCGAGTATATAAGCAACGGCAAACTTTTCGTAAAAGTTGTCTTTATCATTCCTTATCCATCCACTTTTTTTGTTGTACATACCACCACTTCCATCTCGTTTCTATTATACATAAGCATCATCATGCGTTCCTTTGTTTCCTTTATTGCTCTCTTTTATACTATGGTCACCATCATGGTGGCAAATGCATTGCCTATCCAGAAGCGGGAATCTGGAGCCCTTACATTTTACACACCAGGCCTTGGATCCTGTGGCAAGACTAGTAGTGAAAGCGATATGGTGGCTGCAATGAGTTCTTCTGTTATGAGCTCAGGCGATAAATGTGGCAAGAAGGTCTCTATCACGTACAAGGGTAAAGACGTTACCGTAACCGCCCTCGACACTTGCCCATCATGTGGTTCTGGTGATATCGATTTGAGCCCTAGCGCCTTCTCAAAATTGGCCGACTTGGATCAAGGTCGTCTTCAAGGTGCAAGCTGGAGTTGGTCATAGATAGTATCATCACCATTCACTGTCGGCAACATGCTTACTTGTATGTTGTAGTGTAAAAAAAGTTGCCTGTATCTCTTCTTGGCAGCAACAACCCACCCCCTTCTTTTTTAGTGTATAGCAAAAAAAATGTACCAATACATGTATTTACAATGGCTGGACCATCACACCATCATCATCATCATCATTATGCGTTGTGAAATGACCGCTAGATCAGGTTTATGGTGGGTGTATGCAGGTAAATTGAGGAGTAGGGGGATACATAAACAAATGCAAAGAGGGTCGTGTGGTAAGGTTTAACCCGCAGGATGATGCATCAGTAGTAGTAGTAGTAGTAGTAGTAGTAGTAGTAGTAGTAATAGAAGTGACCATTGACCTATACATCACTATGCATCAAGTACATTGGTTGTCATGACGATGGATCGATATCCATGATACGCGTGAGTGTGTCTCATTTGTAAATGAGGTGTGGGAAACTCCGGTTGAAAAATGTTAGGGCACGTGGAGAAGGATCCTTTTCTGTTCCTGCATCTTGCGGTTTGCTCTTTTTTGGTGATAGCCGATCAGCCACCTTTTTGTCGTTGTCGTGGCTGAATCACCTTTCTTTATTCATTTCAACTTTGTTACTGAAAGGGATGTCACCCAAGAAGGGGGGCCATGAAAAGAAGTCCAAGATGTACGGAATCATAGCTCCCTACGGGGTGTGTGTGTATGTGTGTGCGGGGCCCTTTTGCCTTGATAATGGGGGCTATGTGCGTGCACTTTTATGATACACAAGCAGAGGTTGGTATCAGCAGTAGTAGTGCATATGATGGTATGTAGGGTGAGAATACTGATATAAGAGTGATAATGGGTGGTTTAGGAGAGCTGGGGTTGTGGAGAAAAGTAAAAGAGAGAAAAGAGCTGTGTATCAGCCAACCCTCTTTCAGGAGACATGTGAAATGGATCTGATGGAGAAAGCGTGGATATGGGAGACGATCGGAACGAATCCAGCACGCAGCATGTGTATGAAAGAACACATAAGGCTTCTGTCTCGGCATCCGCTGGCTGATGTGGGGGTTACTTTTTTATCTTTGGGCATGGTAATTGATCGGTGAGTTACAAAACCAAGAGCATAACCTTTTACTTTTTTCTTCCCTCTTTCTTTTTTTCTTTCTTTCTTTACTTGTCATCTTTTATCTCACGCACACACATACACACGACACTCCTTTCTTCTTCGTATACAACAACAACGCCATGCATCATCACCTGCGACGACATTCTCAATCAGTAGCACTGTCAACGTCGCTTGCAAACGCTCTTACTACTCCACACACTCGCACACGATCACATTCTACATCCACATGCACAGCTAACAGCATTGCCACGCAACTCTTTGCCTCGGTCAACTCGAAGATCAAGGAGATTGAGGATGCTGACTCGACTGGTTTCTTGCGATACATGGATGATCAGGTGCATGAGACCTGGGACAGTGCCAAGGCAGCTGTTGTAGGTGCACAGCGTTTACTGCAATTTCATGAGCTTCCCAAAGAGTGGCAGGAAAACGAATATGTCTTGTCAGGGTGAGTACACACATACATGCAGCATACATGTTTTTATATATCAATCCCCAAAAAACATGATGATCGTTACACCACAATGTCTTCCCTACACCCCCCAAAATTTTCATTCCCCCCAAAATCAAATATGTCGCTCATCCATTTGCTGTTATACAGATACCGCTTCTGCAAAGGCACTCGTGGTTGCTTGATGTCTATCTTTAAGATCCACAACGAGACAATGAACATTTGGAGCCATCTACTCGGCTTTGTATTTTTTGCTATTCTCACATGTCTCACCTTTGTTTCATTCAATGTGAGTGTTTGTGGGGGCTGAATTTTATATAAATGGGTATTGACATTGCCATGTTTGGCCTATGTATAGCGCCATTTTCCTGAAGCCACGCTCCATGATCGCATTGTGTTCATGACCTTTTGCTTGGCAGCCCTTAAATGTTTATTTTGTTCATCCGTCTATCATACATTTATCTGTCATTCGCGCCATACTATCAAGTCTTTCACCGCCACCTTGGTAAGTCTTCTTCTCTCCTTGAACATAGAAGGGGGGTTGAGCAAAAAAGGAGCAATGTCACTGACAACGCTTTGCTTGCTTCTTCCATGTACGTGTAGGATTACATTGGCATCGCTATCCTCATTACGGCATCTGTACTCGTCACTGAATACTATGGCTTTTACTGTCACCCGGTACCAAAGATGCGCTACATGATCTTCACCACGGTGGTTGGTAGTGCTGGTGTCATTATGCCCTTCTTCAAGCTGTGGGATACCAAGGAATATCGCATGTTGCGTATCACTGTGTTCTTGTCAATGGCGTTTTCCAGCGTTGTACCTGTGCTCCACCTCATTACCAAAAATGGATTCTTTTCAACAATGTCCTTTTTCCAAGAAGCTGCCATTAGTGTTGCCATGTATCTCTTGGGTGTTGTTGTCTGTAAGTGTACTTTTGGGGGAGGTGGTTGGGGGGTAGGGTTGTCAGGGAGGTGGAAAAGGGTACATTTGCATTAACACACACACACATTATAGACATCAACCGGTTTCCGGAAAAGTTCTATCCTGGCCGATTCGATTTTGCAGGCATGACAAGCCATGCCATCTGGCACATTTTCGTGTGTCTTGGTATCTATGTAAGTCATCATTGTTGATCAGCTGGGGTTATTTGGTGTTGTTGCTGATCAAATCACATGCACACACATACTAGTTTCACTACTTAGCATCAATGCACTTTTTCGATCAACGGTATTCTTACGGGTGCAGTGGATGCATGATTGCACAAGCATAATCAAACCTCCCATTCTTCTTTACGAGTACGAGTAATTTATACCACACACAAGAAGCACAATTACATCTCTCGTCATTTTCCTCTACTACTACCTCCTCCTCAAAAAAGAGTGCATTGTATACTCCAAAACAAACATTCCCCAATCCATCTTTCCCCCCCCTTCATAATACCATCCTGAACAATAATAAAAAAACGCAATAAACAATGATGACATGGAAGAGATGTATTATCAATGACGAAAAGGAATGAGCTATGATGAAGTTGGTATCCTATTATTCTGCGATGCTGATGATGATGCATTGGAGAAAGCCATGTTGCGTTCAATAAGATGATCGACTTGATCAAGGAAGAGCTGGATATCTTTGAAATAACCAGGGCCGATGATGGCAGAGGATGCTGGATTGTTGGCTTGTTTTGAACAAGTGGAAGTATAAGTCTCTTCATGAAGCTCAAAGCCTGGGGTATCAGGTTGAATGCCGAGATCTTGCAACCAAACACATGCTCTTGCTTTGCTAGGTGAATGCGGGAAAAATAACGAGTCTGGTAAGGTCAAATGTAATGTGGTCTTGTGCATGATTTGCACTCGTAGCGCCTTGTCGTGTCGTCTCAAGTGCGTGAGTACCACCGTGATCCTTTGCATGTGCTCTTGGTATTGTCGAGCCATTCTTTGAATCGTTTGCACAAGCTCATCGTCATCATCCATCATCGTACGGTTGCTTGTCGATAAACATTGAAGGATCGCTCTTCCATCCAATACCATCGTCAAAGTCACTCGAACAGCTCGCTTAAATGATACAGGTCGTCGTACCAAAAGTCCCGGGCGTTGTGCAGGTGTACTCTGTATGAGCAGATTCGACATGCCACGCTCCACTTGATCAGTGTCATTGTCACCGTCATGCGATGAACGTCTTCTCCAAAAGAGCGATACAGGTGTTGTGGAAGATGTTGTTGTTGTTGTTGTTGCAGCTGAAGAAGAAGAAGACGAGGAAGAAGTTGTTGTTGTTGTTGTCGTGGTTGTGGTGGAAGAAGGAGTAGCATTAGATGAAGTAGTGATTTTGCGGCCTTTTGTTACACATGATGATGTTGATGACCATACTCGACGAGATAAAGTGGGCCTTCGTGCACAACAAAATGAGGGTGAAAGTAAGAATGTAGCAAGCATAAAAAGAAAAGGGAAAAGAAAAAAGGATAATTATCGTTCTATCAGCAGGCGATATGATAAGAATTAGTGTGTGTGCGTGTGTGGTGTGGTGTGCTGTACCAGCGTGTCTGAAACCTGTAAACCAATCAAAGCATTGGGTCATGCAAAAGGGATGATTCCCAATTCTCACGCGAGCTTTCATCCCACCAACCCCATCGCATCTAAAAGATACGTAATGATACCATAAATGTTGATTACGTTCCAACTACTAGACTTTCAACCAACCCAAGTTATGCTTCAAGGAATGATCATTCTTTTTTAATAACATGTATATATAAAAGACAAAAGACATTTCCCCCTCCTTCTCCCCCTTTGCTTCATTGTCCGTGCAAGTCTACTACTATTACTACTACTGCTTGCGTGTGAAATAACCTCGTTCTTTTAGCCATCATGATTTTTATCTTTTTGTTTGCTGTTGTCTTTTCACCCCTTGCTTTTGCATTGAGCCACGCTGTCATCCGTGAAGGCTTAGAAAAGGGTCATTTGTTCCCAGAGGGTAATAATTATAAATACTCATCATGATGCTGTTTTCGGCTTACATTGTCCTACCCTATTACCAGTGTTTGATGCATTTGAGCCACAAAGTGAATTGCGTATCACCTATCATATGACCAGGATGCTGCAAATGGGTACCACCATCGAAGCTCAGGAGGTGGAACAGCAACCCCATGTTTGGTTTTCAAAGACAAACGACGTCTCTCAGTATTCGTTGGTTTTGGTAGGAGGTTATGCATAGGTGGTCATTGTCTTTTACTAACAATGACATAGATGGATCCTGATAATGAGGAGAATGGTCCTTATTTGCATTGGCTCGTTACGAACATTGATGGTCAACGTCCTGCTACCGATGTTTCAAACGAAGATCCACTCTTTCAGTATATCCCTTACACAGCTCCCACAGCAAACGATAATCCTCATCGCTACGTATTTGCTCTTCTCGAACAATCCCAGCAAAACCAAACAATGACACCTGAAAATCCCCGTCTTGATCGTGCAGCATTCGACATCAACAAGTTTGCAAAGGACAACAACATGAAGATCGTCACTGCTCTCTATATGCTCTTATAAACAGCTTTTACTCTTGACAAATAAATAAATATATACTATGTGCTCCTACGAGTTGAGGGTAGCCACCACTTTTTGAGCTGCAGTCCCCACCATATCAGGTCGTTGAGCTGCTTGTTCCAAGGTTGTGAAAGAGCTCATTTTGATCTTGTCGATGGCAGCTTGATATTCAACTGTGGTATTACGTCCATATGAGTGGGTATTCATCCTTGTATATCCCCAACATTCCAAGAATCCAACTTACCGCCTTTGGCTGCTTCCACAATCTTCTCTAAAAGCACACACACATTCCATTGCATCTCAGGAGGAATGGGTCGGCTGTTGTTGCCGTCATTTGTTGTCATCATCATGCCTGTGATCACTTCAAGGAACGAACGGGTCTCTGGTTTGGGTTGTTGTTCCTGTTCCTGCTCCTGCTCCTCGTCATTAGGCTGCACTTCAGGTAAGGGTGGTGCCTCAGCAATAATTAAAGATAACACTATAGCAAGGAAAATGCACATTAGTAATCGGGGGAAATCACAAATACACGATGAAGATGTACGTACCATTGATCATATCTTGGGAATCCTCCATTTGCCATGCAGCAAGAATAGACGACAGGGCAATAACACCATCATTCTTTAATACAGGGAAATTGGATGTGCGAGTCATTTCAACAATGGGCTGGACCACTCTTTGATCGAGAAGCTTCTTTCTTAAAGAGGACGATCCTTCGTTGCCTGTGCATAATCAAAAAAACCATATCAGTACATGTACTCATGTGCTCTCCTTGATCATGTTATTACCTTGATGGAGCCACACAGACTTGATCAAATTGGTCAAAATTCTTGTTGCTTCACTCTTGGCTGCTACATCATCAAAACGATCCAAACATGCGAGAACGAGCTCCAATGGGGTCTTGCTTTCATCTCCTGCAACAGCACCGCTAATGACCTCTTTAGAGTTGGTATCTAAATTTCACATTTAGCCTGTGTGTGAATGGTTGACAACTGAAACAAACATTCCAGGTACTCACATTCGTTGGCACAAAGCAACTTGATGATGCCAATGGTAAGGAATTGATTGCGTTTGAGCATGTCGTTGGTGGTCTCTAGTAACGGTGCAATTGTGGGGATAACATTTGCTTCACCAATGATCGACCTGTTCTCCTCTAAAAGAAAAAATGGGTATCAAAACGAATGCCCAAACCACATCCAACAGCAATAGAGGTATACACATACTGGCAAGGCATAGGTGCTTAAGACAACCCAAAATAGCGTATCTGAAAGTTGCCTTGTCCGTCAAGTTGAATGCTTCCAATAAAGCTTGATGCAGATGATGTCGTTTGACGAGTTCGATACAGATTTCATCTATACACACAAATTTAAGTGGCCACGCTAAAAAAGGAATGCCATATGACGCACGCACCTGATCGTGCAAGATTGCCCAATGCATAGACTCCTGTTTGTGCCAAAACTTCCGATTTCGAGCGTGCCCAACCAATGAATCGTCCAAGTAGGTGATCATTCTTGTATAACTCATTCATCTTGCTGTCTTGAATCATCCAAACAACCCCACCCCCAAAAAAGACAATGAGCTATATTTTCCCAGGTACCATTTCCAGAGTACTCACCGCTTGAGATAGCACACACCACGCACTTGGTAACGGTTGTCATGATTTCTTCAAACTGCTTCTTTTCCTCTTCGTCGTTCTCCTCTTCATCCGGTAATTCAGCATGTTCAACAAAATCAAGGAGCATGATAAAGTTGCCGGAATCCACAACTGCATTTTGTGCGGCCTCTATCATAGTATACAACCTTCATCAATATACAAACATGTCCAATAGAGTGTTGTTGTTGTACATCATTACCATCTTCAGCCACAGCCTGGAGTAAAACATCCACGAGAGATCCGAGCAAATCCAAATTTGTAAATTGATCCACCTGCCATTCGTACTTGATCAAGTCCAAAAGACGCTCAATGGCATCATTGCATGATACAAACTTTGCACGTGCGGTATCTATGATATGCCCACATTGAATACCCCATCGTCCTTACCAAACACACATACACACATACATACCTTCATGCATCAAGTTGTCCAAGGCACGTGCTGCCAATAGGACGGTGACAAGTTCGCCATGGTCGAGTCGAGCAGGCTTCAACAATTTGGAAAGGTATTCGATACCATCACTGCTGCCAATGGTTTTTTGGATCGGCTCTAGACGACAGTAACCATGTTAAGCCCCAAGTTGCATACATCCATTTCCCCTCCCCTTCCACGTACCATAATCCACACTGCTATTCAAGCAAAAACCACATGCCACCTTGGTCAATTCATGATTTTGATGTTCTTGGAGAAAGGGAATGACCATATCCACCACACCACCTTCATGTACACGCTTTCGATTGTCGTCTAAAAACCTACGCTATCAGACACATCATGTTGATCCATCCTTCCCTCCCTCCCTCGACATACCGTAATCGATGCATGCATTACCAAGCACACGTAAGGCTTGTACTTTGAAGGTATCATTCTCCTCAGCGAGTTGCAATAAACGAGTAACATGCGTGATGCCACCGGTTTCACCGAAAGATGCACGTGTCGATTCTGCAATACAAACACCATAAACGCCATGTTCTTTTTCTCGCGTGACAACATTCTTTCAAATACCTGAGACGAGTGTGCCTGCCACCGTTTGTGCCAATCGTGTTGCCTGTTCCCATAATGCACCATTGTCCTTGGATTGCGCAATGGACTCCACAAGATGACCAAATGTCTCGGAAACGCTGGCCATGTTGCCTTGTAGATCTGTTCGTTTCCTGCATGTGAGTTGTTTCCAATCGTTGGCTGCAACAAGGGGTACTCACTGTCACTAATGATTAGGGACTCGACTGTTTGTGTGAGCTTGTCCACTCTTGATGTGTCTGCCATTGTGGTAAGAGAGCAAGGTCGGAGGGGAGGGGGAGTGGTGGTGGATGATGCAAAGGATCATTATCAACGAGAGTTTCTGCAAGTCATCTCACTGGCAGTCGGCAAATCAAATAGACGACGACAAGGATCCTCTTCATATGTATGTGGGCGCACACACACACACACACACACACACACGTACACATACACACGCCATTTGATGTATGTTGTATATTTCAAGCATTGGGAGCCTTGGGAACTGGACTACTACACACACAAGAAAATGATTCCGAGCGACAACATTTCAATCCAAGCATGCTCTTTTCAGAACCGAACTAGAAGAAAAATGCCGGACAATATTAAAAGGCATGAGATGGTGGATGGTGTCTATTTAAAAAGGTGAGCAAGGCCAGTGAAAAAAGAGTTTAGCACCTATTAAAAACGATATCTCTGTACCAAACCCCTTTCCTTTCCCTTTTAGTATTTGCATTACACAAACAACACATCGACGACAGAGATCCATTATGCGCACGTTTTTTGCACTTTCAGCAGCCGCTGCCTTTTTGATGGCAGCCAACGCCCAACAAGCCGACCCCGTCGAATTGACTGATTCCTTTTCGCTTTTCCGCTGGTCAGGTGATTCCGATGCTCAAGCAGTCGAGACATTTTCTATCAACCTCGACAAGCCTGCCCGTATCCAAGTAACCGATTTCAAGAACCGTGGCGACACTTTCAAGATCTATGACAACGGCAACTTGATTGGTGAAACTTCCGAAGTTGAATCAGAGCAAGATGATTCCGTTTATGCTGCTACCCCTGAAGAAGCTTTGGAGAATGATCAATTCAGCAAGGGCACTTTTGATATTGCTGAAGGCGAACACAGCATCACCATCAAGGCATCAGGTCCCTATGATGCTGGTACCGCTGCTATTCGTCTTATTCAAGAGCCAAGCCAAAACCAACAATTGCACAAGAAGAAGAGTGGCAAGAAGGGTGGCAAGAGCTGGGATGATGATGACGATGATGATGAATGGGACAGCAAGAAGGGTGGCAAGTGGGATGATGATGACGACGATGAATGGGACAGCAAGAAGGGCGGCAAGTGGGATGATGATGACGATGACGAATGGGACAGCAAGAAAGGTGGCAAGAAAGGCGGCAAGTGGGATGATGACGATGATGACGAATGGGACAGCAAGAAAGGTGGCAAGAAAGGCGGCTGGGGTGATGACGATGAAGGATGGGGTGGCAAAAAAGGCGGCAAGTGGGATGATGATGATGAAGGATGGGGTGGCAAGAAAGGTGGTTGGGATGACGACGAAGGCTGGGATGGCAAGAAAGGTGGTTGGGATGACGACGAAAGCTGGGGTGGCAAAGGCGACTGGAAGAAATACAAGGAAGTCCAAGTTGATCCCAACCACACCGTCACCTTGACCACCACCATGTGGATCGTCGAGCGACCAAGTAAGTTATTAATATCATGCCATGATCATCCATCATACTAATCAATGTCATCCTCCTATCACTTTTGTTATTATTAGCCGCTGTGTAAGTGTTTTTGGTTATGCATATTGGTCAACGTTCATCATTTGACTTACTTTGTGATTATAGGCCAATCAAGACTGTCGAAAAGAAGCCCAAGTGGGAAGACAAGAAAAAGTGGGGAGTAAGTTGATACGTGCTCTACATGATGCCTTTTTATGTTTACTAATTGCCTTCTTTGTTACTATAGGGTTACTAAACAACATACCCTATCCGATTACAACACATTTTACTCCCATTACCCTATAACGTGATTACTGTGCAATAACTTAATTGTTTCATTTTCCAAAATTCTACTATCCATGAGCGAATTGTCCAAACCATAAAGAATCTCCCATTCTTCCTCCTTTTTCAAATCGAAGCAAAGATACATATTTAGACATGTAGTTGATGTTTGGTGATTGTAGCAACAACGGGTGAACATGGTTTATACGTACGAGCAACAATAGATGTAGAGATGTTGCACAATGGCGGCTGGTTGGACAAGCTTCATATCATATGACGTAGCTTAATGTTATTGCCACAATGGTGGTGTGAGCTTATTCTATTTCTTTGTACTACAAAAGGCATGGCAAATGACTTATATCGATTCTAGCATCAAGATTGCGGTTGGTGCAAGTGAGAGATGGGGGGAGTGTGTGAGTGGGTATACTTGTAGATGTGATTGAAAGAGGCGGGTTGTTCATGCAGGGGAAATTTGTACACGGACATCATGTTGGGATTGTTGATAAGCGGGCGGTGGATCGCTTACAGCTGTTGGTTCTGCTGGTCTTGTTGTTGCTGGTTCGGGGATTTGGATATAGCGCTGTGATCTTGGTGATCGAAGCCAGCTGCTATTACTTGATCCCTGCTCTATGTTCTCATTAAAGCTATCGATCCGCTCTGTGCGATCTATGAACGCCATTGTTGTGGTGTTAGATATTGTAATAGGATGGTATCCTCCTTTGACACACGTACATGTTGTTCTTCGTGATTTGGCTAGGGCAACAGCAGCACACATTATCAGGCATATGACTATCGTACCCAGAACCACGGGAATGATAATTTTGAGTTCATTGTTATCCATGATGACCACACAAAGGAAAAGATGTCTTTGTGAGAGAAAAACATCATGATGTATTTATAGGAGGAGTTCATCGATCCTACTATTTTGGGGATGTGTAACTAACTCAGCCACAGTTACCCGGTAAAATCAAATTCATTGGGTGCCAAACAATACCAACCCCAGATTCCTCGGAATGTCGTGCATAGTAGTAAAAGGACAAGCACCCTTTGTAGTTGCAAGTCAGCAAAGGGGTGGCGATGATTATACTTAGCAACAACGGTGTCCTAATTATTCAAGGAAATTAAATGTGCTACAACCAATAAGAATTCCATTGTCCTGCATGTATTATCTCAACATGGCAAAACCAATGACATCAGGTTGTAACATCATCTTGCATTGAAGCAGCAGCACCATCATTTGGGAAACCGCCATCATGATCCGTGTTTGGGAAGAATGTTAAAGTAAAAAAGATGTCCCGGTACCAATAATTGGGCACATGGCTAGTGACGCCACCAAAGAAATGTGTTGTGGCATATACCATCATGTCAGCTGATGCTACAGTGGCTTCCGTTTTTGCTGGATCATGTAACCAGGTTGGCAGAATAATGAAAATGCGCTCTCTTTACTATCAACACCTTCATGGAAATGCTGTAGGGCCATGTTGGGTTGTGGATTTATCATAAGCTAAAAGCACTTTAGGCCGCCAAATTGAAAAATAAAGTGACATGCAAGTGCAAAATGATGCCCAAAGCGCCACGAGGAATACTACTTATGACGCACGAATTGTGAATCCATGATCCTTGATGTTGTGCCGGTTGTTGTTATGTCACATGGATCCGAGCGGTGGGAAAGCGACATCCTATATGCACGCTGGTGATTCTACTAAGCAGTTGCCACACCTCCGCGACATCTCAGAATAACGTAGGCATGCTTGATTCTTAGAAAACGGCATGCTTTCCATTGTTCCGTAATACAGTGTGTCAATCTCTGGGGGCTTGTACGCTGCTATTTATAAATCTGCTATAGAGAACGGGATTGACTCTTCAACATTGGGTGGTAGTGGATAGCTGCTAAGACTATGTGTGAAGCATAAAAGAGGTATATGGATTGTCAAAGGATTGGAACATGGGTGCATGATACGGTATGCATTGATGTGCGCCTCATTTATGTGCATCAAGTAGAAAAGGCTTGCCAGTGACAGCCTCAATGTGGCTAAGGTGAAAGGTTACACACCTTGGTAACTCAAAAGACATCAATGCACACACACAAACCTAATCATCTGTGCTCGTTTCGACATTCGATTTCTGCTGCAATTGAATAGGAGGGTCATATTGTGTATATGGGTATCAAATATGATTATCATGGAGTTGTAAAACGTCACAATGCAGCTGTCTTATATATAGAGACACCAACATCATCAGCAACATGCTCAGCAGCTTTTGCATTTCAATTCTTCGATTGCTGTTATATACACTTTATGGTTAATCTCTCGGCTATAATCATAGCAGTCATCGCAATAGTCGCCGCTATTCTTGTGCTTGCGATGTGTATAGTGGTAGCTCGCACCCCATCCATATCCTTTCGTGGTAAGAGAAAAAGCTATGCTAGAGACGAGACTAGCAACGAATAATGATGATGGTTGAATTTGCAGAGAGAAGATCAAGGCGGCGACCGCGTAATTCAGAGGACGAAGAAGGCTTGAATAGTCCGCAGGATGCTGGTGTGCAAGGATCACCACAACAAGACGTAGCCATTTCTATGCATACAATGGATGATCACAGCAACAACAATGACACCACCACGACGCCTTATCCCCCACCTACCTACCAAGAATCTCGAAAGGATTCTCTTGTTTTGCTAACGACACGCTGATACCAACACCCCTTATGAGAATGTATGCCAACATATGATTTAATGCACCTATCGCCCTATGTCCCATTTCTATGCAATAAAGTGGGTATGATGACCATCACAACAGTAGTTGCGTAGCGTTGTTGCCATGACAACATCAATAATGGATTGATTTTCATTGTGAGCTCGATAAGAAGAATGCGCCAATAATGGTTGTTTACAATCATCCAAGTATGTACAATTATATTGAGACATGAAGAGGTATGATGGGGCTTCTAGCTTATATAACAAGGGCATCGCACGTGACATGAAAAGTGGTGGTACAAAATGGGCCCAATGTGTGAGTGAGTCAACACAAACCCGCTATGCTGCATTTTGCGTCGTGTCGCTTTTCTCTCAGAACGCAATGATTCCACGACTACCACCATTACTATTGGCATTGATAGGTGGCGCATCTATTTATGGCATCAAAGCTGTGCTTGATCGACTGGATCCTCCTGCCATTGGTCCACCTGGTTCATCGGAACGGGCTGCGCGCATGCTCAAGTATAGGGATTATGCAAGACGTGGTGGTATAGTTGCTGTTGCTGCTGGTTTTGCTTGGGCTGGATACTGGAGTAAGTCGAGGCTGAGAGAGACGCTGGACAACAATGAAAAGTATACTTACATCATCCATAGTGTATGACAAACGCACCCATCGCCCTATGCCGGCATCACAGTCAGGCAACAAGGAGGATGCAGAGTCTTTCTATCGTGACCAGTACAGTGATCGTGAACGGCGATTTCAACAAGAGCAGCAAAAAGCACGAGACGAGCAACGACAACGAGAAGCTTTAGCAAGAGCTAGGTTGATGGCTGAACAAATATCCATGGAAGAAAAACTACCTCCAGTATCATCATCGCCATCATCATCACCAACGACGACGACAACAACAACGACAAACAATGACAACAACAATGATCGTCAATAGAAGATCCTACAAGTGGCCATCATCCCCCCCTTTGTTTTGTAATATATTCCTTGTCACATGTTCCTTTTTCAATGAAGACAAGTTTGGATGAGATACACCTTGATGCATATAGAGCATGATGTATGATGCAAAATGGGGAAAAGGAAATGGGTTCGTCATGCGTCCTTGACCACAAACAAAAGCAACCCCAACATCAGACACGACACTACGAATAAAAGGCGATTGGCTACACTTAGACGCGTGGCACATTACGTTACCCGATCTTTCGGGATATCATGGGAAAAGATTGGAATGGGTAAAGGAAACGAGAACAGGATACTGCGTATAATAGTAACGGCATTCGAAACAATAAACGATACGCTCCTCTCAACAGCGTACTTTTTCACACCAGCATTCAAAAGTTTCAGTTTTTTGGGAAGCATTACCGGATTAGTCATAGCGTCAAATGGGCGGTGATTTATTAGTGCGTAGTGGAGAGTAAAAAAAAAGTAGAAAGATACATGCACGCTATATCTGGATGATCGATACCAGCACTTGGAGAGGCAATTATGGGTTCCCGTGAGAGTTGAGAATGAGTAGAGAGAGAGAGCAGAAACAATCACACCCCCAGACAAGGGAACTCCGACCACGGGTGCACATGCATTCAGACAACCGATTTCCCCTTTGTTCGGGTTCAAACCTTATTTGAGCACCCTGTCGCACAGCAGTCAAAAAGTGATCGATCATGAAGGGGGGCTGATGATTTGCAATAAGGAGATCCTTTGCTTATAGCATACATGATTGCCATTGCTTGGAACATTGATATTGTACATAAAGGACAAGATAATATCGGTAGGATGAGACCACGCTATCGTACATGCGCGGCCTTGTTTGTTTGTTACGATTTTTGTCTTGAAACACCGGCGGCTCTGTTAGGGTATGAGGGAATACAAAAATGCACGCACATACATCCCTTGTGTTACCAATCCACGCAATGTTGACAGGTTGTCTAAACTCATGGCGATGATCGCAAGTATTCCTTGAATGTCGTTGTAGAATGTGACCTTGCTTTATTACATGCTATCTATCTTACCCTGGATGATGATGTGATAGGGGTCATGTTTGCAAATGCATCTCGTCCTCACTTATCATCCCTCAATGATGATGACATCTATTTACATAGTAGGGGTGTGGTGGTTACAACAAAACAGCAGTGATGCCTAGAAAAGCAATACCACACGGGTATAGGTTAGTGTGCTTGACTGCCTAGAATGAACGCGTGTGTGGCCCAAAATTGTATACGCGCCAATCATGATTCTCATTTAGCCATTCTTTATCTTGTATATACAGCACGTAGTAAAAGCAATTGGATGATTGATTACTAAACGTATCATCTGGTATTTGTTATCTTCTTATGGACCCCCAAATGAGCACCCTGGGTCGTTTCCCATTTCGAATTCGTGAGATGTGTCATAGAGATCGCTGGATGTAAACAACCTATTTCATCATCACATGCATATACGTAAGAGTTCGTAATCAACAACCCCCCTTTGATCTTGGCACCATGAGGGAAAAGAGCGTAGATTGTAGTTTATTGATGAGAGAGAGAGAGAGAGAGAGAGAGAGAGAGAGAGAGCCATAACATAGAAACAAGTATTGTAGAAACCATACATTTGTGTGCGTGTGTGCGTATACCCACATAAGCAATGTATTTGTATTATGGTTTTTGTGCGTGAGAAAAGGTAAAAGAAGGAGCGTCTAGCCACATTGCATGTTGTAAAACCCGGCAAATTGAAGAAGAAATGAAGTGAAAAAACGACGTGATTACAATACATAACAGCTTATATGTGATAAATACAAGAGCGGGTGCACTAAAGAAGAAGGATTGCTTGTTTGGGAGAAGAATAGAGTAAAATGCTGCGTAAAGAGAAGAACGAAATCAAAAAATGCTTGTTGTGTTGTAATTTGATATCAATGCATAATAATTCCATCTAGGACCTGGCACCTTAATGACAATAATGAGGCGCTGTGTCATGATTTCCACCTTTCATTGTCACCACCACCATGATGATGTCGAGAAGGGGACGAGGAAGAGGAAGAGGAGGAGGAGGGCGGCGGCGGCATCATGCCAATACGTTCTAATTGTTCACGTAATGATGGAAGCACGGTAGGTTGTTGATGTTGATCTGCTGGATGACTTGATCTTCGAGGTGGTATTGATGTATGTAAAATGAGCTCTGGACGTTCGGATCTCCATTCGATGCGAGGACCAGCAGCTGTATGTTGTTGTTGTGGTGGTGGTGGTGGTGCTGTAGAAGGTCCTGTTGCTGCTGATGATGGTGATGACGGTGCACGATAATTAATTGGCGGATGTAATGAAGGATTGATTAACAAAGCACCACCTTGTGTAGATGAAGGTGACGATGGCGATGATAAAAGATGTTGATGCTGGTGGTGGTGGTGGTGGATTGATGGATTGAAACGTTGTTGGTGTTGCTCTTGTTGCGTTGAGTTATAATACGATGGTGTATGATGTCGCTGCTCTGAAAGATGTTGAGATAATGGTGATGATCCTGAAGCATGCTGGTTGTTTTCGAATGATGACAATGGTGGTAATGTCCAATAAGGTTGTGCCGTTGTATCCATAACGTGTGTTGTCGACTGCTGATTAGCCGTCGTATCCATGAATGCTGATCCATGATGCTGAGACGAAGATGCCATTGTACTCGGCTGACTCGTTGCACCACCCCCAGAAGGCGAATCAAAGGCTGGATGATATGATGCACAAGGAAAGTAAGGCTATGATGCTACGTGTGTGTGTGCGTGAGTAGTAGAGTTACCTTGTGGCAAATTCCCTATTGATTGGGTCCCTTGATCTACATGCAATTGATTAGATCATAACATGTATTGGATATACTGCACATGGTATATGAACCTTCAGTATTCCTTCGATTGACGTAATGATAAGGTGGTGGAGTAGATGCTGCTGCCGATGACGATGATGCATCCTCTGCTGCTGTACGATCGTGAGCTATTTCACGCGTTACTTGCTTACTCATTGGCTTACGCGTTTCTTCCAGTACTCCTGATGTAGTATGAGGCGATCTCTTTTGGGAGCTAGTGCTTGATCTTGAAGCATTTCCTATTGGTGCATATTGAGAATCGAACGTTGTTGTGTATCGCAACCCCTAATCACGTTGCTTACCCCCACCTCCATCATCGGTTGATTGGTTGCCTGATCTGGGGAGGGTGAGCATTGATCGTTTCCTTGACTCCTTTCGTATACGGATCTTGAGACCTTGTTCGGCAAAATGACATGCGAGAGGACATGATAGATGCATCCCTGGAAACTATACGACGTCATGCAATTAGAGAGAGGGAGAGGATGTTACTATGAGAAATCCTTTACAAGTACCTTTTTTGCAGAATATACAATGAATGGATCTGTCAAAACCGATTGTCTATATCGAACTGCTGATCTGCAGCAAGGTGCACCAATGGCAAAAAATCAATTAGCAATCAATGCAAGATGTAAATGTGTGATAGAATAGCGTAAATGAGATCAACCACCACGCTACTGTTGGAGACCGATATTACTCTTGCATTTCGAATAAGCACATTCGTAACCGATAGCGACCATCAGCGCGCACCGACATGTCCGAAAAGACGAAAAAGGCACCTTCCGTGTTATCGAGATCACGTAACAAGTACAAGGATGAAACGGTGCGTCCAATGATCAATCTTCGATGAAAGTCGATTTGCAAAGGTCCTTCATGTGCATCGGTGTGGTCAGCAGGGACAAGTACCGCAGCAAGAAAGATATAAGGCGATACCGCTTGTAAGCTAAAACATAGTCAATGGCAAATGAATTGATGAGTGAAACATTCTTTAATACATGTCATGATTACGACGCTACCTATCCATCATGTTTGTTGTATCTTGGCCTACAATCTTGAGTTGTACAATAGGAGGGGGATCAATGGGTCGTCGATCAACTAATGGGATGTCGATAAAGTGTCGATGATATAGGTAGGAGCGAGTGTGCATGTAAACATGTCAGCATCAAGAGCGTATAGATGTCAGGCGATCATGGCATAGTCGGCACTTTACCCCTTTCACCCACACCACACATTCGCGAATGGACAGGCTGCTCACGAATGATCAGCTCGAAATTCCTAAACGAAAAGCAAATGAGACATGCCATTCCCGCCAATGAGTCACCATTGTGTTTTGTGGAGCACTGACCAGTGTGAGTGGGAGTGTGTTTGTCGCGCCACGTCGTCTCCACGCGAAGAAACCGATGACATACACCAGTGAAGGATGTGTTGTTGAAAAGAAAAAAGGAGGAGAAAGAGGGGGTGAGAAAAAAAAAAGTGAAGTGAGTGGAGAGAGAGAGAGAGAGAGAGCGAGTGGAGTAAGCGAGTGAGCGAGTGAGTGGAAAAGAAAGAGAGAAAGAGAGAGAGAGGACTAGCTCAAGTGAACGGGAATAAATGTGAGCGACCTTGAGCAATGTTCAATATAGCCAATGAGAAACGACTAGAATGAAAATGAAAGAGAGATTACGGTGCATTATAGAAGGGCTCATGTAGCAAGCAACCTGGTGGTTAGCCATGTCGAAAAGAGAGAGAGATAAATATCCACATTTTTTTGTACTCTCCATCGCCCTTATTCTGAATACCTTGTTGTTGATATCAAAAGTATATATGTACGTATGCATGTATGCGCTGCTGCGATGTCTTACGACAGCAAGTTGCTTGATGGGGGGAGAGGTGAGGGAATGGATGGAGGGGCGGGGCCAACGAAACTAGATCGGTTTTTGCGACAGGTGCTCTAAGCTTAGCTTTGCTTGGTGTAAAAAAAACTGGTATGGCTTTCCAAAAAGGTCTTAGTGTAACGTTGCGGAATTTTCGAGACGATAATGGCCCGCACTCCCAAGTTGCCTTCCGGTCACTGCCGCTTTTTGAATTGCATCCACTTACAAACATGCTAAGGAATGCCCACTCACACCCATACTCGTCAATCCACACCCCTTTTAGGAAATTTCGATACAATTGAGATCAAATCAAAACCTGCTCCAATTGAGAAGAGCCTGTGTTTTAAAGCGGTGAGCATGAGGCTTGGTTAGTCGGCAGGCATGATTATGCATGCCGTGTATGACACGCATACTCCTTTCCTCCCCCCCCTTATTTTTCTTCTTCTACCTTACTTTTTCTCCTTCCGACAACGATGGCTCATCGTCCATTAGCGTCAATTCTATTGACGTATAGTTATAGTACTCTGCATCCCAATCCTTGTTTCACTTGCCCCCTTTTTTTTAACACCACAGCCTTTGGGGTTGTAAAGAAGCAGCATATTAAAGTGGAGAATCATTGCCGATAAGATTATTCGTGTACGCTTTATTCGATGGGCGGGGACTAGATCTTTGGCGTGTGAATGCATCATGTCGGGTAAGACGTGATCGATGGATTGGGGGACATGCAGCTATTTTAAGTCAGTTGCTGAATGATCTCGAAAAAAGTGCCATGAGTGGACCTGGAGAAATCGAAAATGAAAGAAAATTCTGCTGAGGTTTATCATGTCAACAGCGTGTCATTGTATTGACACATTCAAAACACTCTTTGTTGCACGTTTCCCCCAAAGTCAAAAACAACATGCGTGCGCGAGCTTGATCTTGTGATACGCCTAAATCTGGTCATTGTTATCTACCAGAAGCTCGGTTTCTATAAGCTTATTCTCAATAGCTTAAATCCTTGCCTACCCATGTAGCAATGTGTATAGGTGTTGGTTTACACAAATCCTGTAACCCCCACTTGCAATCACCAATAAGCAATCAAGGGACATTTCATTGGTTCATTCCTTCTTGTAACGAGCAAAGAATGATGCACGATGATGTGCATTGCCGATCTTGTTGTCGAAAGGTGTTCGTTCCAGATCATTTTAATCAGTAGCGGCGGTGCCAAGCAGCCAAATATGAAACGATCTGCACCTAAAAAGGGAGGCCGCCTATCAGCAGCAGTGTTGCATGTTTGATAAGCTGGTGTTTCAAAATCGAGATTTGGCACTTGCCTTTATGGGATGCGTCTCCTTCACTCCCAAAAGGAACGCTTTGATCGGTTGTTATGATGCTTGATGATACCAAAATCCACCACACTGACATCGCTGTGTAACACAAGATCAGTGTAGGGTTCTTCCATCAGCATCAAATTATCCTTTCGTCAAAAGTCAAATACTGTAAGAGATGTTGGGTAGCAACAAGGAATCATTTTTATTGTACACGAGCCTGCAAGACGAAGTACATTCATTGAATATGGATGGTTTATTAATTGGGAGTCATCAATTGTTCTACTATGATGGTTGATGGAGGGATCCCGGAGATGTGTAGTAATGAGAGGAGTGGTACACACCCTTGTCTTGTCATTGTACTACAAGGCCTTTTAGTCCCCAGTTTGTGGAATCCATGGTCTGCTGTCGTGCATAGTCAGCCGTTGCTCTTCTCTTTTATCCTTTCTCCCACTTTACCTGCAGACTTCATTCATGAAATGGATCACGAACAGCAACAGCCTTTTCAACCTGGCATTGGCTTGAACCAGCAATCAGGACACGACATGTTGCAGCCAACGAGTGCATCGCCAATGACGAGTTTTATGCCGCAAGAGGAAGCGATCAACGAAGACAATGCATCCGATCCGAGTGAAGATCTTGATAAGCCTGGGAAACGCTCAGCTGGAAGACGCAAGATCAAGATTGAATATATCCAAGAAAAGTCCAAACGACACATCACCTTTTCGAAAAGGAAGGCCGGCTTGATGAAAAAGGTAAATCAACAACAACAACGTATCCATGGATACCACCACCACCACCACCACCACCACCAGCTCACTACCATGACTACTTACTTAGGCATATGAGTTGAGTACATTGACTGGTACGCAAGTGTTGCTGCTCGTTGTCTCGGAAACAGGGCTTGTGTACACATTTACTACTCCCAAATTGCAGCCGTTGGTTACCAAGCCCGAGGGCAAGAGTCTCATTCAATCCTGTCTCAATGCTCCAGATCCTCCTTCTGAACAAGAATATGGAATACAATCACCAATGGTAACAATTGACTTGCCATATCCTTGAGCGTACTTTGAACGTTTCTCTCATCCTTTCTATCATAACCAGAGTAACACGAGCGCGGTAAATAATGCCGTGGGTGATACATCATCTCCTCACGGGAACCATCAGCAACAACCCTTATATGATCAAGGACCTCCAGGTTTATTATCTCAGCAACCACCAAGGTCATCAAACAGTGTACGTAATAATGGCTATCCCCCTCGTGACCACCTTGTTTCTCTTAACAATGAGCATTTTCATAGGCTGTATCAGGTTATCGAACGATCCCATTGGCAAGATATCCTCTTAACACTCATCCTCCACCTCCACCTCCACCACCTTCATCATCGACTATAGCGCCGCCACCACCATTACCATCGTACAACATGCATCACCAGAACATGCATCAGTTGCCCACCACTGCACAGCCACCGTACGACAATAACGATCCTTACAACGTTTACTATGGTACTACTACTGCTGGCTCAGGTCTATCCAATCCCTCTCAACAACATCCACCTTCGTAACAATGATACTCTTTGGTCAACCATTTTGATTCACCAAGCGGCTGGTCTCGTCTTTTACAATGTATGAATATTATGAGCACCTTGTCCCTCCACTTTGTTATATCCCATCCTATACAAAAACGCACAGACTTTTATATACACATATATACATCATGCATTCAAATGCGAGTTACATCCTGTTACAGCGTCTTCTTCGAAATTGGTACTAGTGGTGGTGATGGTGATGGTGGCGGTGACAAGTTGAGTGATTTTACATGCATCCTTAGAGTGACCCTGCAGCTGCAACAGCAAGATTCTTGTAGCCTTCTACCCCCTTAATTTGTGGGTTGAGAAAGAGTGTGCTGCTTTGTTTCAGGGGTAAGTGGTATAGCTTGCCCTGTACAAACATCATTATTATTCACCATTATATGCGTATTTCCCTTTCTCTTTCTCTCTCTCTCTTTTTCTCTTTCTCTTGGTTTTCCTTCTTTTGCTCCCATGTCTTATAGGAGATATTACGACGATCATGATCCACCAAATCCATTTCAAAGCCCAGCCATCACGTTGACCATGCACTCTATGCAACATGACGATGCTTTATCCACTGACTATTATGCCTATGGGACCTCCTATCATCAACTTCCCGATGCAGCTTGTGATCCATATCCAAATCTCGACCCGCCATCGTATGCATGCGATACGGCAATACCAAATTCTGATAATGACGATGACGCATATTTGTCAAAGAAAGAAGAAACATCATCGGTGCTCTCCAAGAACAACAACAATGCTAACAACACGACTGCAGCAACAGCAACATCGATTGACAGGATGCGTAATCAAGAGTGGATGCAGCAGCAACATGAACAACCACCAGGATTATTCCCGCTATGCATGTCAGCTGGTATGCCATGGGATTTAGCCAAACGCTTTGGCACGAGCATTAGACGACTGCTATTGGATGGGCAACATGGCGATAGGTACGGGTTCGTGGAAATGCAGGACTCGGCTAAACAGCAACAGCATTACCATCCCACCTCTTTTTACCCTTCATCACCCTCCTCCAAGCAATAGCTCCATATATCGTTCATCCCTCTTCCTCCTCCTTCTCCTTCTCCTCAGTCACAGTAATATGATGCATGAGTGAGCAAAAAAAGTAGATTTTACAATACTCTTTATAAAAGCAATTCATTACCCCCGCCCATTCTTAGTGTGATTCATTCCTTAGACGTGGTCACTGTTCAAAATGCCAATAGCAATGATGATACCACACGTGGCCAAGGATACAATTGCCACCAGGGATTCCTTGCAGTAGTCAACCTTGTACCAATGAATCCTGCTGGCATTGGGCTCAACGACAACATAGTAGGCATACATTGGAAACGCAACAGCATAAAGAAATTGAAAGATGAGCCACCTGCCAACGACATCACAAAAGTGTTATTAATGCCTATGTAGCCTATTCACCCACCCACAAACACTTACATGAGAAAATGGTTGCTCATGGTTACCAATGCATTGCCAAACCAATGCAACATGGCAGCTGTTGCAATAATAAAGATATGAACATGCACTGGAGGAATTCGACGCTTGTTTTCCTTCTTTTCAGCGGCTTCACCATCGTTGACCTTGTCGTCCTCTGGATCCGTAACATAGGTGACAATCTTGGTCCTTTTTGCAATCCTTCGGTTGTGGAAATAAAGCCGGAAGAGGTCAAGACCCAAGGCAAGGTCCGTGCTTAATCCTGTTACATTGTTGTCAACAACCCCATTTATACCATTGCCAATCCTCAAGTTGTATTATTACCTTGATACTTGAAGAATAGGGCATCCAGTGGCCATGGCAACCAAATCACTGCAAACGCTGTTCCTAGCAAGTAAAGGAAGCAAATAGGCACAAACAAGAAATCGCTGTATATACATAGGGATGCATGAGTTTACGTCTTTTTTTTTTGGATGTCGCTTTCTATAAAAGACTTGCCTAACATCCGATCGACGGATAAAGATGCCTGCTAATAAGGCAATTTCAAACAAGTTGTGAAGTACACCAAAGGAAGCCCATATCTTGCCCGCATTCATGAGATCAAACGTAAAGCTAGCAATGAGCGTGCTAATCAAGTATGCCAAAATCAATCGATTAAAACGGCCCACACTCTTGCGCCCAGGTGGTTGTGATGGCAAATAAATCCAAAATGTGTGATAAATCGCGTATGCTGATGCCCCTGCCATAGCCACAACAGAGAAAACAGTGGTAGTATCAAACGAATCCGCATTGTAATCTTTGAAAAGTGTGAGTGTACGCTTTTTTTTGGGTAGCAAGGATAAGGATTACAAGATTTACCTTCAATAGGCACAATCCAGGTGGGAATGTCAAAGAGCTTGCTCTTCCAACGAGGTGGTGCATCAGGGATCTCGGCCAGCCATTCACCCTGTACACCCATCAAAGCCCATGCTAACGCCAATAGAGCCGCCTTATGGATCATTGTTTGTGAAAGAAAAAAGAAGGCAAATGACAATGCAGTACTTGGACGTTGAATTTAAATTGGATGTCTTGAATAAAAAAGGTGTTACACAATGACCCTCGGATCACATCGGCTTTCAAAGCCGTTTATTATGCATCATGATGACGATAGACATGTTGTGAAATGGTCTGACAGAAGCCGTTCGCTCGAGTCATCAACATTGCATTGCATGTTGGAGGCATGTGGGAACAATATGCGATGCGTAATCCTCCAATTTTGGATGTCTATTAAAGTAACCACCATGACATGCCGGTACAACAATGCCAAGCTTCTTGCCGAAAGTTGATATAAAGCCATCGTTACATGTAGCATCTAAATCTTCCTCTACATAGCTACGTACTTGAAACCTATACTCTTAGCACTTTATGTTAGCAGATTGTATGGGAAGTGCATAGTGCGGCATGAATTGAACAACGGCTTGGATCAAAGTTGCCGATGATCCAGAAAAAGCAAAAGCTTCGTTGTAACATCATCATCGTGAGGACATCCAATCCCGTTTGATGATGCATAGCAACCATGCTTAAATGCTGACACTAATAAGTCAAATACAACGTATCTACCATACATCAATGGTCACCAACCCTTGAGAGATGGTTCACCCAACCATTATATAATAACACAAAGATGTTGAAGAAGACTTGTTCACTCATCGTAGCGCTGCTATAGTCCTTGACAACAGAGACAAGGTCTTCTCTCTTCGACCATGATAGCACCTTCATTGAGACCATCAAAATTGTTAGATGTTGTTATCTTTTATTATAAGACATGTTGGCAGCATTCTCTATACTACGGTTGTTCATGATCGCAGATGGGGTGCACGTGACATCATTTTATCGAGCGGGGGTATGTATGGCGGAGTGTTCTTGATGGTGCTAGCACTGGTCTTGTAGTCGACGGCCCTCCACACTAGTCTTTACCAAACGTTCATACAACATTCCAGCATGTCGACCACTGCCGAATGGACATTGTTGGAAAAACTCATGCTTGCACAAGCCGTTTACAAACTGGGTGAAGAGGATTGGGTCCAAATCGCAAGCAATCTCAACCAGAACTCCCTTCTCAATCGCCAACCTGACTTTTTCAATAAAGAGGTAGCCCATTCTACAAACAAATTCCCAATTCCTTTCTTCTCATATTGAATTGCATTGATAGCACTGTTCACAAGAGTATACACGGCTGCTGGAGAATCTTGGAATAGAAAAGTGAGCAAAGAACAACAACAGCACCCTCAATGGAGACACACAGACGACTGATTTGAAGAGTGAATCGTTTATTGTACTTGTAGATCGTCAACGTCGACTACGGATGAGACTAGTGTACAGCAAAAGGAACGACCTGTTGTAAAGTTGGCCAAGCAGCTCTATACACAGCGTGTCAGTGAACTGAAACGTGATTTGGAAGAGACGAATGCCAAATACAGCACTCTCACTCACGAGATTGAAGAGATACGAGCCGGGAAATGGGATGATCGACTGCTTGCGAATGCCGGGCGTCAAGATACGACATCAGCACCTTCTTCCACTACATCACCGACACGTGATAATGATACAACAATGCAAGAAGCGGATGCAACACCAACTACTACGGTGAAAACAGAACCTATGGATACGACTAATGACACTACTACCACCACAACACCTTCAATGAACGAGACAAATGCATCAAAGGAGCGAGAGATCAAAAAAGAACCTTCAGAATCATCGCCCATCGTTACAGCTTCCGAATCATCATCAACCCTTCAACCACCATCAGCAGAACCGATTTCCGAGGTACCTCAAAATACATCTTCTACTTCTGAAAAGGTAGTTGCAGCCACTGATGCCAATGCTGAAGTACCCACTTCTATGCCTTCACCATCAGCCATTCCCATCACACAAGGTTCATCATCTTTATCATCATCACCACCACCTAAAACAACCGCCATTTCTGGAGCAGATGATAATCAACCACCATCACCAAAACCTTCATCACCTTCGAAACCAGCAGAGCAACCTGTTGACAACACTACCGCTACCATCGATACACAACCACTCATCGAATCAACAACCTCCCAAAATGAAATACAACAGCCTGACGGTGAGACTCGGCAAGAAACTGCCAATGTGCCATCTATGGTATTAGCGCCTACACCAAAGGAAGCATTATCAGCCGAACCACACATGACAACACATCCAACATTACCCGTTCAAATGGAACCACGACCACCATCAGGACAACCTGGATCAGAAGATAGCTTTCATTCTGCTGAAGAATTGGATACAACACATCAACAACAACAACAACAACCAGCAGCAGCAGCAGCAGCAACAACAACAACAACTTCTGTACAAGAGACAACATCATCACCTCCTCAAATGAATGAAAAGCCATCATCCAATGTCCCTATTGAACAACGAGATAATACAACTACACAACCATCACCCATGGAAGAGAATGAAGATGACGTGAATTTGAAGCGTAAAGCGGATGAGGAGATTTCGGGTGATATGGAACATAAACGACCACGCATGGACAATGAGAATGCTTCTGTAACACAACCACCAGACAGCTCGGAAGCCGCCATTTCTGATCTTGTTACGCAACCTACGCCTGGTGAGTCACCTGAATCACATCGACGAGCACCACCACCACCACAACATGATTCTCCAACACCGTCATCGGCTGCTCAAACACCTGCATCCAATGCTAAATCACCTGAAGCAGCCCCTTCAAGTACAATGGCAGATACAGAGAGCGTGACGGGTAGTGAAAGTAATGCACCTACTCCCACAGCATCCACCGGATCCACTCGCAAACACAAAGATGAGCAACGACAACAAAAATCATGGCAAAAGAACATCAATTTATTATGGCGGGAGATTGCCAATCACAAGAATGGAGCCGTGTTTATGAATCCTATCAAGGAGGCGACAGCACCTTTGTATTATCAGATCATCAAGCATCCTATGGATCTTAAGGCTATCAAAAATCGTATTCGTGAAGGGGTAAGTGGGTTTACACGTGGGTGTGAGCGATATGCTCATCGTTTCTCTCTTTGTAGGCAATCAAATCGACATTGGAATTTGAACGTGATATTGTATTGATGCTTGCCAATTCCCTCATGTACAACAGAGAAGGCACAGAGATGTATCAAATGGCGCTGGAAATGTTGGAAGATGTGTCCGAACAAATCAAGCTCTTCAAGACAGCTGATAGCAATTCTCCACCCACGTCGCATACCCGTAAAGCTAGTACCATTGCCAAGGATCGACGAAAGAGCATGGCTGATTAGGTTCAAGGAGTGAGAGAGAAGAGAAACATGCATGTACTTCCCCCCCTTTTTTCCCTTTCTTTGTCGATGTTTAGCAAAAATAAAGTTTATCGCTTCTCTCTTGTTTCATAAAGGATCGTGCATCTGGGAACTTTTGCCATATTAGAAAATAAGATGGCGAGAGCGATTTCTTTGTCTTGTTTGGAATGCGTGATTGTTATGGTTTTTCTTTTTAGTATGTGTGTGTGTGTGTGTGTGAATTGTGCAAAATGTAAATGTTTGTATGTATACGTGGGGGCTTGACAATATGTATCACCGATGTTGTTGTTGTTGTTGTTGCGTGGTGGATGATAATGATGGCGATGAGGAAGATGAAGAACTAGTATTAGCTGTAGCTTTCTTGCGAGTAATCTTGGCATAATCTATATATATACATAAAGGAATCAATGATGGATCGCAAACAAAAAAGGATCGACGCTTCATACGTAAACCACAAGCATTGCAAAGTGTACGCGCACCATCCGGGCCCCTTCGCCACTCGGGCGTTTCTGAAATGTTACAGGAATGGCACCGACCCTGAAAGGCAGTTGCCCTCTTAAGGATAGTGTTGCATTAGCAAAGCTTGGCTACACAGGATTTGGCATCGAGAATGAAAAAAAAAGTCTATGCTCACACTCACCCCTCGTCTACGTTGTTGACGCAATCGATGAATCGAATGAGATTGCCATGATGATGGTATCACAGCAGTGGACGATGATGATGTTGGTGTTGGCGAAGAGGGTCTACTACTACTTTTAGCCATTGTAACAGGCTACACATTCTCTTTAGTCGTCGTTGCATGGAAAGTGGAAAAAAAGGGAAAAACTTACCAAACTGGCTTGCTGCTTGCGTAAATTCAATAGTGCATTGAGGATCTCATTAGCACGACCAATCAATTCATCCAACCACGGTCTGGGATCGCCAACATCTTGATTTCTTTGTTGGGCAATGATGCTGTCGCAAATGTGCTGGCAGTGATGGATGATCTAAATCAATCAATGGAAAATGTTTGTGTACACGCACACTGGTGATTCAATTGTGTCTGAGATCAGCTGTATCTCAAGCCCCCCCCCATTCCCTTTCTCTTTAGCATTTTGTCCCATATCTTTTCCGCTTTATCCGAATATGGATTGCCTCGTGCCTACTAAGCATATGTCCTACTCTCCCACCACACCAACAACAACAACGATTTCTCCTTTACCTGAGGAAGATCGGGATGATTGGCCACTTGATGATTCTCATTTTGTCGTGAAGACATGGTCCATGCACGTGTCGCTTGTGGGTGTAAAGGGATGGTGGTAGTGGTGGTGGTGGCATAGTGTTGTGGATAGTGTGGTGTGCTGCTGCTGCTATTGCTGCTATTGCTATTGCTGTTTAGAGAATAAGATGATGTGGATGGTGATGATTGTTGTGATGGTGCTGCTGAAGAAGATGATGTTGGAGGTTGCCACGTTCGGTTTGGAAGGCACTCATCAATAGCAGAGATGGGAGGAAGATGTGGCATGTCATCATTGCTGTGGGTAAATATGCGCATCATATGAAAGAGAAAAAGAAAAAGATGCAATAATCATGATCATCAACATCAGTTATCTACCAGTCTTATTTTCGCAGCAATAAAGCAAATGAGGAGAAATGGTGGTGACGAGAGGTATAAAGGGAGAATGATAATAATGACACACACACACACCTTTTTGACGCAGGAGACATGATGTTTTGATTGTCTATGTGAAAGAAGACAAAGAAAAAGAAGGAGGGAAGAATTGTTTATATAATTAGTGAATCCTCCATCTATGTATGTGTTGTGTGTGTGATTTGGGCAGATATGTATGGGTGTTGTGTGCATGTTTTGCGGTTGACCGGAAGGGTGAGTTCATGATTTGGCGTGTGACAAGCGAGAAAATCAAACAGAAATGCTCGATCCCAACTCGAGATTTGGCCAAGATCACATGCAAGGCAAGTGTAACCAAAAGTAAAGAGAGTATGTTATGCTGTACTTTTTTCCTCATCACAAAGTTGACAATGGACTGGGGCACGTGCTGCACACACACACACACCCGATATACTTTTCTACTCCCCTTCTCGATGTCATCATCATCAGCGTACACCTTTTACCATTTGGCTTTTTTCGAGCAACACGATCTGTCTTACAAACAAAAAAAAAGAGAGATGAGTGTCACACTACACTCACGGGTCTTAGTAAATCAAATGAATCTTGTACATCGTTCCAAATAAGATCCGACTTAGATGGGCCATTCATGTTACCAAGACTTTTACACATCTTCCAATGGCAAAAATAGGAGAAGTGTGTGTGTGTATGTGTGAGGCTGTTGAACGTGGCTGATTTGTATTCATGTTTACCACCAGCCCCCTTGTGGGTATGTCAATGTGCATATAGCCAATGCTTGTAAAAATTTCGTTTATTGCCGACAAACTATAGATGTCGGCAAGATAAAGAAGATACTAGAGCCCCAACCTTCTCAAGAAGATAGACGAACACTTCCTGGTTCTCGGAGTTACTTAGCACTCGGGATCAATCGGCGATCGATTTTCATTGAAGCTTATGATGTTGTCGTACCTGTGCGCGAATTTTTTCTGGTCCCTTCTTTTCTTTTGTCTTTTGCTTGGTTTCAGCTTTGCTCTCTTTTTCCCTTTTCTTTACCCTTTTCACCACCACGCCTTCCATTCCATCATACGCCCCATGAGAGCAGCTGTTGCATTGCTCTATACCCCAGTGTTTCTGTGGGCGGTTCAACGAGCAACAGCAATTCCTGTTTTCAACAATAGTGAGTATACTACATACCTTAAAACGCCTAAAAACGACGACACTTAACGATCTTTATCGTAGTCAACGACTATGATTTACAAGGAAATGCTTGCCCGTTACCACCACAACACGATGTTGAATGCCCTGTTCTCTGCGTTACCAACCATGATCTTTGTCCTTCGGCACTTGCACCTTCTTGCCCAAGTGGTCAGTCCTTTTGTATGGATGGCACTTGCCAAGAATCTTGTGAGGGCATCACCAACGCGTGTATGTGCGATATGGATGATGCAACAGCTAATGCATACAACAATTATGTGCCATGTATGGCTGGTCACACGATCAACATTCAACACTACAACAAGACCCGAGGCACCGAACAAATCCGAGAAACCTGTGCATCATCCATCCAATTGAATGCTTCAGCATCAGATGTGGGTGTTTGGGGCAGCAATGTCGATACACCTTATGTGTGGGCCGAATGCCCTACCCCACCCGTTCCATACTTTACTTTTCGAGAGCCTATGTGGATCGCCGTATGGGCAATCATGGGTATTGAGGCTGCATTGCTTATTCTTTGGCATCTATACAAGACCGGTCGAGAGTTTAAGTTCCATCGTGCCATGAATGTTGCCTTGCCTTCTTCTGGCAACACTTCCATCAATGAAAAGATTGCCGCTGCAGGTGCTGCTGCTGCTGTAGCTGCTGCTGCCGCCACCAAGGATACCAAAGATGAAAAAGCAATGACCAAACAAGGTGAAGAACAATGGGTCGATAGCTCAGAGACCTCATCTTTGCAAGACTCTGAACGACTTTTATTCCGTGGCTTCAATACGGATTATTTTGGCATATTTGTATTTGGATCGGTGGTCATCATCACCTTGTTGTTTGTTATCTTTTTGGGGTGCATTGTCAGTGATTACTGTAAGTAGAGTGATAAGCAAGAGAATGGCGGCGTGCAACACAGAAATTTTAACTCACTTTTTTGTGTGGGGTGTCACAGATGGCAATTTAGCCGGTACCGAGTTCGAGATTTTCTTGGAGAGCGAGCTGTCATCCAAGATCTTTTGTGCCGTATGGCACATTGCAGCGGCTTGGTTCTTTGTTGTTCTCATGTGCCGCAAGCGTATTGTCAACTACTTCCGTATTGAGAGCTATGCCCATAACTCAAGCTATGTGCAAGTGGAGCGACGCCAAGAGGAACAAGTCTTTTTGGATGATGGCAATCGCCTGATTGCCAAACTCCGCGAGATGGAACAGCGGATTGTAAAGCGCTTCAAGTAAGTATGGGTGTACAATCATCGTCATCATACATCATTCTTATCATCTTTGTGCACGATAGGATGGATATCCTTGTTGAAACACACAAGATCAAATATACAGCCAATCAGCAACGCTATTTCGAATACCAATGTATGCGTTATGTTTTCAACACTGAAAAGCACCGATTTGAGCCATATGAGTTTGATCTGGGATCCACCAATCGGAAGTTGCGTGAATACGCTGGAGGAATGACTATGCAAGATGCTTTGGCTCGCCAGGACATGCTTGGATCTAACATTATCAAGGTGCATGTCCCCACCATCCCTATGGCAATCGCACAAGAATTTAGCTCGTTCTTGTACTTGTATCAGGTCATGTGCATGTGGGTGTGGTAGTAAGTATCGATTTTTTATTTATTATTCCCCCAAAAGGGAGGGAGAGATTGGAACTGATGATGGCATGTGATTGTTGTGTTATAGCTATTTTGGATACTACAAGATGGGTCTTGTCCAAACATGCATTATTCTCGCCGCTGCTATTGTCCGTGTCGTCTTACGCCTCCGTGCAGAATATCGTGTCAAGGCCATGGCAGAGTATGTGGATAGCATTTGTGTATTGCGTGATGGTGAATGGAAGGAAGACGTATCCACGGGTGATCTTGTCCCTGGTGATGTGTTTGAAATCCGAGAAAAGACACAAGTGCCATGCGACGCGGCTATTTTATCAGGCACGGTGGTTGTCAATGAATCGTCACTCACGGGAGAAGCCATGCCGATCCGTAAATTTGCCTTGCATAATGACGACAGTGAATATGATATGATGGGATCAAGCAAGAACAACACCTTGTTTGCTGGTACACTTGTTTCCCAGGTGACGCCTACATCGGATGGCAAGGGCCGTGCGTATGCATTGGCGTTGCGTACGGGCATCAGCAGTGAAAAGGGCATGTTGATCCACAAGATTCTATTCCCATCACCTGTCAGCTTTATCTTTAACGAGCACATCAAGTTGGCTATTTGCATTCTATTGGCATGGGGTGGTGTTGCTTTTGCACTCACCTTGTGGTGGATGGGTCGTGGTAATATCACAAGTTGGTTCTATGGCGTCTTTATCATTTCCGAAATCTTCTCGCCTTTGCTCCCTGCTTCTTTCACCATCAACCAATCGGTCTCGGCAGCTCGTCTTCGCGCTAAAAAGATCCTATGTCTCGATTTGCCACGCATCAATCTCTCCGGCAAGGTGCGCATCTTTTGCTTTGACAAGACCGGTACGCTTACCCGTGAAGGCCTTGAATTCTATGGATCCGTTGCCACGCCAAACGACTTGACAGGTCACTTTCCTGAACGCATTGAAGACTCCCTCAAAATGGAACGCACATTGGCCATGGGCATTGCAACTTGTCATGCAGTGACAAAGGTCCACGATCAGTATATCGGCAACCCTGTGGATATCGAGTCCTTCAACGCCATGAAGTGGGAGTTACAGCCTCCTGCAGACGCAACATACCTTGACACGTTATTACCACCTCCAGCTGATCCCAACGACAAGCCCGAGCCTGTTCATGTCGTGCGTCGTTTTGAATTCGTTCATGCTCGTGCTTCTCAATCCGTTGCTGTGCTTGATCCAACCGACAACCACGTCCACGTGTTTTTGAAGGGTTCATTTGAACGCGTCAAGAATCTATCCATGCAAGAAAGTATCCCTGCTGAATACGATCAAACGGCTGCCAATTATGCACGTGAAGGTTGCTATGTTCTTGCACTCGCTCATCGCGACTTGGGTGTGCTTGGTGAAGATGTTTCTATGGATGCTATCAAGGAAATGACACGTGATGAATTGGAACAAGGATGTCGCTTTGCAGGCTTTGTGCTCTTCCGTAACATGCTCAAGGATGATACCACGGATGCGATTGCTGAACTCAAGGGTGGTGATACGCGTGTTGTTATGATCACTGGTGATACGGCTCTTACTGGTATCTTTATCGCTCGTCAATGTGGTATGATTGAACCCAACCAACGCACGCTTCTTGGTGATGTCGTCAATGGTTCCGTTGTGTGGCATGATGTGGATTCTGGTGCCGAAGAAGATGTTGACACTGTACTTGCCGCTGATCGTAACGAGGAACACAACAAGGCTGTTGAATTAGCAGTGACCGGTCGTGCCTTTGAAATGCTTATCAGCCAAAACAAGATGCGAAAGTACTTGCTGCATACCCGTGTCTTTGCTCGTATGACGCCCACTGACAAGGTACAATGTGTGCGTTTGCATATGGAGAATGGTGTCACGGCTATGTGTGGTGATGGTGGTAACGATTGTGGTGCCTTACGTGCTGCACATGTTGGTCTTGCTCTTTCCGAAGCCGAAGCATCCATTGTCTCGCCATTCAGTACTAGCAACAGGTAAAAATAAGGATACATCACGTGCTTATATGCAATCTTTACTCAATTTTGTTCTCTTAGATCTATCATGCAATGTGTCGAGTTACTCAAACAAGGCCGCTCTGCTCTTGCAACCAGCTTTGCAAACTACAAGTTCTTGATCTTTTATGGTGAATGCATGGCATGCTGGGAATTGCTCATGTTTTACTTTACGACGATTGCTCCTCAACCTATTTGGATCACGATTGATGGTAAGAGGGAGGATATGGAACAATGAAAAAGAGAGATCCTGTATGTTGACGTCCTATTATATAGGTTTCATTGTCACTTTTATGACTTTTGCCATTACTCAAGCACGTCCTGCTGGCAAGCTTGGTCCATCACGTCCTTCAGCCAAACCTGTAGGTGTTGGTACCTTATTGTCCATTATTGGTGTGGTCTTTATCAACTTTTGGTTCATTGTGTGCAGGTAAGGTGAAAGGATAATAATCCCAAAACATGCGATGCTCATTGTGTTATGCTCTCTATCCTAGTGTTGTTTGGCTTTTCCAGCAAGATTGGTTCGTCTGCAATGAATTTGATAGTGCTACGATTGATTCAGCCCGTTGGTGGTTACTTGGTGATAACTACGAGGCCGAGATGATTTCGCTGGTTATCCTTTTCCAATTCTTCAACAATGCGGCGGTCGTCAATTTTGGCTCAGTGTTTAGACAATCATGGTGGCGCAATTACGTGCTGGTCGTGTTTTATTGCTGCTTCTTTGTAAGCACAAGCTATATGATGCTTGCTGATCCCAATCCTTATGGATGCATTGTAAGTGGCTTACATGTTGTTATCTATACGCTGATTTATTAACGTGTCTCTCTCTTATAGTTCCGAATCAACTGTGGCACTCCTTCAGTTCTCGAGAGTATTGGATACCCTAAGCCTACATGGTCCATTGACGAATACAACTCACCCCTCGGACATAATGTATTGCCACATGAGTTCCGTTGGAAGCTGTGGGGTTATGTTATTGGAAACTGCCTGGCTACTGTGATCTGGGAGCGTGTCATTGTTCTTGGCGTTTTGCGTAACTGGGCGATCCGACGTAATCGAACTCATCCACCCAAGCATCGCATCATGTTCAAGTTGTAAATCCAAAATCGTTATATCTTTGCTTTCTATTTGTACATTATAATTGTTCTTTGTGTATTTCTTTCAACAAGTAATATAGTCCATCCCTCCTATTCTAGTCTTTGAAACCCGCTCAACCGTTTTCCCCATCTAAAAAGTACATCAATACACGCTACGCTTACAAACAATATGCATTCGATATCTATTTGTATGATTGAATAACGATCATTGGTTTGTTTAAAGATGGCTATTTAGTAGAGATTAGAATGATGGATTGATCCAGAACCATCATCCTCGCCAGTGAGGAAAAATTCTCCATATGTCCTTTTCTTTCTCATGAAATTAGAACGCGTTCTGTGGATTGCAGGGTTTGGTATTGCTGTTCAAGCATGCCATCCAGTGTAAGTGAAAGACGAAAACTTGACGATGCAAAGATGACATTGACACTATTTCCTATGTATGCATAACAACGCAGCTTTGACATGTGCATGAACACGGCCAAGCTCGCTATTGCTTCGTGCCAACAAGATAATGCATGCAAATGTAGTGCTGAGAAACAGCTGCTTGCCTGCTATGCGGAATGCCCCGAAAGTGCAGGTAAGCAATAGTATCTTTATTCATCGCCATCATGATACCAATGGACGAAATAGAGCTTTCCCAGCAGCAAATGAGCAAAGTGGCCAAAGTGTGTAATGATCCTGAAGCAGAAGCTGAGAGCAATACACCCTTCGGTGGAATCTTGATACCTGCCAACGTGCAAGCAAATCCATCAAAGCAAGATCAATCAGAGCAAAACGATAACCATAATAATGAGTCCTCATCATCATCATCATCACACAATGAGCAGCATAATAATGGTGGTGATGGTGATGAATCAAAGGAGAAATCAGTGCATGCAGCATCAATTCCCAAGCCTATTCACACGCTTCCACCCGAATTGTCGCCCTCTCATGAAGATGTGGCAGTTAGTAATGAAGAATCATCATCGAATCATGTATTCCAAGTCAGTGCAGGTTTCATGCTCATCGCCACTGCATTTGGATTTCTCGTTCATGCTTGAAATAAAAGAAGCTGCGGTTTCATTCTTACTTGTTCACCACCGCTCTCTCTCTCTCTTCTCTCCCTCCTTATTCTTTTTATTACATACACACTCTCTATCTTTCTTTCTTATATACATGGTCTGCAAGAAATGCGAAAAGAAATTGACTGGTGTAGCAGCACCCGATAAGTGGAAAGAAGGATCAAAGAATGCAGTCGGTAAGACTTCTTGATGGCTCCCCCCATTATGAAACGGAATGAGAGCTCACTCAATCTTGACTATAGCTGGCAAGGGCGAACGCAAGATTGGACAAAACAAGCTTCTCTCCAAGTCTGCAAAGTTACGGTGAGTGTGTGCAAACCACTATAGTTAAGCGTGTATATTGACTCTCTCGTATTACGATAGATTTAACCCATATGAAGCAAAGTGCAAGATTTGCAAGAACAAGGTGCATCAACAACAAGCTCATTACTGTCAACGTAAGTAGCAGAGATGGTGATGGTCGTTGAATAGGCTGTATTGACATTTGGATGGTATGTAGATTGTGCATACAAACGGGGCATCTGTGCAATGTGTGGCAAGCAAGTGTTGGATACATCTAGTTACAAGCAATCATCAAAGTAAAGGGGAAAAGCCAATGCATTTATGTACAATATGATCATGATTGTTTCAACCAATTGATGGCGTCTTTTTCTGTAACCATGGTTCCAAATGGTGCTGGTGCTGGTGATGGTGATGAGGATGATGATACTGGAACGGTAGTAGTGGGAGGAGGAGGTACTTGATCTTTGAACATGGATAATGAGTGGTGTGGATCATCAACGGTGGTCTTTTTTTTTTACCTGCTTCTTTAAGAGTTCTCGCATGTTCTTCTTCCAGTTGTCGTCTCGTCTCAGCTTCAGCTTCTTTTAGTTTCTCTTGCTCACGCTCTCGTTCCAACTATACTTAAGCAATCAGTGGCCGACAAAACCAAATGACACCATGAGCACTCTTACAACAGCTGCATTACGAAGACGATAGTTATCCAAACGATTCCGCATCGCAACCAGCCGATCAGCCAAACCAGAGTCTTCAGCCATAATGCTTGAAACAAAAGGAAAAACCAGCAGCGCCGATGTAGGTTAGATTGACGTCAAAAATATCCCTCCCACCACACGCATAAAAACACGTGATCGTATATGGTTTGAATAAAAGAGTATATTAAAAATGTGGATCTATACACAAAGATTGGGGAAGAGGGTAAACTATACATATGTAATGGAAGATGGGTTAAAGGAGATGATGACTTAAGCAACCTGTTGCTTCTTCTCGTCCACATCAGGCACTTCATCGGCAGCAGTATGAGCGAGGGGTTTATCGGGATCAATGCCCTTGGCACGCAATTCCTTTTCAGCACTCCAAACGAATAACGACTTTGTAGAGAAGATGACATCGAGCTCTTCAAGTGATTTTCCAGCTGTTTCAGGGTAAAGAGCCCACACAACGGGGATGGCTGCAAAGTTGAGTGCGCCAAACAAGAAAAAGGTACACCATCCTACAATTTTTGCTTGTGTGAGTACATGGCTTATGGATATTGCTGTTGTTATTGTAGCTTACCAATGGAATTCAAAAGGGGTGGTGTGATTTCCATGACAAGAGCGTTGCCGATTGACCAGCCAACAACACTCCATGCACCACCTTTGGCACGCACACGCAAAGGATAGATCTCGACTGGATACAACCATGGCACAGCCAACCAAGTTGCACCAAAGAATCCTGTATACAAGAAAATAAACACAGCACTTGCAGCACCAAAACCCTATTGATTCAAAAAGACATCAGTATATTATTGCAGCATCATCATCATCATCATCAACTTACTGTTGGGTTTGCAGCAAGGAATTCGGGCTTGGTCAAAACAGCGACGAGGATCAAACAAATGCCTTGAGCGACAGCACCATAAAACAAGGTGAAACGACGGCCCCATCTATCCACAGTGAACACTGGAAGAATGGTACAAATCATATAAGAAACATTGTTGAGACCTGACAACAATTGTGATGTCGTTTCGGAAAATCCTGAGCTGGCGAAACTTTCGGGTGCATAAACAGTAATCTATGAATCCATATACGTTTAATACAAGTAGCCATTATGAAATCTTGTTATTGTACTTACCACACCTATTCATGATGGCACAATAAAAAAGAACCAGATGGCTTGATTAGCACACATATGTCTATCACTATGCAATCATGTAACACACTTACCAATACCACAAAGCTCTTGGATGATTTGTAACCAAATTGAGAGATGCACACGGCGAGGGATGTTTTGCTCGTCATATCGGAAAAGCATGTTCCAGTATGTGGGTGCACCACCTTCGCTATCTTCAAGGCGTAGAGCTTCCCTAATTTCCTTGACCTCTTGTACGACGTCAGGATGGTTGGGATCACCATCACCACGAAGAGAAGCAAGGATTTCGATTGCTTCATCATCCCTATTCTTGCTCAACAGCCAACGAGGTGATTCGGGGAAGAGATTGATGCCGACAGCAAGAACAATAAGAGGAATCAATTGGAAGCCGATAGGGAATCGCCAGCGGAAAGCACCAGGATCATCATGCAAACCATATGCGATCCAATACTAAAGATGTATTCAATATCAGCCATGCTGGTTGCCATGTGAAACACATCACTTCGATACTCACTGCAATCACGACACCAAAGATGTTGAGGGTAAATTCCATAGCAATAAACATACCACGGCTTGAGTAATGGCTTGTTTCAGCTGACCATACAGGTACAATAGCATTCAAATGGCCTGTACCAATACCGGTAATGATACGAGAGCAAATCATCCATGCAACATTTTGAGCAGCGGTCTGCAAAGTAGCACCAAAAATGGCAAAAGCACATCCAACCAAGATAGTTCGAATTCGTCCAATCTTGTCACCAATCCAACCACCTACATTACGACAACCAGTGAGCAAATCGGCTTGAGAAGAACCCATTTTCTTTACATACCCAACAAAGCGCCAATAAGAGTACCAGCGTAGTATACAGCGACAACACCACCAAGCAAGGCTTCATTGTTCTCGAGACCCATCAGCTGTTTATAGTTTGGAGAAATGTTGACACCGCTCATAACACCTTGGTCGTACTACTCATTGTGTATGTAAGTGGTGAGCCTTTCTTCCGTATACGGGTAAATTGTGCTCATGGGAAAATCTGCCAAAAGGTTATCTTACTTACGCCAAAGAAGAAAATGGAAAGACCAGCTGCACAATTGACAGCGGTGACCAGGCTTTGCCCATGTAAGCTCTTGTGCACCTTCCACATGGTAATGATTAAAAGGTCAACACTATGTGTGTGTGTGAATCAAGAAAAGAAAATCAGCAGCAGGCCCGGTTGCTAGGCTGCTTTTATAAAAGATTCCCTCGGAAAGGCACCATGTCGGTAGTATATGGCTGGCTTTATTTTTGACACCGAATGATGGAATAGATATCCATAATAAAGAAGTGGCAATACCATGTGAGACAAAAAGAAACACACTATGAGTGAATCATCAGGAACCAAATATGGATCATGATGATCCTTGTCGTAGTAACATCGAGGGGTAACCATAGCAACAAAGACGGTGCAGCTCTTTGTCTTGCAAAAACCTTTGCTCTCGAAAAACATAAAGGCTGATGTCATGGCGACCCATTGATGGTGGTATGTATGTTCGTGCGCATATCCCCGCACCGTACAGCTGTTACACACGTATTCTGGGGTTATCTCAACATCTTGTTCTCCGCAACAAAGAGATGATGAAAGAAACAGCAGATACCCCATAAGGGCAAAAGTGTAACAGTACCCGGTTGATATCCACCAATAGGAGAAAATTTATTTTGACGGCGATGCTGCATGAGAGGGAAGATCAGAATCTTACCAGACAAGGGCAAACGTCGAAATTCTACATGTGAAACATGATGGAGAAAGCGAGAGTCCCAGTGTTGATTCATGTACACATATAGGGTGATCCCTTTGCAGCATATCCAAAAAGTGCATTGGAAACGAACGTTGCCTAGCAACAATGAAAAAAGTTTTGTTGTACTCCATGTTTATTATTATGTTGCTCCACACAACATGTGACATGTCAAACCTTGCTGAAGACAGCTGGCTTAACTCTGATCCGGAAATTCCCATTGCGATACCGTTGCTTTCCACAGCTGCCCTTTTGTTGTCTAGACAACCGAGAATCCTAAATATTGTTACCTGCAGCTTATTACTACTAGCAGGTCTGATGCGTGTGCTATACAACTTCCACATAAAGCTTTTGAGTCATGAGCTGGCTCACAAAAACGCCTGTATAAAGTAAAATAGAATCGGAATATGGGCTATGTCATCTTGTGATCAGCTGTTGTGGGGTGGGTAATTTTATCTCACACATATGGATTGTCCCATTCCATAGATGTCCAACCTTGCTGCTGTTGGTTCGATGGAGTCGACATGCACAAAACTAAGGATATCCAATCAACATGTTGGATGCATGTTGCATTCCCAAAATACACCATTTGTGACCATACGTGGATAAAAAGGGGCGATAGTATGAAGCAACATGAGTAATAACACTTCTCGCAATGATAAAAAGGCAATTGCCCGATCCAATCATTAACTGTACCACATCGATCTCATCAACCTTTTTTTTACAATCGCTCGGTTCCGAGCACACCCAGAAAAAAAAGAACCCTTGAAACCCTGTCAGTGATCCTTTTCGTATAGCTTACAATCTCATTTACATGAACACTCGTGGGATTTGGTCACGATCGCTTGCCTATATAGCACACGGCAATAAAAATGACGGCTGATATGGCGCGTGAAATACATAGGATGATGACATTGCCAATGTTGTTGTATGGCTGTATGTAGATGACGGGAAGCCTTGCATCATTATGATTTGTAATACCATGCGACTAATAAGGTTCTTACATCTCCCGTACCGTTCCTTGATCCAAAGATATCAAATCGACCAGCTCCATTGTCTCGGTTGCTGTCAAGAAGCACGTTTCCGCGGAAGACGGCAACAAGGCAACGTCAAACACTCTCCGCATACAATATGATAAGCCAGCAGCCAATGGGGGAATATGTTCCCTAATCAGCAATAGCAACAAAATACATCCATTCCCCCCGCGTTCTCGGTCTTCAAATGTCCACAATAGCCCATGGGGTAAGTACATTAGCAAGAGGAGGGGTCATTGTTATCTCGTGAGAGATCAAGCTGAAGGTGTTTTGTGTGCTAATAATGAACCCGCCAATTTCCCATCCCCAACATTGTAACCATTACCATCAACATCATCATGCGACGTAGTTTATATATAGTAGTTGTAGGGTTGTGGGGTGATACTACATCAACCTTATGCATGGTGTTGTTTATGGCCTGTGAATCACTAGTACCCATTAACATTAGCGTCTTCAAAGGTACCAATCAACATACATTGCTCATGCACAAAAAAAAGGACATTTTAGGTTGGGACATGAAGAACTAAAGCGATCCAGTTCTTCGGATCGGGTAGCTTCCGTTGGTGAATGTAGGCATGGTGACATCCTCCTTATTGAAATCAAAGATACATGAAGATGATATCACTGCTTTATTTTAATCATCCATCAGCTATGGCTATCCTGGTAAGCTCACGTCTATGCGAAGGAAGAAAGATTCACTGTATGCAGCATGAGGATACCAAACCCACTCGCACCATGACCCATCTTGTTTCTCAATCCACGGCCTCTAGAGCAAGGTAAACACGTGCTTTCCATTTGTGGGATTGCTAGTAGATGATGTTCATTGACAACAAAGAAAGTAAAAATTAGGGAGGTTGTCAAAACAAAGAAAGAAGCAATATAAAAACTGCATTTCAACAATACCTGGTGGTTTATCTTTTCTTTGACTGCTGCTACACTTGCTTGACACGTAAACTTCTTTGACATTGGCGGCAATCGTCAAACGGGAGTCATCGCCAACGTGGTTCCTGGGACGTTTAAACGAAGCTCGTCTTTTCCTCTAAAGTGGTCATTGGCGACGATGCCGAAACTCGCTTGCGCTGTTTGGTGTTGAACGCTAACGACTGGCTTCCCGGTGCTCCTCAAAGTCAAGCACGCATGAGTCAAACGCGGACCCTTGAAAGACACCGATACCAAGAAATGCGCAAGATACCAGGTCCCAGCACACCAGAAGCCCGTCCTGGTATGTCATTTTGTCTTTAGCATGGTAATTTGAACATCGATCACTGATATGCAATGATAGGTTGGTGGACTTTGCTACGGTACGCATTGGCTGCATCGTCAAAAGCGACGATTCTCGTTGTCAGCTATGTAGCATTTCATATCAACATCCTTCCATGATCATGAATGAAATGAAGGGGATACCCGCTCTTAGGCTTCTTTTCTTGAATTTATAAAGTTGTCCTTGATAGTTGTTACTCTTTGAAGAGCTTGTGCATCGCATAATACACAACATGGAGGTGGAATGCAGTGATGAATGATACGTCGAGTCTCAATATTGCTATTTGATAGAAACGATCACTTAGAATAGCGAGAGATCTAAAGCGAGTAAACAACGTTATTCAAATTGATGTCTTGCCTATAAGGTAATCGGGATGAATGATCCTTTAACCACCATTGCTCCAAACCACCATATACCAATTAGCCATTATGATGATGAAAGGTATATTGGAAAAAGTTCAAATGGGAGGAGATATGTAATATTTTAAGGGATGCACTAGCTAGATATCGGCAATGAAATGAGTTTGTACACCTTTGTTGACACGTTCGTAGCGTGCCATTTCACGTTCGTGTTTCATATCACGTAACTTGCTTTCAACAGATTTCCTTTCGCTTGTTTCCCGATCGAGGATACGTTGATGGTCGGCTTTGAGATCGCTGACGAGTTTACGGAATTCTTTGCGCAAGGAAGCAGTGGTAGGTCCTTCACTGGTATCGAGACCCAATTTGCTGATACGTTCTTCAGTCAACTCAGCCTCCAGCTGCTGCATACGTCGCGTAAGCTCTTCAATACGTTGCTCGTATTTCATACGATCCGTCTCAAACTCCATGGCCGTTGTTGTCAGTCGATCAAATTCCTTCATGATGCCTTCAAAATCGGTTTCCATCGATGCACTTTGAGCCAACCATGCTTGTTCACGTGCTGTGAAGGCCCGTTGTAATTCCTCAATCTTTTGGATATTACCACCACCACCACCGTTGCGTGCTTGTTGTTGATGAGAGCGCAATTCAGCTATATCCTGTTCCAGCTGATTGATTCGTAAATCACGTGCATCCACCGTACGATTCTTGTCACGAATGAGATCCTCGAGATCCTTGCATACACTCGTCATCTTTTCATAATCGGCTTCAAGCTGCTCTTTTACGCGCGTCGTCTTGTCCAACAAGGCATGTTGCTCTTGTAATTGAGCTTCATATTCCTGTCGTTGCTCTTCCACTTGTTGCTCATACTTGGCACGGTAACTCTCGCTGCCACCTTCCATGAGCTGCATAACCGATTCACGCTTAAGGGCACGCTCCCATCGTTGTTTCTCAGCACGTAAAGCGGATAAATCGGATTGGCATTGGGTTAATGCTTCACTTGCTGCTCGTTCTCGAGATTCAAGAGCTCCAGCTTCAGACTCAGCCTTGGTGCATCGTACTTCAAGATCTGCCAATGTTCCTTGCATAGTCGATACACGTTTCTGTAATTCGTCTTCACGTGATCGAGCTTCGTGAAGTTCCTCTTCCAATTGGCTGATACGTTCTTTGTCCTGAGATGATGATGATGATGACGACATGTTGCCCAAGAAATCGATACTACTTTGTTGACGGCTCTCTTCCAATTCTTTACATCGTGCTTCAGCAGCTTCACGTTTGTCTTGTGCCATTCTCAATTGCACCTCATACTTTTTGGTTGATGCAGCCTCCAAACGTAATTTCTCTTCGCTCGACTCGAGTTGTCGCTCCAAACGTTCCACTTTGGCCTTGTAGCTGCTAAATTCGGTTTCCATGGATGCCAACAGCGTGGACCATTCGCTATGACTACCATATCCAGAATCGCTGCGTTGTAAATAAGCGGGTTCGCTACCCGTAACAAGCTGATGTCGACGTACAAAGGCGTCCAGCGCTGTTGTCAACTGTTCCAATTCTTGTCGGCTGTGCTCATCCACAAGCATGGTTGATGATGGTGGTGGTGATGAAGAAGTAGATGACATAGGAGGTGACAGCATACTAGTAGCAGGTTGGTGTTGTTGTGGTGATGGTGATGGTTTAGATGCTTCCAAGCGTAATGCACTTGCAGTGTGTTGCATGATTTGACGATGGATTTCAGCTTCCTCTTCAACCAATGAAATAAGTTCAGCTGCAATGGATTCGGTCCTCCTGGTTGCTTCCACGGCTTCTTTATACGTCTTGGATTGATCATGATGTCCTCGTGGATCTTTCACTGCTTCCAGATGTAGTAATGAATGCGTCGCGTTGGCTACTCGCTTTGCCACTGCCAGGCTAGTACGCATATGGGCTATCTGATCCTGCAGAATAGTTTGCCGCTATGCCAATAAAATTAGTCTCCCTATCATGGCAATATACATGTATTTGTATTATACCTTTCGAAGTCGTTCCACCTGTTCAAAGCTAAGCATATTGTACTCTTGTGCATCCACCAGAGCTTGAGATACCAGTACTTGCTTCAACAATCCTTCCATTGGATCCTCATTCCTGGTATCATCCTCGTTGATGGTTTCCTTGATTGCAACAGGTTTGTTCTTCCATAATTGTGCCACCTGAACAGATAATCGAGCATTGTTCCTTGTTTGTTGCGGAATAGGGTTGTTGTCAACGGGATGATGCTGTTCCATAACGGGTGATTTGACTATTATCATGCATCTATATCAGCCCACCCGTAATAACAATCCCCTTAATAGCACTTACCAGACATGGATGAAGGCGTTGGACGATGACTGGATACTGTGGATTGTTGCGAGTCTCGTATACGATGAGGTGATCTTGCAGGAATGGAGGGTGATCTGTTGTTGCTGGCACGTGCGTAAGGTCCCCCGCCACTATAGTCGCTGCTATGGTTGCTGCCACTGCTTGTGCTCGCTGTTGGTAATGCACGCGACAATCCATATCGATCTACGGTGGTCTCGCTCTCAAATGAACTACGCGGAATGGGATCCCAAGCAGGTGGTTTGGCAAATCGGGACACAGGTGATGTGTGATGGGCTGATCCTCCAATGCTGCCTTTTCGTGTATATCCGGTGCGATCCAATTTCAAGCCTGAAGGTCTATCATCGTCATCGAAGGATATCCGAGCAAGCGGGAGCTGGACAAGTAGTGTGTAAGGTTATTGTATAAAAGTGTATAATAGAGATAAAACTATACCGTGTTCATAACTCTTGATAAAAGGAGAGTGAAGCGAAAGAAGGTGGAAAGAAAAAAGGAATATGCGGTTAGGGAAAAAGGGGGAGGTAGCCGAGAATACAGCAATAGTAGTAAATGGCTGATGATTCCACACCCAGGCACATACACACACACAGAGAGAGTACATTTGCATATGAGAGGAAAAAGGGAATAGCGTCCTTGTTGCGTTACACAATCGTTTATTCATTACACAAGAGTGACGGCCTGATTTGTCGATGGTAATCATATTCCATGTTCCAGGTCCTCTTTCCCTCCAATACTTGACGACATAAATCGCTGCATGTCTTGTTCATCCTTGTCCTGCATACATCACATTGAACGAACAATAAATGACATTGGGTATTCGCACAGTTATGCAGCACATCGCATGGTGCACCACATTGAAAGCATCTCGCCAATACATCGTGTGTAACACGTTCGCCTCGCCTATCGTCAAACGTAAAGTTCTTCCCGCGAAACAATGATTGCTCCTTTGGATTTTGTCGTATATATTGTCCATAAGCTGTGATCCCTCCCTTGAGCTGTTGTTTCAATAGTACTCGTCGTTAGTATTACCTTGGTTACAGCCCATTTCCTTCTCCTCCTCCTCCTCCTCCTCCTTTTACTTGCCATTTTAAGATTCTTGCCGATCCCTTTGTTTGCAAAGTACGACGATGTCGCTGTGCATCGAATGCCGCCTGTGCAATACATGTAAACTTCCTTATCCGGCCTTGCTAGCATCATCCGTTCTAGCTCATCCAATCCCTCCCGGAAAGTGTCAACGTCCATCTTGATTGCATGATCGAATCTGCCAATATCGCTGCATCGTTGTCATTAATTACTTTTTATCATTGCATTTGTTGTCTGAGATACTTACTATTCATAGTGATTGCGCATATCCACTAATATAGCGTCTGATCCTTTTTCACTCAATTGGCGATGCCACTCTTCTGGGTCCAGGTGCTGTTCTTTTTGTATTTCGATTTCATTGGCTGGCAATACATCCTTGATTGCTACAAGCTAAAACGCCATGTAAGCCTAATGATGAGCAGTGGCAACATCTTCTTTCTTCGCTTACATTTTTCTTGATCATCACACGTAGTTTTCTGAAACAAGGTGTATCCAAGTCTTCAAGGCCTTCAGTGTATTCAATCTGACCCATATCCAAGCCATCAAAGAATTGGCGCACCATTGGCAACATATGAATAGGTGCTGCAATCTGACAGTTGATGCCACTGATGCCTTGCTCAGGTGCCAAATAAATTCGACCCACCACACCCCATGTTGTCAATTGATCAAAGATCTGCTTTCGTAATTGTTCCACCCGTTCTTTTGATAGCGGCGTTAATCGATAAAACGACACTGGGCGATATCGAGTCGCTGCTGATGTTATTGGGCTGGATGACGATATAGGATGGCTTTTGTTGTTAGGGTGGTGAGTGCTTGAATGACGCTGGTGGTTTTCAACATTGGTGCAAAAACGACGACAAGAGGAACTCAAAGCAAATGAGCGACGCAATGCTCCCTGCCATGACGATTGAAGCAGAATGCGTGAAGCAAGTTGACGATTCATGAAGGAGGAGTGGTGGTACTGAATGAAAGCAAGCGGGAAAACAACCGATCGGTGACAGATTTTTCCAGGAACGTTGCATGCACTTTCGCTTGATAGCTCAATCCAATAATCATGCTTTGATATATACAAAAGATGGTAATATAGCTGCCATGGAGAATAGATGATCATTGGGTGCACCGATCATACAGAACGACAGCATCACGCATAATGGCCAAGTTGACAACCAATACATAAGAACAAGGTTCCTTTTCCACGCGTTGTATGTATCCATTTCCTTCCATCCCATGCACAAAAGCAATATCCATAAGAAGGTGTATGTATTGAAGCAAGTTGCTATACGTAAATAAAGCTGCTGCTATACAATGGCTATCTACTGTTCACGTAACGAAGGCTGTAAGGCAGGCTGCTGCAAGTAAAGAACGCTGTTTTAGACAATGGAGTAAAGCCCTTGCTGTTAGCAATTGCTGCAATGAATGCTGTTACGTTTGGTTGTGGAGTAGAAGCGTGCAAGAGCGTGTGTTGTGTCAAGAGACCCGTGTGTTGTAGAAGGGTGACAAGAAAGCTGTGCACACGCCATGGACATGCCATTCAGTCAACGACAATCGGATCAAGGCAGTTGTAGGATTGACATGATGGGTTGAAGCACAGGACAATCGTTCGCGGGTAGTAATTGTACTTGAATGGGGCAACAGTTGAGAATGGGAGAAAGAGACGAGATGTGGTGAGTGGAAGAAGTGGAAATTAAAAAGGTTCAGCTGATGATGAATGACACTTCTTTGTTTGAGCGTTTTTCAGTCAAATGCTATTGGATCAAGAAAGTCGAAGGGTGAGAATGATGACCTGGTGCAGAACAATCGTTCGTACGCATTGGATTGGGCAACAATGGAGAATGGGAGGAATGGGCTATTAGCTGGCAGTTTACAAATAACTTTGCAAAATGATTTTTCTCATATTAGGCGATACTTCTGTGTTTGAGCGTAACTCAACCAAATCCTCTCGGATCAAGAAAGTTGAAGTATGGGCATGCTGGGCTGGAGCAGGACAATCGTTCACATGCATTGGATTGGGCAACAAAGGTGATTGGGAGGAATGGGCTATCAAGTGGCAGTTTACAAATAACTTACCAATTTGATTCTTCTGATATTGGATGATGTTTCTGTGTTTGAGCGTTTTTCAGTCAAATCTCATCGGATCAAGAAAGTTGAATGATGGGCATGCTGGGCTGGAGCAGGACAATCGCTCGTATGCATTGGATTGGGCAACAATGGAGAATGGGAGGACTAAGGTTATTAGCTGGCATTTTGAACTATTCCTCAATAGTGTACAAGAATCATGCATCGCCTGTGCCGAATGACTCAAGTTACACAAACACGCCCTCTGCATATTTTGCTCTATTATAGTCATACTATTTTACATTAAACAAAGACCACTTCTCATATAGCATCACCCTTACAGCATATGTAAAACATAAAGGTGCCTGTATCTCCAAACTTTACAATCAAACGTGGGCTCTTTAATAGATCAACGTGCTTGTCGGGGTCAAAGGAATCTTGTGTCAAAGTATGAAGTTCATCGTGGGCGATCCCAGATTTCGCAATGTCGCTACCAGCCAAACTGGATCCAGGGGGTCCACCTCTTCGACGACGACCACAAAAATATTTTTTGGGCTGTTTGCGACATTGAACGCGAAACTTTCACACAAGGTGCTGTTGGCCAAGCCGAGCCCATTGCTCTAATAAAAACCCCATGTTTCATTGTAAAGCTTAGAGATACAAGTGCCTTTATGTTTGTAAGCGTGATGCTATATGAGAAGTGGTCTTTGTTTAATGTAAAGAAGCTAGACCCTGACAGAGCAAAAGATGCAGAGGGTCGTGTTGTGTAACACAGCTACGTTTGCATGATTGAAAGGGCCAATGTATAATTACTTTATGGATCATCTAGGAACAGGCATGTATTGCTAGCTAACGGCCATTTTTATCCAATCATATTGTTGCGAGATCCACTGCATGGGAACGATGCCCCTGCTCCAGACATTCATTTCCATGATTAAAGTAGGTTGATCCGAGCTGATCTGACTGAGCTGCGGTCAAAGAGAGATTACATCACTCTGGACATAGAGCACGCTCGATGTAGCTCAACCGATGTAATCTTGTGTGAGCGTAACTCAACCAAATCAGCTCGGATCAACCTACTTTAATCATGGAAATGAATGTCTAGAGCAGGAGCATCGTCCACCTACAATAGAATGCACAAAAGTTTGGGAATGCACAAGAGTGGCTATTAGCTGCCAATGTATGACATAAAAGGGAGGGTTGCGTACCTTTCATACACTGTCCCTGAAGTCCTGACTTTTTAGCTGAGTTACCCAAAGAGGTCCTTCTGCATCTTTGGCTCTCCAGGGTCTAGCTACTTGGCAATGAACAAAGACCACTTCTCATATAGCATCATGCTTACAAACATAAAGGTGCCTGTATCTCCGAACTTTACAATCAAGCGTGGGGTTTTTATTAGAGCAATGTGCTCGGCTTGGCCAACAGCACTTTGTGTGAAAGTTTCACGATCAAGCTTGCCAATCCCAGATTTCGCAATGTCGCTACCAGCCAAACTGGATCTGGGGGTCCACCTCTTTGACGACGACGACCAAAAAAATATTTTTTGGGCTAGTTGCGACATTGAACGCGAAACTTTCACGCAAGGTGTTGTTGGCCAAGCCGAGCCCATTGCTCTATTCAAAACCCCACGTTTCATTGTAAAGTTTGGAGATACAGGCGTCTTTATGTTTGTAAGCGTGATGCGATATGTAGAGTGGTCATCGTTCAATGTCAAGTCGCTGGACCCTGGCAGAGTAAAAGACGCAGAGGGACCTCTTTGTGTAACTCAGCTACTTTGCATGACTGGAAGGATGGAAGGATGATACTGTATACTGTTGACAAAAGCCCGTACATTGCGAGCTAACAGCCATTTCTTCACAATAGCCACTGTTGTCCACTTTATGACATGTGAGCGATTCTCCTGCTTCAGACATTCATTTCCATGATTGGATTATGTTGATCCGCGTTGATTTGACCGAGATACAGCCAAAGAGGGTTTACATCAATCCACACATCTAACCAGGCTCTATGTTGCTCAACTGAAGTAACCTTGTATGAGCGTAACTCAGACTAGTCAACTCGGCTCAACATAATCCAATCATGGAAATGAATGTCTGAAGCAGGAGCATCGTTCCACTGTCATAGAATGGGCAACATTGCCGATTGTGAGGAAATGGCTGTTAGCTCGCAATGTATGGGATATTGTCAATAGTATACAGTATCATTCTTCCATTCTTCTAGTCATGCAAAGTAGCTGAGTTACACAAAGAGGTCCCTCTGCGTCTTTTGCTCTGCCAGGGTCCAGCGACTTGACATTTGAACGAAGACCACTCTTCATATAGCATCATGCTTACAGCATAGTAAAAACATAAAGACGCCTGTATCTCCAAACTTTACAATCAAACGTGGGGTTTTTATTAGAGCAACCTGTTCGTCGGGGTCAAAGGAATCT